GACGAATACTGTGAATTTCCTGGGTGCAAAAGGCTACCAACATCAAAGTTTCCCAATGCATGCAAAAACAAAAAGTGCTACTGAACATCATTAAAGAAAGAAGTCAGAAATACCAACTGATGCAACTTATCAAAGTAAATACCTGCTAGTTTTCAAGTGTGTCCCATTACCAGATGATTACAATAGTTTCAACTCAAAAACAGGGTAGCATTTTTAAAGAAACTGCTGCCGAAACTCGAAAAGCCGTCGTTAATTATTTATGAATAATGCACGACATCATTCTAGACTTATGCGAAAGTGTACCAAATGCATCGAGAAGAAAAGAAGAAATTATCAATTGGCTGCGCAGAAAATGGTCTTAAATATAAGTTGTTAAAAATTGCCAAAAATTACAAAACAAACTTGCCGTAAGCTACAGACGAAATAATTGCTAAAATGGGTCAAGCAGTTTTAATGCTATAAAAGTGGTGTGGGCACAGTGCAAAATATTTTATAACAACAAAATCGTAAGTGAGGCAAGACACGATGATATTACAGTAGTATCTGTTTGGAAGGCAGCTCTCCAGATAAATAATAAAATAAAATTGGATCAGTTGTATAACACTTGTATATTTATTCCTGGCAAATTATATTTTTTACGGTATGACATATATTTTTTTTAATTTTCCGATTTTTTAGCATTGTTTTAATGTTTATTGCATGGAGTTTTAAAAAAAATTTTCATCTAGATTTACCAATTTAAATATTCGCACACCATTAAGGAACGCCCTGATCTATTATTACATAGAAAATACTGACTACGGGCGTACTAGGCAAATTAAGAAATGCTAAGTACAATTGATTCTGTCTCTCTTACTTCCAAGTAATATAAGCGTGATCGTTAGTAGCGGCTGCCTTGCAATGATCACATAAGACATTTAGGGCGGAATAACATCTGTATATAGTATAAGTGGAAGCAAGATGAACAATTAATTTATTCTGTCTGGCATTTTATTACCATGCCATCACAAATGGTACCGATCATAATAAACATTTTATTTTGATTTTAAAGACCATTTGGCCTCCTAAATAATAAATTGGCGTTTTATTCGGTAAATTCGATATAAATAGATATTAATAACAACCCGTATAGTGGAAAATTTTCCCAAAATCCATTCTGATCGTGTTAATTTATTTTATGAATACCTTAGAATAAGATATATGCGGTTTTCACTGTAACTATCTAGTGACATACAAAAGTAACATAGTCGCATTTATTCTCTTTTTATAAAAGTAGTTTATTTGCGTTTATGCGAGAAGACGCCACCTGGTGGCAGGGTCAGCAATAGCAATCGCGCCACTCATAGCAGAACTGATAGCCTATAGAAACAGCTCTTTCTAACGGTTCCAAGTTTATGAACATGTCTTTTTGGAGAAGTTTACCCATTTAAGAAAAATTTCACGGCAAAAATTGAGTTGTTTTCTTTTTTCGAGCAATTTAACCCCCTCGGGGGTTAAACGATTCCGAAAGCCACACTCTATTTATGAGTCCATTCATCAGTGGTTGTTTCTTTTTTATATTTTTAAATACGCGAATTTTATTTTTAATAAAATAAACCTGAAATCATCATATACTCTTTTAAATTCTGTTAAAAGAATCACGTAAGGTACCATCCGCACCTATTGGGAGCTTCATTTCCGATTTGTCGAGGTCATAGTTGCCGTTAGTATAGAGACTAAATGCATAATCGAAATTACCCGTGTTCCGAACAAATTGCAAAACTGGAATGCAGATTAAATTAGATTTGATCGTTTATGAATATCTTCATTATGAACAAAAATGCAAAAGGAGTTGACGTCAGCCTCAAATTTCTATACGCCCCCATCAAAGAAAATACGCGGAAACATTTCAAATCCGATAACAGAAAAATCACTCAACTAGTGAAATAAGTGGAATCCATTTTTAACACGAAGTCTAATTCGCCCAGTATGCATATCAGTAATTCAAAACTAATCAATCTACGATATCTACTTAAATAAAACGTAAACTTACGTATAGGCAGTGAGGCACATTTTATCCATACGCGTACCAAATAACAGTGCAAAAAGTCCTGATAAAACCCGCTAATTGGCTTAAGAAAGCGTATAGGATATATCGATCACATATTGTAACCTCCATTTTGTTTTAAATGCACAGTGATTAGAAATGTTGATTGAAAACGTTGCAAGCGAAAACGGCCTCAAAGTTCCTGTGAACTTGGTATAGCGAAATATCATTTAAAAAAAAAATTGAACCCTTCTATTGCCAATACTAAAGTGACAAATATTTTTTTAAAAATATATCAATATATGACATTTTCCTTTTTTTTTGCACGTCCGAGCAAACATTCTTAAAGTTAAACAAGACACATATCAACACAGATTTAATATTAACCATAAAGTGCCGGTAGTAATTGTTTCTTAAGTTAGAACATTCAGAGCCCTAATATTTGTGGAGATAAACGTAAATAAACTATAATTAATATTTTTTTGGGTCAATATTTAAAATGTATTTTCTAGACCAGTTTTCTTGTAAACGCAATCCAAATCAAGAGGATCTTTTTTACATGAAAATCCACAAAAATATTATGACCGGTTATTGATGTTTGCCATTCTAAATGTTACGCTTCAAATTAAAATTTTAATGGTATATTTTGGTAAACGATAAAAATGCCTGAATACCAAAATTTCAAAGATATATTTGAAACTGTTACGAAAATATGAATTAAAAATCATTTTCATCAGGAAACAAGCTGGGTTGGGTTGGGCACTGGGATCTGTTTTAGACTTAGACTGAAAATCTTTTACCCCAATTATGGAATACCTTGGACATCAAACCAATATATTTTTAGATGCAAAAAAATATGCTTCTGTTTTCATGGCTATTTTGTGCCATCGGTCTCAATTTTTGTTCAAAAAATGTATCTGCACATATAAAATACACCATAAAAGTCTCACAGGAACCTTTTTGTTTAAAATAAATAAGAACTAGAAGTTCAGATTTTCACGAAATTATATATTATTCAATGACATGACAATTGTTTCGACAACACCGTGTCTTTATCAAATGTCATTTGATAAAGACACGGTGTTGTCGAAACAATTGTCATGTCATAATATATAATTTCGTGAAAATCTGAACTTTTAGTTCTTATTTATTTTGATAAATGGATTTTCATCAAGTAAAAGCCACCTCAGTTCAACCTTTTTATTTTGTGATAAAACGCAACAAGATATCGAGAAACACATTATAAATATAAAAGCAAGAAAATCGGCAATTCAGCGTTTTCTTCTAATGCTTGGTGATCACATCTCTAAAATTTCCAACATATGACGACATTCATTCGTCTATATATGTTTTAAAATAATGTATATATTTAATTTAAACCTTCCAGAGGAAAGTAAATTGTTTTGAAACCTTCTGGAGAATTGATTCCGCTACTACTACCACATTATTTTGAAATTTTTGAAAAAGAAATAAATATTATAACTAAAATACAATTTCAAATAACCGAACCCAAAATTCATAAAACAATGAAATACGTAGGAGAACCAAGCAAGAAAATTTCGAAACATCTATCTGTGGTCTTCAGATTGCTTTTAAAACTGAAAACACCATAGGAAATTTTTGAATGGAAATGGGTTAAATGGATTTTCATCAAGTAAAAGCCACCAATATTAGCAACCGCTGAACGTAGATCTATGGTTACTCTTTATTAGTAATCTAGGTATTAATGTATGTCGTTCATAATATTTATAAACAGCGATAATAGATCAAAGCTCGCTGTCTGTTGTTTTAACGTACAGCTATCATAGATTAATGTATGTCGTTGCAGCTGTTACAGATTAACCGGCAGCCATGGATCTATGCTCACTGTTCATTGATTTAATATCTGTTGTGTATAATATTAATAATCAGTGGTCGTAGCTCTATGCTTGGTAATATTTATTTTGATAAATGGATTTTCATCAAGTAAAAGCCACATCAGTTCAATCTATGCTTGGTGTTTATCGAATGTAGGTACAGCACGATATCGAGAAAAAAAAGTTAAATACAAACATGGTTTGACCCTAAGTATATATTTTATTTCTTATTTTTATGTATACAGAGTGTTCTCGACAGTAACCAACTTTATTTTTTTAAATGAACAGCCCGTATTTAGCACTTTTATTAGGTTTGGGATTAAAATCTGTATCATTTCATATATATATAGCTTGCATTACGAAAATAACTTCTGAAAAAGCTTTTCTCAAAAACTATCGTATGCTATGTAATGACAAAATCAAACGAATAATTAATTTTTTTTAAATCATTCATAGCATTCCATTTAAAAAAAATTAAGTTGGTTACTGTCCTGGCACAACGGAACACCTTGTATACATCAAAATACTATAAATAAAATATATACTTAGGGTCAAACACTTTTTGTATTTAACTCTTTTTCCTCAATGTGGTACTTATTGACTGATATTGAGATAAGGTATCGAAGGTTCTTAAATGGACCACCCTGTACAAAAATCTTAACTTAATGATCAAGAAAACTAAGGTACGAACGTGTATTGTATTAATGACACCTGTCGTTAGCTCAAAATTAATGTTTGCATTCACTGAATTGATGAAGTTTTTTATTAATAACACGTCCTGTTTTCGTTCAGTGAAACTTTTTTGCTGTTAATTTATTTGTTATGTGATAATGTGAGAATAAAGTAGACTATTTGATCTAAGTTGACGAAAGTCTCACTGGTCGATAAACCTGCGATCGCTTCGATCTGCTTAACCATTCCACGTATTCACCAATGAATTTCTCGATCGGTTCTAGGACTGGTTTGATGATCTGAGACGTGCGAACGTAGTAAAGAAATAAACACGGAACAACCTACCCGACAACATTCTTAAAGTCGAAAAGGAATGAAGTAGAAACCCACGGAAAACCACGGCCCTTTTTATTGTCAAAATTAAGCGCTAATAATTTTTTACTCACCTTTCTTCCTCTTTGGGAATCAACATTATCGCTTCCGGTGAAAACTATGGCTCTAGGGTTTCAGTGACAAAGATATTGGATCAAAATCACCCGAGTTCGCAAAAAATCACATCACTGCCAAAAACCGACCACTAAAAATGGCGGAACGATTGCAATACAATACGAAATTTCTGAAATAAACACTGCTTACATTTGGGTGATGGGTTCAACTATTCGATATTGCTAAAAGATTGGAGTTGATTTCATTTTTTCTCCAATTATTGTAATAAAGTAAAGTAAAAAAAAATGTATTCGGTATTTAAAAGATCTGGACAAAGTTAGCAATTCCATTTGAATTTTTTTAATGGTTTACGTTTGCGTTATTGTCGTTTTTTGTCGTAAAAGAAAAAAAAATGTCTCGTCGCAATGATACGACTTTTTACAACGCCCTTAAATCATGTAATTTTGAATTTTTAATCTGATTTGGTCGTTCCTTTTAGCAAGATCAAAATATCGTCAAAACATGTACGCCACTGACTCATTGTAATTTTGTTATTTACTTTGAAAACTTTGAATTGATGTTAATGGGGGAGGTGAGCTTTATGGGCTGGCTGACTAGCCTGGACAATGGTAGAACATTTTGCAAGTGCTTCTTGTTAAAAAAGAAACGGTTTCACTTTATACATCTATCATTTGGGTCCTACAATTCAGTGAAAACATCGCACCAGCTCAGAATATACAACCAATTATATGCTTAAAAATACACCAAGTACTTTTCAAATATCCCCAATTCCAATAATAATAAAAACCTTATGTGGAACTCGTTAAGTTGTTTAATTAAGAACAAAATTGCGAAATTTTGCCTTCGTTAACTAATTGCGCCTAAATAAAATCGTCAGAATATGCATGCAAGGCGAGAAGCAAAAAGAAAACGGAAAAATTTAAATGTGAAACTAGTATTTAACAAATCTAATATACTGCGTGAACGTACGAGTCGAATACCTCAAAATACGGTCAATATTTCGCTTGTGGTGGTAGTGAAAGTCAGTCTCGATTCGACCGTGCATACATATTTATATTCCAATCAATACCATACGTCAACCGAGCATTTTGCTCAAATCAAAAGCTATTAACCGGTAAGTCAGAGAGAATGAAAATACTTTTCATGTCAATCGGAAGTGAAGAATAATTCAATGAAAAATATCGAAGTTCCAAATCCCCCCTGTAGATATTATAGCAAAGTTGTAACATAAATTTTTGAAGGGTATGATTAACTCATGTGCCGAGTTTGATTACATTTTACTAAGCCAATCTTGAATTGAGTTATTGAATTAAATATGATGGCAAATTACAAAAGGTCAATACAACAAACACCAGCGAATATTTTCCATGAAGCATCTCCAAAACTTGATGACGTCAAGCTGGATAATGACATTCAAATAAATAAGTGTTCACACATTCAAAATAAACTAAATATGTAGGTATATCATTGTGTTTTTCTTAGGATCAAAGTCATAATCGGTTCTTAAGACCTCCTTGTCCCTTAAAGCGTTCTTGGAATGAATTTCATTTAAAGGAGGGTTTAAACGACAAGGAAGCTCCAAGGAACGACGGTAAATTTGATCCTCAAGTTTTTTATTAAAAATAATATTTATAACAAAAAATACGGCAACAAAACATTGCTAAAAAGAAACATTATTTAAAATAAACATTATTTTTTAGGTAAATGTTCAAACAGTTTAACAATATCCTAAGCGATCATCAAATTCAGTTCTAACATTGCTTAATTGATGGTTAAATCCTGTCACATTCTAAGGAAAAGGCGGTTTGTGGCTCGTTAAGATTTTAAAATTTAACATTTTTATAGATTTGATTTTCTGATAGATTTTTGTAAATTTCGGCAAAAGGTGACCTCGGCGGCCAAAGGATTTGGCACCTTGTGCGAATAATATTCCCGTTAAAAATATTTCCCAAATACTCCCTAAACATACGGTAATTATGAGAGGGACAACCATCCCTTTGGTACCAGATCTTCGCGAACAACTTCTAGTGCGAGTTCAATTTGATTTTGTAATAATATGATGTCCGCAAATTCTCACCATAACATTTATTTTTTGAGGATATTGGCTTCGAGTATGAACAAATTCATTGGCTCCAATACTAGTTTTGAACATTTGGTTTGTTGTTGAGTGTGAATGTACATTCATCAGTGAAACAAATATTTTTTTTTTAAATCCCTATTAATATTTCATATTTCCAACATTCTTTCTTCATCGCCTGTCCGGTGCTCTTGATGCTTTTCTTATTTCTAGGAAAAATATTTGTGTTTTTTAATGTGCGCAACACTGCGGCCTGATTTTTATTTACAGCTTTAAAATCCTCGTACTAATCATTTTGTTTTCGTCCACATACAGTACAATATTCAAATCTCTGTTGTCCCTTTCTTCTGCTTTATTATCGGCATTTTTAGCTGAACATTTACAGTTATTTATTACGATGCCTTTTGGCTCGAATTGGATAATAATACGTTTCATAATTGTTGAAATCGAAGGTATAGTTTTAGCACGAAAATAACCTGATAATATTTCAGACACTGTTTAGTGCCACTTAATTATGATTTTTTCTTCAATTGGATAACGCATATTTAGCTTTAATTGAAGCGCTTTAAATGACAATCACAAATAAAAATATTGTCAAAATGTATTTTACTAGTATTTGATTTATTACCTAAAAAAATTTCTAATTTTGCTATTATATTTAATTCAATAACTGAAGATTGGATTATTAAAATTTATTCAAACGCGGACATGAGTTAATCAGTAAGTGTAAGTTATATTAAAATTTACATGGGATTCCTATATTTCGTTCATATATACTAGACTACAGGGTTCAACAGTAACTAACCAAAGCAAGCAAACTATCAAGCAAAGCAACCAAGGAGTCATCCAAACGCGCTGCAAAACAGCAATCGTCGAGCCATGAAGCAGTACTAAAAAGGATGTGCTTCATAATGGTTACACTCACAAATATTTTGACAAAATAATACCAAATTCTAAACGGGAAACAACAGAAGAAAATGAAATGATATATTTATATTACATATCGATTTGATAACCTGATTGCTTAAAAGTCTGTTATAGTAACTAATAAATAAATTTTTTGGTGAACCAAAATTGGAAATACGATAAGGTAAATAATTCACTAATCCTACTAATACCCTTTTGATATCTTGAAAAATTTCTTACTCCGCTTCTTATTTCAAAATATCCTCACTTATTACTTATTACAATAATAGTATTTTTGAGCACACATAGTTTTAAATTACTTAAAATTTACACGTGACACATTTATTTTATATTCATTATATGTTTGTAAATAATTGATAAAAACGAATAGTACGGTAACACTTGAATCGATAAGTATAGGAAACAACTGAACTCGATAAAATAGATAGATACAGCGTGTTAAAAATAATAATAATAATAATAATGAATGGTTAGAAAACAGTTTAAAAAAGACAGTTAACAGTTTAAATATATGATAAAATACTGATTTATAAACATGCAAAAATACATAGGATGTTCCAATTAAAAAAATATATTTTTGTAATGCCTACTTTTTTATGAAATAGTCTATGTAATTAAAAATATTTTTAAAATGCTTGTCTATCGATTTGATGGGACACAATAATTATATATATATATATATATATATATATATATATATATATATATATATATATATATATATATATATATATATATATATATATATATATATAGTTCGAAGTGTTTTCGGAGCGCGAGCATTGAAGATGCCCAGTGAGATTTTGGAGAAACGTCTGCAGGATTCCAGTCGGAGTTCAACAAGCGAACGGATGATATCCCGGAATATAGTGTCATCACATTTTTCCATCCGTGAATCAATACGTGAAAATATATATATATATATATATATATATATATATATATATATATATATATATATATATATATATATATATATATATATATATATATATATATATATATTTTTATGGAATTGGGAACTTCTTTCTAAATTGGTGCGATAAAGCGATGGTTTTTCGTTTAATGAAATCCGGAAGTTATGCCAAATATAAGCAAGTTATTTGAAATCACGTCGATACAGCTTCCCTGGCGCAACAATGTGAGAAATGCTATGAAATAGCGCACTTATTATGTTAGCAGTTAAAAACACAATTGACCCATTAAATATTAATCCATATACACTTCGGTTTGGAATAGATGAAATGCGTCGTCTTTTACTGCAAACCCAAACTATCCGCTCAAAACACAAATGGGTAAACGCGCTGAAAAGGAGATCCGAGCCGACTATCGACACGAAACGGAACAGACTTCGCGGCAAACTGAACTGACCCAACAACCAATACACGGAGAAGTGTACATTTCCAAAATGAAACTGGTAATGGTAATGATAAAGTGCCGCTCGTCTAATGTTGACCGCGTTTTCATCGCCACGCAGCCCCGACGGAATTTCAACTTGGGTTGCCGTTAATAAGCGGTTAACTGGTGCGAGTTTCATAATTGCACCCTGTCCTTTTTTAACGAGTCAGAATTAACACCCATCATCGCTTAAATGAATGCCTGCATCGGTTATTTCACTTCAAGATTCTTCGTGATTTAAGCAGGGAACGTTGAAATTCGTTTGCTGTCACCCTGTTCGCTAGCTGGATATTATCAGAAACCTTCTTGGTAACCGGACATATCTGGACGAATCCGTACCATAGCATTTGTATTCGCCAGTACTATACCGCACAGATGTAAGATGTAAGGAGCAATGCAAAAAGAATTGCTGCCTTTGGAATATGCTGTGGGCATAGAGTAAGAGTAAATGGTGACTTTTAAGTGAACAATCGGCAGTAGTGTAAAAATTTAAACAATTTCTAAATTGAGTAAAGGACTGTAAATTTAATATAAACATCAAACCCGCCAGTTTAATAGAATTTTTTTTAACATTTTAAGGGATTTGTTATATTAATATTAACATATAATATACCTATAATATTATGAGTTTTCACTATGTATAAATAAATCTTAATATTTTTATACGTCCGCAAGAAAAGGCAAATGTAAATAGGTAAGTACAGAATTGTCTCATAAACAACAGGCATCGAAAAAATTTACAAGACATACACTAGCTCGGTTAAATTTGAAGAAATTTGAAGAAATAGATTCCACGGGGTAGGTTTAAGTCATCTGACTGCGCAGAACTAAGTGCCTTTGCTTGATCCTAAAACCATTTTCGAACTGTCACCGAATTGGTAAAACTGCGAAAACGCTTTTAGGTTCATTTTGCATTTATATAAAACCCAAGTTATTTGTTTTGAACAACAATTTCAATAAACAACGTTTTTGTTTATTTTACCATGTTACTTACGTGTTCCTATTCAGAGGCGGCTTTGGACGATAGTTTAATAGAATCTTTGCATTTAGCATGGTAAAATAAACAAAAAAGTTGTTTATTGAAATTGTAGTTCAAAATAAGTAAATTAGGTTTTATATAAATGCAAAATGAACCTGTATAAATAATTTATCTGAAAAAATAAAACATATTCTTTCTAAATATGATATCACAGTTTGCCACAAATCTTACAAAATGATAAAACTAATTTTTACTCCCCTGAAAAGTAATAAAAAAAATCAATTTGCAATTTGAAAGGCGTTAAATGTTAAATTTAGAATTTTGCACCGAATACAAAAACAGAAAAATCTAAATAGTATTCTATTAAAAATTTCAAAGTTGTCATGATTTTTAAGTAGATCTGGTAACACTACAAACCATTATATCCCAGATCTAATGACAATCCGCCCAACGTCTCTTAAATTCTAAATATCTAGAGATCGTTCCAAAAAAAAATCTTTATGCTGTTCAAACCCAATTTAAAATACACTTTTCTAAATATAAAGACAAAAAGAACGGAATAAATTGCTAACCAATAACTATCAGCTGCACAAAGATTTTAATTAACTTTATAGTTGATCGTATTTTTTCCTTATAGCGACTTGAACTAACTCTAACATAACCCGCAATTTAATTAATACACAACACTCCGATTACTAACAAAAGTAACCGGTTCGCCTCTGTCGGTAGATACGCTTTGGCGAATAGGTAGAATCCAAATGGTTACATATAATTTTATTTGAAAAACAATTTTAATTAAAAAAAAAAGTAAATTTCTTTAAAGGTTATCGTTTTTGTCTGTGGATTGTGGTCCCCATAAAAAATAAAATATACCTACTTATTTTTGAAATAGTACTGAAATCGCAGTTTGATATTAATTAAATTTTCAGGGAGGTAACAAATCCCCAATTAAAAGAGGTAGTAAAGGCCTCGATAAAAGGTAAACAGAATACTAAATATCTTAAATATTGTGCAAAAGAAACAGGTAATATCAACACGCCCAAACATTACGAATTAACTAAACAAGTTTGGAAACCCTTTTATATTTAAACGAAGTCATCAAAGCAATTTATATACATACCTATTCTAGCAAATGCCTAAACTTAGCTTGTAAATAGGTAGGTACTACTCCTACAGGTGTTAATAAAACCACCAATGACGGAGCAAACGTTAACTTTGTGTTTTCTAATACCATTCCAACTTTGATAGTTAACTGATGATAAAATGGAATTTATGTCACAAAATCTAGCAAGAAAAATTACCAATTTTGCTTTATCACTTTGCCTACCTGGTCTAATATACACGGAAGCCGTTTGACACACAATTGGGCAAATTTACACGCACAAGTACAAACACTGCTATCGTCCTTAGCGAATCACTATAAAACTTAAAAAATAGCCCGCCCGCCAATATGAAAAAAACTCATTCGACGGAAATTGGAATGACTGATCGACTGATTGCCGAATTTTTATTCTATTCTGACATATTGTCAAGTTAGTTCACGCGTAAAACTCGTGAGGACGCTAGAAGGTGAAGGAACATTATGTCGATAATAAAGTCTCCTTTAAATTTGAGATAATGGCGATTCTCTATACTCCATGATAATGGCTTTTTACGTCTAACGCAAACTAGGAGAGGATTGTTAATCCTATTTAATTCCGATCGTTTTGTACGGGCGAATGAAATGACGTCACCTAACTAAACTGAAACATGTTTCATCCATCAAGTTTACAAAATAAAAAGATTAATTTTGGTTTTACGATACTCAGGTAACAGCTGCAATGACGATGTGGTGAGCTAAAAGGATCCAAAACAGCTAAATGCATGAAACATTCAAAGTGATAACGTGACCACCACAGATATTTAAACTTCCACCATTCAGTTAACCCAAAGTACTTTTCTGTGTTTACACATGGAATAGTCGATTTTGTCCTGTCTAAAATTTTACTTGCAGGTGTATAGAAGAATTGTAAATTTTTGATGGTATCTATATATATATATACATATATACATATATATATAAAAATATATATCAGTGATTTTAGTGTACCTTATCTGCTTGGAACTTGAAAATTATAAATAATAAAATTTAAAGAAAATATTCTTAAAAAGGTTACAATTGAATTAATACCAGAACATGTAAAGTACCAGTTTAGTAACTAAGTTCTACTGAATCACCATCCAGTAAATTCAATATGAATTCAAATCCCTTGATTGTAGTAGTTAGTTCCAGCAATACAAAACCTAAATCTATTATTAAGTTGATCACTAAACATAATCCGGAAGAAAGTAGTTCAGGTGTTATAATACATCGGTGGAATATAAACACAAAATATTATACAGCTGATGTCAGTTTTGTAGCTTTTCCAAGTAGTTATGAACGCAGTGAAGAGTTTAACAATCAAGTTGAAGCTCTAATTATTCATATGGATACCAACAAAGAATCTGGCATTGAAGACCTGGATCAATATATGGTGTTGGAAAAAGAATGCAACCCCGATATAAAATTGCTAGTATCTAATTACTGTAATGAAGAAACAAAAATATCGAGAACCAAAGCAATAGAATGGTGCATTAAAAGAGGTTTTGAATTTGTTGAACTCTATCCACTGACTACAGAGCCTGCAGAACAAGATATATTAACAGAAAAATTTGGTATTCACAGGATCATTGAAGCTCTACATGCACATACTTGGTCCAATCTTGTATTAAAACCACAAAAAACAAAGAAAACAGAAGGGGAATTAAAAGTTTGTCAAAAAGCAGATCAGGCTGATAGGAAAACTGCAAATTCCGAAGAAAAGGATTCTGTTCTTGATGATGAATTTATGGAGTTGTTTTCTCAAATTGGAATGATGAGAAACAGTTTAGGTTCGTTGTCAACACATCAACGCAGGCAATGTGCTGAACAAATGGTTACAGCATTTTGGAAAGCTATTGGAGGGGAAGAGGAAGAACTTCTGGACTTGTAAAATATTAATAAATTTATTTATTTAACTGTTAAATGTAAGACATATTGTCTATATACAATATTTTAAAATGAAATATTTTTTGTTTTATGATCAAATTTTCCTTACAAATAAAAATTAAAATAGCTATTTACTCCAAATAATGGAATTCTCAGGCGCCAATTCCTCAAAAAATCTACCCAGGAAGACCAAACTGAAAAATAATATAGAATAATCTCTTATTGCACTTGTCTGCCACGCTTGCATCTCGCATGGAAAGAAGACAATACAAATACTACTATTACTTCTCGTGTTCATTATAAATAAAATTTGCTGAATTGGCCGTTGCAGTTGATTCATCTTCTTTTCCTCCTTGTAGCCAAAATTCAGGATCATTCGACCCACCTTAGCTGGAGCATAGGCTTTAAAAAAGCATGATCTGTGATTGGCTTTGAATTTTGACATTTAATGTGATTAAGCAGAATTTCGGTATTTTGTGAATGATTGTTTTCACTGTGAAAGGTACAAAAATGTCGAAAATAAATGAAGTTGCTTCTTTATATAAACAGCTAAAATCAGAATGGAATTCACCTTCAAAAAATTTAAGCAAATGCAGTAAACTGTTATCTGATTTAAAGGTAAAATTGATTTGCATGCAAATAATTTTATATGGATTAGATTTTTTTTTAGTTGGAATTGACAAACTTAATATTTTTGCCAACGTCTAACGCAAGCGCATCTAAACAAGAACTTTTGCTTGCTAGAGATGTTCTAGAAATTGGAGTACAATGGAGCATTGAGGCTAATAACATCCCAGCTTTTGAAAGATACATGGCACAACTTAAATGTTACTATTTTGATTATCAAAATCAGCTAGAAGAATCTTCTTTTAAATATCAATTGTTGGGACTCAATTTACTATTTCTTTTATCTCAAAATCGTGTTGCAGAATTTCATACGGAATTGGAGCTTCTACCAGTTGATCACATACAAAATGATGTTTATATAAGACACCCTTTATCTATTGAACAGTATCTAATGGAAGGAAGTTACAATAAGGTATAACACTTCATTGTTTAGGTAATTTTAGATTGTACTGATTAAAATGTTTCAGATATTTTTAGCCAAGGGTAATGTACCAGCAAAAAGTTATAATTTATTCATGGATATCTTATTGGATACAATTCGACATGAAATTGCAGTGTGTTTAGAAAATGCTTATGAAAAAATTTCACCAAAAGATGCTGCCAGAATGCTGTATTTACAAAATGAAGATCAGCTTAAAACCATTGCTGCAAAGGTATGTTAGTCATGTTATCAAAAGTAGAAAGGGAAAGAAATAAAAGTCTTACCAATCTTTGCAATCTAGAAAAACTGGAAATTAGGCAAGGACAACTTTTTCCATTTTACACCAGAGATGAGATGCCATGAACCTATACCATCAGTTGAACTTGCCCAGCAAGCTGTCGAGTATGCAAAGGAATTGGAAATGATCGTGTAACTTTTGTTAAATTAAATTATTTTAATAATATACAACTTTTGCAATCTTACAGCTTTTCACTTCCTCACAAAATGAAAATGAAATGTGCATAGTGTAATACAAGATAAATCTGTAAGTTTTTTTCTGCCTCTTCAGTCAATGCTTGATCCTAGACACCTTATTTTACAATAATGCCTTGTCTTTCTGAATTTCAATCTTGTAGGACATGATAGTCACAAATACCTCCTTTATTTTTTCTATCTTTTTTTATTTAATTTACAGTATGCAGACCATAACCATACATCTCAATTTTTATTAAATTCTTAAAATTTCATAATTTTTAATTCTGCTTTTGTTTAATGTAATGGTAAACCAATCTTTCAGGCATGGCATGGCGCAAAATTTTACTCTAGGATTGTGTTTTACCTGTCTCATATATTTACATACATTCTATGTATTTAAATTTAATTTTTAGTACAATCAAATTCTTTCCACTCATTAGAAAACTGCACAACTCTATCACTTTGATCCTTAAACATTTGTCTCTTGGGTTTCAGCCACTTGCTGTGATGTAAATCTAACATTCCTCCAATAATTTCTTGCGCAAAATTCTTTGGAAATATCCTTTCATCTTCAATAACGTGGGCATAACCCTCTTCAAGGCCAAAAGAAACAAAAAAGTAAGGCAAACCCTTAGGTATTGCTTTTCTGACATCCCTGCCTTTTAATGACACTAACTTCTTGTTTTGGGCCCAATCAGTTTCTGATTCATCAATGGCTTTTTTGAAGTACATTGGAGCCATATCTGCATGTTCTTTTGATATTGGAATACATTCAATCACCATGTGAGGATGTTTGTGAAACATCATGGAACATTCAAAAAATACCGTTTTTTTATTTTTTGTCTCAAAATATCTCACAAGGGCTTTTCTGAAATTCATTAACTCTGCCCACTCATTTTCATCTGCATGGGTAGAACAGCTAACATGTCGAATGGGAACTAAGAAGCAGTGTCCTGTTGTTAAAGGTTCATAAGCAGGCAAACTTAAATAAGCATACTCTCCCATGGAGACAATTAAATGGTTTTGACTCTGCTTTGATTGAATGCACAGAGTACAATTATCAAGCTTTGTCTCCATCTTTTGATGTTCAATTATAGCTCTACTATTATTGGCTGCATCAGATTTCAAATCTGATTTCTTCCTTCTAATTGTATCAACAAATAAATTATCTAAATCATCATTTTTACGGACTTTGCTATATATCTCCACAAAATCCTTATTGTGATCATTAGGCATGTTATATTTTTCCTCCTCGAACATTTCTTTTAAAGAATAATTATCATCATCTGCAAAATACTTAACCCGTTCATTATTTTTGTGGGTTTCAATTTTCCTTTTCTTATGTTTGACACTTGAATTTTTCAAATCTGACTTAAATTTCAGTGGCTGTGACCTTCCCTGAGAATCAGTCTTTGTTAGTAAAACACCTTCATACTTTTCCTCTGATTTTGCCAATTCAATAGCCTTTCTTGCTTTATCCAGTTTTGCTGTTAATTCAGCCACAAGTGTGATGTTGCCCATGATTTCAGCTTTAACGAGCTTCCCAGCTAATAAATTTAATTCAGTCTCAGAAGTAATGTCATTATTACCCAAATCTGATTTACTACAAGTGGGATTAGAATATTCATTTGCTTTTATTTCTGACTTTGATACATTTGTTTTTTTCCAATTTGATGTCCGTCTTAATTCATTCCTTGTATGAACCAAGTTACCCTCATCTTCCTTTGGCTTTTTGAATTTAGGAAGACCATCACCACCATGTTTCCAATAGGGATTTAATTCTCTTGAGCTTTTACTTGGGTCATATTGTTTCAACCCTTCTTGATTTTTTTTCTCCTGATTTCTCTGTTTTTGACGGTCAATATTGGAAATACTGGTGAATGATGTAGGCAAATCCATCCAATTTTCTCTTTTTTGGGATCCTTCCGAAATAAAAGTTGGCTCTAACTTTTTACCTTCAGATTTGTTTCTTAAATCTTCAACTTCAACCCATTCCTCTTCTGACGAAGAACTTGACTTAGAAGCTGCTTGTTTCGCCTTGCCTCGTGTTTTTGCTTTTTTCCGCTCACCATGCCTACCCTAAAACAAATTAATATATGTTTGAAAATAGCCGTAATGAATACAAAAAAAAATACCATTTTGCATTATTTTTGTAAGAACTTGTCTGAGACAACCATAACCATAACATGCATAGAAAACAACATTGCAGTAATGTACATAAACTATCAAATACATTGGGGGATTCTGTGGTGGAGCATTGCACGCGGCGGTTTAACTTCCTGCCGACAGAATCCCTTGTATTCGTCCTCAAAAGTTTGTTATCGGTTTCCACTGTGTGGATCCTCGACCGAAGTCGGCAATGGGCAAATAATCCTAACAGCTTAGCCTAACAGTCATGTGAAACGCATTATTGTACTTGTAATCTATGAAATAGAAAGTCCCATTTATCATAAAATGATAAATAATAACATTAATGATATGTTCCGAATGATTAAACTTTATTAGTAAGTCCCTTTTAGCGAAAGAAATTTGAATAATATGCTGGTAGTTTCAAATTTTGCTGTGGATAAGCTACGATCGCCATACCAACCATAACATTTATCTATGATCATTACCAAGTATTTTGAACTATTGGTATGAGTTCATCTATTTTAGTTTGAATCCATTTCCAAATCCAAGAAAAGCTGGAAGCTATTTTTCAGAGTAATCAATAAAATGTTAATAATCTAATTCATAATAATCCTTGTATAATGGACCAAGAGAGCTCATATGACACTCATAAAACAGATGCTTCTTTAGCACAGGAAAGTTCTATTAATGATTCATTTGCCACTCCTGAAGCAAGATTTGAGTGTCCTATTTGTTTGGCATGGCTGAGAGACCCTGTTTTAACTTCTTGTGGACATCGCTTTTGCAGAAGCTGCATTTATTCATGGCTGGAGTACAAACAGTAATAATTCCTGCAAATTGTATATTTTTCCAATGTTTTTCAGAAAAGAAAAGGCCTGCCCTGTTGATAATATGAAGTTGGATATTGCAGCTGATATTTTTCCTGATAATTTTACTAGGCGTGAGATATCTCAACAGAAAATAAAATGTCCTAATATTATTCGAGGCTGTTTGAAAGATCTGTCTCCATTGGATGTCGAATCTCATTTGTTGGTGTGTGAATTTAGGCCACCTTCATTGCCTGAGAGTGAAAAACTACAGTGCACTTTTGTAAATGTTGATTGCAGAGATAAGTTTGAAGATGAACTGGAATTAGAAAGGCATTTAGAACAAAATGTGCCCAAGCACTTAACAGTAAAAAATAAGATGTTTTACAAAGTGTTGATACATATAATATCTCTTTTAGTTACTTTCACAAGCTTACGCAAATATGACTGCTAGTCAAAATGCTAGTGCAAGTACATCTGTGATTCCGCAAACCAATTTTTGGGATCCTCCCTCGAAAAATGAGTCAACTAGTCAGAGCTTGGATGATGATAGGATAAGCAGTTTGTTAAAGTAATAACTATATATATTGGCATGTTCAGTATTGCAATTATTAAAGCATTGTTATTTTAGAGCTCTATATGAAAAGATTGTGATGTTGGAACAAAAGACCCGAGAACAGGATATTATAATTGCAAATATGTCACAACAAATTTCATCATATAACCTTACAGTCACAAAGTTTCAGCAGCGTTATTGTAATGGCTGTTATATTTGGTATTTTAATGATTTTAAAACTAAAATCAGTACTATGAGGGAAAATCCTGGAATTTTTCATTATAGCCCAGGATTTTATACTTCTGCTTATGGATACAAGTAGGTTACAGCATTATTTTCTGGCGTTTAATTTAAATATGTCCTATTGTCTAGGTTAGGAATTAGGTTAAACTTGTCTCCTAAAGATGTAAACTATCTGGCCATTATAGTTCATTTCATGAAATCTGAACATGACAATGCTTTAGACTGGCCATTTTGTGGAAGATTATCCATAGAAATTGTTCATCCTACGTGAGTACATTTAATTTTTTTTTGTTTTATTTATATCAGGTCCATCAAGATACCCTAAACATTTTTTTGTAACTTGGCAATTTTACAATTCAAGAGACCTCTGGTGGAGAAAATATGACTCTAGTTTGTAAGTAAAATTGCATTGTTGTAGGAGGTTCATTTTTGCCTTGTTTTTTTTTATGTTGATATGGTTTTAAAAAATAGTTTGACATAATTCGCGATTCAGTGCCTTTAGAGATTCATCAGGAAGTTCAACATTAATGGAAAGAAATTGTTCTTTTGATGGATATTACTCAAAAAATATTAAATAACAATTAGCTTTTAATTTTGTTAGGCATTCTATAAAAATGTCCTTTAAGTTAAGGGTTCCTGCAGTAGACCCAATTCAAATTATAACTGTTTTCCTGATATTAATTTCATTTTTTGTCTACTGAAGTACTCCCAATTTAAATTCTTATTGTTCCCTAATTCACCATGATTTTCATTAAATAAGTGCCATAAATTTAATTTGCAGCCAATCTTTTCGCAATATTAAAGAGACAATGATGACCCGTCCTGAATTAGCCGCATTCAATCGTCCAGTCCAAGACATGAATCCTAAAGGTTTTGGTTATACAGAGTTTGTTTTGGTGGAGGAATTATTTGAACAAGATTTCATTGTTAATAATCAACTTATTATAAAAGTAAGGGCTCAAGCCGTCTAGCAGTGTTGCTATACTTGTGTACTCATTCCATTTTTATATTGTACAGTTATTGTTGTATTGTTATTGGTTACTTATTATTATATGCGCCAAAACTGTAGTATTATTATTAATAAATTATTTTTAACCATTGCACATATTGATATTGTGAGCTTGGCTACTTATCTATAAATAATGTGTAACAACCATTATTCTATTTTGGTTTTGTCTTTCTTAGCGGGTCATTAAATCAACTATAACTAGAAATACCCAATGTGAGTACAAATTTTGTATGTTTGTACAATTTTGGTTTGTAAGGAGTTTCATTACACAGCGTATAGGGTAGGTCAAATACACTTTAAATAATAAATTTTCATAAAAACCGCGAGTGTTATGGTATCAAAATTGTAGGGGCTTTTTCAAAAAATGTGCATTTTGCTATAGAAAGTTTTGGGCTTGTCAAATACCAGGCTGCAACCGTTAAAAAGGATATCAAAAATAAAATTTTACCCCAACGGGTAAAATGGTTCGGGTTCATCAAACGCGACGGTGAAACTAACTAACAAGTGACTTCGCGTAAAACTGAACAGAGTGAAATTTTATTTCGTCCAAAAACAACAGTCACAACTATTTACAACTATTATTCACTATAGACACTATTAATAAATTATATGACGTCTCTATTTACATTCGTTGACTATATTTCTGCGTTGCACAGTTTCTCTTTTAGACTAACCAAGACCCGCTGCTCCGCTAGTGCCTGACCAGGTCCATTCGACTCGCTCGGCACAATATTTGGAACCCGTTAGGCGAGCATTATACAAATCGGTAGCGTAATTTACGTCAAATAAATAAATGTTTGAAAAATGCTAGCGTAATAATTTAGTCTAGGTAAAAGTGATGTTTTCTAGAGATATAAGAGTGTCTTTTTTGAAAACTACGAAGGCGACTTATTTTTTAGATACTCTATTTTTATTTTCTTAATAAACAAATTACGCCTTAAAACATTAATTTATACATGCCTCCACCCCAAAATTAATTTTTTCCTCAAGTTTTTCTGGATTTCGTGAAGCTCTGGTCGCCCAGCTAAATTCATATTTTCCCCCGGATCAATCGAATGATCGTAAAGTTCCTTCCCGTAGCATTTATTCCAAGAAATGTTAAACGTGCTCGTATTAAATCCGACCCACTCGGTATACCTATATCGCCTTGTGGTCATGGAATACCCCATTATCGATATATTTTTTAGTATTGGTTTATCGCTGTTTAATTCTGGATAAGGGCCTGGACGTGGATATTGAGAGAAAACCGCCGACTTGCCTTTACTTGCCTGAAATTGGCATATCGGGTAACATAAAGGGACATTGAGTTTTCAGGAATTTCTCACGTTTCCCCACATTGCAGATGCCAAACTCCTACCTTCACTGCAAAGGGCTGTTGACTCATTATCAACAGGACACAAGGACAATGGCTTTGAAATTTGTGTTAAATCTACCAGTGTTGGAAAAATGTCTACCAGTTCTACCAGTTTCGTGATTTTCTTTTTATTTTTCGTTAAATTTGGCACATGTATCAGTAAAGGTACCCTTGTAGCTTCTTCAAAATTGCTATACTTTGCAAGTTCACCATGTTCTCCTAGCGACCAACCTGCAAAAAGTTTCATCGAATAAACAAACTTTGTAACTAAATCAGACAAAAGTGTAAGACATTAAAAGGACACATACATAAGTAATTATATGTACTATACATTAACATAATACATTAAAAAATAACATTCAAAATAAACATTATTTTTTAATTAAATGTTCAAACAACCCTCCAGTAACAGTTAAACAAAATCCTAAGCGATCATAAAATTTATTTCTAACATTTCTAACAATGCTTAGTTGACATTGTGAAATGGGGTCATATTCAAAGAAAATAGCGTTTTGTAACTGGGGAATTATGGGCGGGACAACCAACCATCTGGTCCAAATACCACTGCCCTGGAACATTGAAATTAGGATAATTTTGACAAACTTTGAACTACATATTTAAAAAACCTTAGGTTTAGAGTTTATGCTATCGATATTTAGACAATATAGTGGCCCTAGTAAGGTACAAAATGATGTCCCTCGAGTGGCAATATTTTCATAGAGACGGGAATGATCTTCCGTGCATGCCTATAAATTTCAACCCCTAATCATCATTTTGCGCCATTTTCGTTCTAAATAGCTATTTCCGCGTCCTTAACTCGTTTTCCCAGAACATTTAACGCGCTGTTAACACATTTTGAAAAAATACTGTCCTAAAAAATGCTACTCAAACCTGTCAAATTATCGAGCTGTCAGCGGCCATGTGGGATGTCAAACGCTATTGGTTGGACACGGGATTTCAAATGGCAGCGGATGCGCATATTATATAATAATCAGAATTTTTTTCATCTTCGCGTCAAAAATTCCTGTATTATCAGGACCTCTATATGTTTAGTACATATAATGAGTTATCAACCTTTTCTAGTTTAGTGCAACTTGTTAGGTTTGTATAATAGCTGCCAAATTTTGAAGCTACCAAAACGACTGGAGCTACACCTATATCGAGAACTTAAACTAATATAGAAATGAGGGGAAAAATGTTGACTTCGACGATGATTCTGCGTTTTAGCCTTCCGTAGTCTACGGTTCATACCATACCGTGATCTCCTACAAACACAATAATAGTGTTATTATCAACAGCTTCTAACAACTGCCCAATTAAATAATCGATATATGACGTCGACGCATAATAACACTGAATTATTTTTTTCAGAGCATCGTCTGAAATTGGCCCATAGGGAAAGGGAATGTTTAAATCCTTCATATCGTCTCTTGTTCTTATGTCCACCCAAGGATTCCAAGCAACCTCAGGGAGAGTGGCAGGCCGCCATCTATTTTGCGGTAGCGGAATGTTTTCAAGCGGATAAAGGTCTTCAAAAATTTAATAGGAAATTATTTAAATACATACTAGAGGTCATGTAGTACCTAAATATTCTCTTGGAAATTTAAATGGTATGTGAGGCTTCTGAAATCCCACCGCCAAAAAATAAGGGATCGTTTTATTATTCTTTTTTTTCAAAAAATGTAGCGCTTCATGTAGCGACTCTATGTCGGGCAGAGTTCCGAAAGGCTGAAAGTTCACAATTACGGGGCATATTAAATTTGCCCCGAGCGAGCCGTCCTCATTTTGGCACAATTTTGCGTTTTTGTATATTTCACTTTTCGGGTGGAACGGTCTTTGGCTCCAGCTGTATGGAAAATCGTCGCTGAAGTTCGACGTGATGCCTGGATGAAACACTTTGCCGATCGAGTGGGTATGATACCCGTTTTCTTTAAAATGCTGCGGCAGGGTTGTGTAATTCCCCACGGTTGTTCTCCAGTAACTGTGGAAGTCGTATAATCGTAATGAGTCCGGCCTACGACTTGTTAGCAACGAGTTTCGGCTTGGGGCACATAGAGCTTGCTAGAAATTATTTCAAATACCAATGAAAACAATGTTCCTTGTATATTTAGTAAAATTTTACAAAACTGCGTTTTCTTCAGAATTGCATTTCTCCTTTACTTAATATGGAGGATTATCTTTTGGGAAATAAATAGTTTATCGGACGTTGCTACTAGGAAGGAAAAGGCGGCGGGTTAGCAATATTTTTCTACTCCCGTCTGTAAAATGCCTAATTACACACTGATCTAGCGTGTAGGAAAGGTCACTTTAATACTTCAGTTTCGTTTCTCACTAATCTGAGCCACTTCGGACATTTCGGGGATTTTACCGCACGGGTTTGGGAGCGATCGGATGTTTTCGGAGATATTTCCCACGCCTTGAATTGCACTTGTTGCATGATATACTAATTATGCAACAAGTGCGGTAAGCGGCATTTGACTAAGGAGTTTATTTGACATGAGAGGAGCGAATGTTTAATAAACGAGTGATTTAAAAAGTTTACAGAACGTGTTGCATACTATACTTTTTCTACGATACATTTTCGCAAAACAACACGAATACGTTCACTGACATGACCGTGAGAATTGACAAACGGCACAATTTAAGGCGTGGGAAATATCTTCGAAAACATCCGATTGCTCCCAAACCCATACGGTGAAATCCCAGAAATGTCCGAAGTGGCTCAGATCCGTGCGAAACGAAACTGAAGTGGTAAAGTGACGCTTCCCGCACTCTAGATCGGTGTGTAATTAGGCATTTTAGAGATGGGAGTAGAAAAATACTATTTACTCAAACAAAACCAATAGAGAAACCTTTCAAAATTTGGTGAACCTTTAAAAAAAAATTATGGATATATTTGAAAATTGATTTGAACAACTATTATGAATATACGCTCAAAACATTTCAATTGCCATTTCTCCTCACAATTTTGTTAATCATATTAATAATAATCACAGCACAGTACTGCACACCTTCGTGTGTAGTACAAAACGTTTACATAATATCAATGTATTTTACTTACTTGGACAAAAGCGTTCTCAAACACAAAACTTTTGGAAGCTAGCTTGTCGATATTTGGGGTAACTGCAAGTTTGTCTTTAAAACTGCCTATAGCCGGCTTTAGATCATCTACGATTATAAACAATACGTTATTTTGCGCGACCGAACATATTTCCACAAAAACAGAAACGCAAAAATAATCAACCATCCATTTTAAAATTTTATTCTCCATTTTTAAACAAGGAGGCAGTGGGCGCGAGGAAGAGGAAACATTTAGTTCATCTCTGTCTTTCACCTTTGTTGCGGAAGGTTGGTTTCTGTCTGATCAGCTGATACGTGTTGTGATATTCTGACAGTTGTTGGCAAAATATTTCTCCAGTTTTTATTACATAGTGCGATTGAAAATATTTTTTAAAAGAATTTTTAAGCTTTATGTAATTCTTCATTAATCAACATTCAAATTGAATGTACTTCTTTGAGTTTTAAATAGGGAAGAAGTCGAAAGGAATGACACAGGTTTACGTAGCCCCAGCTTTATTGTTCTGAAATGACGCAGTTGCAAATTTGAGAGGATTGTTTGAATTGTCAGCCAAAGTAAGTGATAAAACTCCTAATTATTTTTTTACTGTTCGAAATTAGCTTTTTTGCACGTCTAGTTATGAGATGTCCTTGAAATTCAAAGTTGCCCATCATCTTTGTTTTGTTTCCACACCCTCTTTGTTTTTGCTATGTTGGTTTTTTCATTTTTTTTAAGATGTGTGGTTTCTTTTTGTAGTTTTTGCGTGGTTCGATCAAGCAGGTTTTTAACTCTTGAAAAATATTTATTTGTGCATACTTTATCTACAGTAATAGTGTACGCACTTTGTCAAAGAAATAAAAGGTAATAATTCTTGTTTAACAGAAATTTTGGGTCCTACATGAATAAAAACGGTAAAAGCTCCGGAAAATAAATTTCACAGAAAACACGTTTTATTTTGGGTGTAATTGGAAAACGATTTTTCGTAGTTCGATGTGATCTCCGAATATATATTTTTTAATTATGAATAAAAAATACAATAATAATTTTTTAGATGCTACCGACGTCCTCTTAATTTAATTTAATTTTTCTTGAAGAAGTAAAAACAATGGAAGAACACATCATATTAAAAGTAAAATTAGCAGCACCTAAAAAATCTCAAAGAAAATTTTAATGCGTATCTATTTTGAAAAAAATTAAATTGATTTGGTTACAAACATTTTAACACCATTAGATAGAGTTGGAAAACACGTTTTTATAATGTGCAATTTATTTTTAATTTTGTTATTAATTAATTCTATGTACATTTTTTAAATAAAACTTCAAATATCTCCAAAAAAAGGTATGGATCGGAACCTTGTATATGAAAAATTAATTGGCAACTTCAGATATAAGCGGAAGTTCCACACTTTCTGAAATCTAAACAACTTTTGTCTAGAGTTCAGCCGTTAAATTTAAAAAATGATGCTTTTTAATCTCGGCGGTAAGAGATTTTGTAAAATGGCAGGATTCATAGGACAAGGTTATAGGACAGCTCGTGTGATATATTTTCAGATACCACTTATCACAGCTCAAAACTTTCTTAATATTTTGGGTGCATGCTTGGATGCATAGCTGGATAGATATCTTTTTGATTAAGATTAAGAAATTAAGCATTTTAAATATTCTAAAACTAACAAAAACTATTTTCGGACGTTTTTTTTCCAAAAGAGTAAGCAATTTATATAAACTATTTATTTATTTTTTGCTACTCAGATTCAGATTTTTGGGCTGTAGTGGTGTAAATAAATAGCAGGTGTTTGGTTTTATATGTGCTGATAACACAGACACTTTTGCAAGCTATCTACGCATGCAGGAGTGGTATCAAACCTCGCTTTCAACCAATATGACCTTGTAGTGCAATATGGTTCGCTGACAGATTTTCAGTTTGAAATGACTCGCGCAGGCGCACATTGAATATCCAACCTGGAAATGATTTAATATTGGTTATTGCTATATTCAAATTTAGTAGTTATCTTGATCACTTGATCGATGCTTATAGGTTGTAAAATACAATATCATTTAGTTATATTTAATCATTGACAATCATTTAAAATCTTGGTAAAAATGATGTAAAAACTGGGAAGGTGGAAATTTGCTAATTAATCCGTTTATTTTCAGCTTAGATTAAAATGTCTGCAGAATCACCAAATCACCCTACTGGAATCGATAAAAATAGACACAATGTAGTTCTACCTCAGCCTGTTACGGACCCAACTATACTCGATAGCGTTGCTGGATTTATCAATGAAGTGGTACCAAATACAGCTAGCGACACTTTCGATATAAAGGACCAAATTCAGTGGGCTCACTTTGAAAACTTAGATTGGGATGAATCATCATTTCTGCCAAGCTACAGCAACGATGTGGATGTCCCCGCGTCTGCTTTAGTTCTAGTTCTTGGTTATACTACAGGAGTACAGGTTAGATATTGAGGAACATTTTTTATGGGTCCCTTAAAGCTCTCGACAGGCGGTATTGGGCACAAATTTTTTTAACTGCCATCATAATAATAAAGAAAAACAACTTTTATCAAAATGCAATATTTTTTTGGAAAAATAAAATAAACATTTCTCACATATTCAACTCACAGGGTTTCTAGGCAGAAAAAAAATCATATAAAGTAATTCTTTTTCTCTTATCTTATCGCCTTTTCGTGTGACAGAGAACGCAATATTTTCTTGCAACCTTTTACTATCAAAATTGAAATATTTTAACTATTTCAGGTTTACTCAAAATCTGTATCTTACTTATGTTGATGTATATAGCCACACAACTGCTATTATCATTATTATTATTAGAAATCAGAACAGAACAATTTTTTCATGATAAATGCTTATTCTTATCCAGTGTTCCACGTTGCTACAGTTAGATTAAACTTAGTTTTTGACAACTGATGATAAATAGTCCGCCACGCAAAGCAATAACCAACAAACTTATAACGTATATTTTTAAAAAATGTTTACAGTTTTATGTATATGTAGCTTTCTGGTTAGAATGGGTACCAGATATTTCTTACATAATTGAATTTAGGTAAACAAAAGTTGAGGCAACTAAAGTCTATTTGAGAAAGGTGTAGAGTAATAAAACCCCACTAGAAATGCAAAGGGCCTACAGAGTGACCCAATAAATATTTAACCCACTTTCATTGTTTAGCATTGATTTAATTGCAAAATCTCCATCGTCATCAATTTCATTTACTTTTGTATAATAGATATACTCATTTTAGGCGGTTTTCGAGAAATTAATTATTTTCCCCATTTTTTTTTTCAAAATATGGCGGCAATTAAATTATTACAGCCACATTTGAATTCGTAGAGAGCTAAAATTTAAGTTATACTTTACGGAAGTCTCATGCAATAGTTTTATTTTGACAAGTAATAGAACATATATTAAGAAGGACAGAAAAACACTGCATTGCACAGTTGAAAGACAAAACAGGCAAAGTTTAAAAGTTTTGCATTACAATGTGATAAACCTAAGTAGCACTACAAAAATTAGTAAGCAAGAATGAAAATCGTCAAATAAAAATAATAACATAGTACCCAACCAAATACCCTGCTGGATTTTGCGTCCTATGAAAAGATGAAGCTCAAAAAGGTTCAATGAAAAATGTATTTCCCATCTTTTTAAATACATTCGTATTTTTTTTCTGTATAAACATGGAGTTGTATTGGTAGTTTTTTTGTGTCTAAATATTTGCCTTAATAATCTAGAAATCGGTGCTAAAATGCAAACTTAATAATCCTGCTGGATGTCGATTAAATTTGCTTTCCAAACTGATAGAACTACCCTATAAGTTCTTTCCTAATTTCAAGCCATTTTTTTTATATTGTTTAAACGTTGTGTTTAAAATTCTTGAATGGAATATATACTATATACTATAATATACGTAGGTGTGGGCGGTTCTTGCGAATGGGGAAGCGACCGAAATTTTTTCTTGGCGCCACGGTTCCGTAAAAGTTTTGAGGATACTCCCGGCGCCGTACGTCATTGGTAATTCGAACAGGGACCTTTTCGAGTCCAAGAGACCTCTGATAGCGTTGTGCGACATCGCAATACACGGATCGCCTGCGTGTTCGTTGAGTTTTTATTCTCTAAAAACTGGTGAACAGGTAACGTGTTTAGTTTCATCTTTATTGTTGTATCCATTATTCCGTAACTTGTGCCAAAGGTGAAGCAAATAAAGTTCAAATCTATGATATCGGATGTGGTGGCGAATAGAAGGTCGGTGATTACCACGTTCATGGAAAAAATTGCAATTTTCGACGCATTTACCCTCGAGGACAAATTATCGGTGACCACTTGTTATCTGAGTCCGGGTATACAGCCTAACCCCATTGCTCTTGGGCCAAGATGGCTCGCATTTGCGGAGAAGAAACTGATCCCATCTAGAAGAAGTAGCGGCGGGAACGAGGGCGAGGGTGTTCAGGTAAATCTCGTAATCTTTTATCCTGTCTGTTACGATGTGCGTTTCATTATTAGAGTTATACCGCTACTGTTCTGCACGCTGCCAAGTCTCTGGGTAGAGGATTGAGAGAGCTAGGAGAGACTGTTGCATCCAGCTTTACGGGAAACCAGAACTTTAAACCTGGCACATCACCAAACAGTCCACAAGCGGGCGGTCACTCCGATGTATCCCAAAAGGGAATCGTCACCGTGTTGGACATTGAGGTAATTTACTGCTCTTTAAAATGATCGTTTGTTATTTTTGTTAGTGTGTGTCAGTCTAACTACAAACATTTTTTTAAAAATATTGTTTATATATTTTGTGTATTTTTTAAATAGACTATTGAAATATATGTCATAACGGAAATAGTACTGACATTAATTAACACAATTAAACCGCGGGTTAAACTTTGATTTGGGGTAGTCTTAATTTTCTTTTGTACCGAAATCCAGTTGTAAAATTGCAACGCGAAATATCGTGTTCCATTTTTGGATCTCCCAAGCTGATTGAAGTTTGGCTCAAGGTTATTATTATTCCTTGTCCAAGCCCAGAAATAATAGCAACACATTTTCTTTGCAACCAAATGCCTTATCAATATGAAAGGGATGACCGCGTTTAAGTTAAGTGGTATGGTAAGCTGTTAGAAGGGTTTTATTAGATGAAATTGTTTTTTGGGAGGTTGACAATGTGATTTTCTCAGGTTGACCCTGCATCCAAATAAACTCCACAACATTTAACCTCTCTTGCAGAATATTGGTATTTTTCAATCTAAAGCTGATCATCTGCCATTTTGAATCATTCATTGACAGTTGGTTAGCCAAGAATTGCGGGAGATTGGTTTTTGTCTTTTAGTAGGACTAAAGTGGGCCCAATACTGAACCTGGGGATACATCATACTTGAGCTGTTGCTTTTCTGCATACTGATTGCACTGAATGACTGGTGACTGAATACGTCTAAATTTTATAGATTGAGAGTCATTTTTAAAAGAATGTCATGCTCCACACAATCATGGATTACTAAGGGTTGTTTATAAACTACTTTGTGCAGCTTTACTTGGTTCTGTGATAAAGTAAGTGAAGTTTGATTAATTTTCAGTATTTAGTGGGTTTCAGACATTTAAACTCTTAAAATAAAAAATTACCCATGCAGTTTTATCATTGCAACCATTATTTCTACTGAGGTATTAATGAAACAATATTCTACTTAGCTACAACTTGGCCATCGTTTGCCGTATTTATTTACTCCAATAACCAAAACAATCGAATTTTATGAAAACCATTGTAGTTCATAAATAATATAATTCTTTAATTGTTAATTACCATTAAATTTCCATCTTCGTTTGGAAGAAAAGCATCCACAAATCATATTTTTATTAGAGAGTTGTGCAAACAATGATAAAGCAGTCAGTGCAAAATAGACGTGTTGGAACAACTGGAATTTGAATAATTTGAATTTTAAAAATAGGCGCGCCAATCTACTTAGATTCATTTTTGTGTACTTAGATAAAATACTTGAGGCTGGTTAGGGTACATGAAAAATTATTGTTTTCAGAACCCGTCAATACAAAATGGAGACAGTTCGACGCAAATGCAAGCCACCATCGCTCATTTCGTGGCGCATACGGAAGCGATCGTGCGGCTCCAGTTTGACCCCTCTGGTCTATTGCTATTAACTGCCGATAAACGGGGACACGACTTTCATTTGTTTCGCCTTAACCCTCACGGGATGGGATCGACGTTGGCAGCCGTGCATCACTTGTATACCTTGCACAGAGGTGACACTTCGGCGGGCGTGCAAGATATGAGCTTCTCATTCGACTCGCGCTGGGTAACAGTGTCGACTCTTCGCGGAACCACACACGTGTTTCCAATAACGCCGTACGGCGGTAATATCGGTGTCAGAACACACACCACACCTCACGTGGTCAATAAAATGTCAAGGTTTCATAGATCGGCGGGACTAACGGCGGAAGGAAGATCAAATAGTCCCGTTTCAATATTCGAAAGCCCGATTAGTACAAATTTTCCATATCACAATCCCAGGTATCCGCCGTTTCCACACCCAACGGTCGTGCATCCTCTTGCTCAAATCAGGCAACCCGTATTTACTCAAAATGTGGGCAGTACGGTACCCCGTCAAGGTGGGAACTGCATCACAGTGGCTCATTTAGCTAATCTACGTGTACAAAAATAAAAGTGACAATATTGTTATTTATTAAAAAATAGATATGAACTTAAAAATAGAGATTTCTCACTTTATCAACAAATTGTTGCCTTCATTTGTCAATTGACAAATTGTTGGCTTGATTTGTCAACTGACATACATTTTTTGTAGTATATTTTCAAATAACATATGAACAAATCAGTGCCAGAACAGTATCTTGGTACTTCCACTTTTGGACAATAAGATATCAGCAAAAGTTTTCTTCAGGTACTACACAAGAAGGCTCAGATAGTTTTGGTTAGTAAAAGTACACCAATTAATTTACTACTTAAAGCAGAAAATGAAAACCTTATTAATTTGCGAGGCTAGTCCAAAAGAAATGAATTGTCTTAAGAATATAGAATCAAAACAAATCAACCCAGAAGCATTGCAGTTTAGACTTTCCCCTGTGCACGCCAAAATTCGTAACTTTCAATGTCTTTTAAAAATACATACTTACGTTGGCTTGGATGAGATATTGTTTAACTATTTTTTTGATTTGCTACAAGCTATTTCAAATCTTGGCACCGGAAACAATTTCTCTTTTAAAAGCTCCACCTGTAACTGTACTTCTGAAGAAAATACTCTGGATAGTGCTGATGAATATTCGAACTAATTCAAATATAAATTTTTACTTAACACCTTTCTTTTAATTTTCCAACTCAGTGCAATTAGTCCAATCAAATTGGACCTTAAAATAGAAGTAAGATTACGAAAATTGGTACGAATGCTCAGAATGAATTGTGAAAAGGCTCCCAATGCTCAATGCCCCTCGGGCAAAAAATTTGATAGATAGTGAAAGTTTGCAAAAATAGGTTTTTCAGCTAAGCGATTAATTTTACAGCAAAAACGGTTCAAACAAAAATTGTAGATCATCCGATTCTTTACAAAAAGTGTCTCTATACTTTTTGTCATAAGTATTCTCCTGGAAAATAATTTTATTGATTATATATTATTATTATATTCACTTAATATGCTTTTATATACATTTTTGTGTAGAAACATTTTTGTAAGGAATCGGATGATTTACAATTTTTGTCTAAACTATTTTTGCTGTAAAACTCACCGTTTTACAGCAAACATTTTTTTACAAACTTTCTCCGTCAATAAAATTTTTTCCACAAGGAATTGATGGGGACTTTTCACAATTCATTTATATTAGTGTTCTGAACATTCATACCAATTTTTAGCTTTATGCTTTCTTTTGTTGCTCAGACGAATATACTTTTAGTCATTTATGTCATTTTTGTTTTTTTTTTCACCTAGATTTGAAAAATGAGTCACCGTGCAGCGGGCGACGTTTCATCAAGCAAAAGTTTTTATTTAATTTTGTTTGTAGGCCGACAGAGGTTATCATCCTCATCCGAGGACAATATAGCTTTAAGGGTGGTAGCTTGTTTTGCCCCCGCTCGAGCTTGGATAGATACCACACCCGTGCCTAGAGAAATTACTCTTTCTAAACAAGTCAAAGCCGTCGAATCCCTATTTATCATGTCGTGTCACGGAAACTTGGTGCAGTATGACTTGGAGCCGCAGCATGTCGCTCACATTCCTAAAGAACGGGTATGCGATGACTCGCCGATCGAACTAATGGTGTCGGCGAAAGCGCAGTGGACCTTGCAGAGACGCACCTTCTCTGTCGACATACCTCTGCCGTTACCGGCTGACAGTTTAAAATACGTCAGTCAGTCAGTGCCGCTAACGAAAACGAAAAAAGCGGAAGGGAACGACGACGACTGGCTGTCTCAAGTAGAGATTTTAACACACGCCGGCCCCCACAGAAGACTATGGATGGGGCCCCAGTTTACGTTTAAAACGTACACGACAACTAACGGGTGAGTAAAATTATAGGCCAGCAATGGCGAACCTTTTTGAGACGTGAGCCAAGTTTTGTTCATATTTTTTAATACTTAGTGCGTAGCTAATGCCCATTTAAATATTTGTCAACTAAACGTCATAAAAATTCAGTTGTCCTGACGCGTACAAGTGGACATGGTACATGGGCACTAAGTGTTTTGATGAACCATTATTAACGAAAATTACATTCAATATATAGTCGGTTGGATTTGCGATGGCATAGTCCGTCATAAAAGCAGGAGAGAAGGTGCCTCAGTATTTTACCGGCTTCCACTCTTATACTATGAATGGCAAAACCTACCTGCCAGTGTTCTACATTTTTCTGTTACGCCCCGATGTCATACACTCTTCAAGAATAGCACCAATTACCGGATAATACACAATACAGTAGTTTTCACTACAAAACGGGGTCGCATTTTTGATAAGCTGTTGCCGAAACTCGAGAGGCCGTCTTTAATTATTATGGATAATGCACGATATCATTTTGGATCTAGTGAAAGTGTAAGAAAATAAATTATCAATTGGCTACGCAGTAAGCAGATTAATTATTCAGAAAATGTCGGTAAAAATTGACAAAAATTACAAAACAAACATGCCGTAATGTACATACGAATTAATTGTTAAAATGGGTCATCAAGTTTTAAGATTGCCTCCTTACCATTGTATATTTAATGCCATAGAATTGGCGTAGGCTCAGTGCAGTAGTGCAGTGTTTTTTAATAAAAATATTGTAATTGTGGCAATGTATGATGATACTGCAGAAGTATCTGTTTGGAAAGCAGCTCTCCAGACAGTTAGCAAAGAAAATTGAAGAAATTGTATAAAACATACGGAAAATATAATAAAGTAATATTAGGAAAAAGAGAATACGCTTGATATAACGGTACCATCATTTGTTATTAATATAGACGAAGAATCATAATGCGATAGTGGCAGTTTCAATTTTGGCCCTGATGATGAAGATGTTTCATCGTAAATACAAACTAAATATGGTTTAGTCGTATATTTAGTCTTATATTTTATGCGGTATGATATTTTTTTTTTTATTATGACGTGGTGCTTGAGAGGGCCCTTTGCAAATTAGTTCCACCACAGAGCTATCATCCTGCTTTTTCTCAAGATTAATAATTGTTGTAACCATGCCTCAGGCCTGACTCCCGAATCATACTTTCACGATTTTAGGAATGCAGATTACTTTCTAATAAATGATGCTCTGGGTTCCACTGATTGGGAGGGGCTACTGTGGGGTCGATCTCTTAACGATATGCTTACGTTATTTTATAAGATTTGTGCCTTTCAAAAAACTAGCCCCAAGCAAGTTTCCTAAGTGGTTTACACGAGACTTAAAAACCAAAATTTTCTTGAAAAAAATTTAAGCAATTTAAGCATTCTAATTCTATTGATGATTATCGTGAATACTGTAGACTCAGAAAGTCTTGCAAAGATCTATCTATCTGTGCGTTCGTCTTGGTGAGACCTCTATATCTCATTTTTATTGAATCACTGCATTTCCAGCGCAGTTTTACGTAAAATGCTATCAAGGCTTACAACAAACTCCCTGTCCAACTGAGATCAATCACCTCACTAACTTCGTTCAAACAAAAACTTAAACGATACATTGATCTTAATAGAAACCGATCATAAAACTAGTAACTATCAAATTGTATATATGTATTTCTTTTTGAATTCACTCTAGCAGTGTTAAAATTATTGACAATGTTTTTTTCACAATTTAACTCTACCATTTGGAATAAATGTGTAAGTAATTTATATGCTATATTTTATTTTATAAATAGTGTCATATGATCGTTTTAGTGGGTTGCATGAGAGCAACTATGTTGGATGCCGCCCCCACAGTTATGTATTTTGTAAGATATCTCCTTCGAAACTGAATAACGGCCCTTTATTAATATTATTATTAGATTTTCAAAATGTATATTCCATAAATCTCCTATATTGTGCTCTGATTGACCCCGCTTGGCATATGCTTCACCTCTATGGAATCCGGATTATCACTGTCATATTCGCCGAATTGAACAAGTTCAGCACCGTTTCCTTCGCTATAAGTCGGGTGGCGACTTGGCTGACATCGATTATATGGCCCTTGAAAGCTCATTATGTTTGAAAACGCTTTAGGCTCGTCGTGACGAAGCCGACCTGATTTTGCTGTTCAAACTTATTAACTCCAGTTGTTTTTGCCCCTCCATTCTGTCAAAAATTGGATTTTTAGCATCAATTTCTCACCAATAACTCGCCTAAATAGTACATTTTTTGTACCGTACCACAGGACCAATTATGGACGTAATACATTCATCGCAAGGGCGGCCCGGCCCGGCTGCCCAATGAGAACGAGCATTTGGATTTTTTCACTACTGAGGGTAGGTTTAGAAATCAGACTCAAGCAAGCATAACATAACTTACATTAGTTATTTATTTTGCTCTCCTCAGCTTTAGAGATTGTAGCCTAGGCTTTTACTTTTAGTTTTCACTTTTGAATCAACCGGTCATTTAACTATCCATTTTTCCTAAGTTTCATGTAGAAATGGACTCGGTCCGTAAAATTAATAATAAATACATTTTCAGATTGTTTTGGTATTGTTTTAATTTTTGTTGCATGCGCAGAGGTTTCGGACAATAGTTTATTTAATAAATTGGCATAATTTTTTCATATAGATTGAACTACTCATCTTTAAGTATGGGCGTACTAGTAAAATTAATAAATGCCAATAGAACTGATTCTGTCTTTTTTACTCCCAAGTAATATAATCGTGATCGTTAGTGACGACTGTCTTGCATTGATCAAATATACACTTAGGGCGGAACAACATCTGTTGACGTATAAGTGGAAGCAAGGTGAACAATCTAATTTATTCAGTCGGGTATTTTATTGCCGACTATCCCATCCAAAATCGTATCGACTTTATATTGTGAAATATTGTGAAAATTATGTAGTCCAATGACACCCCAAATAGCATTCGAATAAACCACCTAATGTAAAACTTTTTTGGCTCTTGAGTTGTTTTCGTATGTTACCTTGTTTTCTAGCGAAAAAAATGAAAATCATGAAAATTGCCAAAACATTCCTTCTACTTCAGAAATTCAGTCTTCAAATTTTGTGTTCCCCATTATGCTGCTTTAAAATTTAACTAATGTCGATTCAAAATTATAGACACCCAGCCATACAAATTGATTGAGTCTCTATTCAAAAGATTGTGTTATTTCCTCCATATATCATTATATACTTTTAATGTGATTTCAAAAAATGTCAACGGAGTTTGCTAAAATTGTTGTGTTTTCAAAATGTTCTTGTAACCGAAACCAAAATATTTCATGATTTTCATTTTCAAAATCTTAGTAAATATGTCATCATAACAAAGTTACAGTAGACTACTTTTTGCACTAATAATTTATATAAGGTCTCTGTTTATATCCGTGGTTTATTTAAGTTTGGCGCGTTCCGGCTTCTCTTTTCAACTGGTCGACTAGCGAACGCGGTGCTCCGGTTTTTAAAACGCAGCGCCTACAAAAATTCGACCTGTCTTTCCGACCACCTTTCCGGCCAGTTCGTCACAAAATTATAATATACGTATAAGTTTTTAGTTTAGTTAATTTAAAGGAAATATTATATTAATTATCCACACAAATTAGAAAATCTTAATACATCCGCATAAACAAACAAATTGTTGTTCAATAGCAATCGTGGGTCAGTTAAAAGGATCCTGTGGGTCAGTCTCTGACCCAGGGGTCGTAGGCCCGCCATCACTCTTATAGGCTATTCCTTCAGTATTTTAAGATTTTTTTTATTTAGTACCGCCATGTCATTGACTGATGCTCAACCGGTGGATTTAAGTCGCTCCAAACCAGTAAACATGCCCATAACAAAGGCAAACGCGGTACTAATAGAGTCGGGTTCGGCCAGCAGTAGCGAACAGTCACTGTTGGATGTTTATCGGAAAAGTTGCGAAGAAATGGGCGCAGGCGGTGAGCACCAAATCAGAGAAGACCTCGCGGATGCGATGATCGAATCTCCTGGAATTAAAGAAAGTGGTAAGTGCTTTTTTGTCATATTTGTTTTTTTATTCAGCCGTTTTGCTTGGACTATTTACTAAACCCATTCTTTTTATAAAATTTTGTTTGGTTTTTATTTATTTTGTTTCGTTACGCGCCCCTGATAATTATGTCGAAATTTGGTGCAAAGAAGATGAGTACCTATAAACACCACACATGTTAAAGCTCAGATTATGGCGCTTGAAGTCTTTCTAAATAGCAACTTTTCTAAAATACTAGAATGATTATAAACTGTTCAATTCTTGGAATGTATGGGTACATTTTCTAGAACGACTTTTCCCCCCTCCACACTGTAAAATATTTTATTGCCAACAGAGTGGGGAGTAGTTTTCACGTATATGGACTGTAGTATACTTGATCTATAGTATAATCGTCTCAAGGAAATCGCTGCTGACACGAGATTTAGATAAATAAAGACAAATTATAATATCACTTAAGTTTCTTTTGGTTAGTTTGCAATGAAAAATTGATCGGCAAAGTAAGATAATTTTAGATGAAGCACTAATTCTTACTGATGATGATTTCAGCTGCAATAGTGGATATAAATTCTGTATTCACTGTGTGATGTAATGCACTTTTTTATTTGTACTGCAGAAATGTAAGAAACTAACTTCGATGTCAAATAATAATGTAAAATAAGTATTTATGTGGCGATCCATATTCTGAAATAAACAGTTTTTATTTTTATTTATGATTTTTATAGTGCCATGCGAATATAATTAGGAAAAATATTTTTTTGTAATAATTTAAACAAAACAAAATCTTATTTACTACCTTTTATTCATAAGCAGCTTCAAAGAAATTAAAAACTTTTCTGCCACATTCAGCAAATATTCAAAAGAGTTTTAAGACAAATCAACTAAACTGTGTGCGCTTAACTACCAATTATCTGCCTTCATTTTTTTTTTATTTCTATTGTTTATATTTGCTATTATTTAAAGGAATTCCGGCCTCTTGTTTAGCCTTTTATTATGTTGGAAATGTAATTGTATATATAAAATACTAATACACTAATGATCCCTTTAACTAATTGAAATGAAGAGAAAAGGATTATACAGATAAAATTATTGTGAACCAGCGGGCTTTGTGTAAACAGTTTTACAAGTATTTCCTAAAGTAAGGTGGGATGATGGAAAGAAGTTTTTCTTAATACTTGGATAATCATAAGGTATAAGGGGTATACACAAAAAATTTTTCTGCCACAATTTTTAAAAGAACTGAAAAATTAACTGCAATGAGATCGTGGTTTTACAATAAACGGCTAAGTAGGTAGGTAATCCAGTGCCAACCATACCACAGTAAATGTAACATTTTGGATTAAGGAACAAAGTTTTACCTTATGCAAAGATTTAATTTCCAAAACTTTCGCGGTAAGTACGTTAAGTTAAGCCGAATATGGTTATTCTATTCAAGATATTGCATGAAACATATCGGCGTACTTTTTTTTGTCTTAAATACATTCCTCAAACAAATGAGGAGCAATCAAATAGTGTTATATACCTAGTGTTGGATTTTTTAAATTTAAAATGTCTTAACTGCCGTTTTCAGTTGAGCATATTACAAGGCAAAAACAAAATTCACACCCTAGCTATGAAAAGTAACACCTCTCACCCGCAATCCAATCTCTATAAAACCTCTCTCCCCCATCTCCCTAATTTTGAGTTTTTTTTTATTGAGTAGTTTAATGATTCATTTATATTTCCATACAAATTTGTAACTATTTATGTTTATACTGAAAGCGGTAGTTTTTTTGTTTTTTTTTATAGCTCTACTGGTTGACATTGCGTTCCTGGGAAATAGAGTGAAGATTTGGGAATCACAGAGGCCCTGTACGATTTAGTGGATTTAAACTTTTGCCTTGATTCTACGATGTTCAATATGAACAGACAACCTAGGCAGCTAACACATGATATGTTGATATTGCAAGATCAATTACTAGTACACAAAAATATAAAAGTTTGCAGAATATATTCTTTCTTTCAAATTTGAGGATATAATATGACTAAACATAAGTGCCGTCAAGTCTCTTTCGCGCTTCTACAGAGTTGAATGTGGAACGCGAAAAAACCTAGACGCATTTTAATAGGTACAAGCTCCAAAATACAATACAAAAAGGTATTTATCATGAAAAAATATATGTATTGGTTATTAGGTTCTTTGTTCCGAACATTATTGTTTTCATATAAACAAATTCTTGATCTTTTCAAACAGGAAAGCTGTTACTTTCATTTTGCGTTTGAGCGAACGCGATCTCCAAGAAGTAAATTGTTGATCCCATGTGAGTTTCTGTAATGAAAACTTTGCTAACTCAAAATGGACAGGGAGGTACGTATAGACAAGAATAATGCAAAAGATAGTAAACAAAGTATTCAAAATAAAGAATGGAACTGTAACATAGGATGAGCCCAAGAACTTACTTTAGGAAATAAATAACTAATATCACAAGCCTCTATTTTTGTTGGGGATGATAATACCCTTATCGAAAATCGACAATGTTATGTTTATTTGATTTATCGTATGTGCTCTCCTTACCTGTAATGTATTTTTTTTTCTAACATTAACGACTGGTTATGGCATTTGATTTGGGGAATCAGCCAAAGGCAGGCGCAACTGATTACTTACTTCTAGCCTGTTTATTAATAGCTTTGAAACGATCCACTTATTTGCAAAAACTTATGTGCTTTGCTTTAGCCATTTTCTATGTATAGTCGGTATAATTTTTTTCACATTTTGCATAATTTTTAACTTGATTTCTCCTAGATTCAGAAAGAAAAGTTTGTTTTTGATGTGAGACCTTGTATGATCATTTTAATTGCGCGAGTGGTAACACGTTTGCTTAACTCGCTTACTACTAATAAGTACCTAGGTGCCCACTACAGACTACAGACAAACTTCAAAGCTTAAAGCGCCACTGCATCGTTAATTTAATTTGGATAATATAACGACATGCTATGTTTAACAAATTAATAATAATTTCTCTAGCGAAAGATTCTTAGATTGAAGAGCATAACAGATTTTACCAAGATACTAGTTTCGGAATTTCCCCTAATAAATCGGATTGGTACCATTAAAATAAACCCTCTGCCTTCTGGACTAAAGGTAATATTTAAAGGTATTTAAGCTATAAATTCAAATTGATTGACCTATAGTATTGTACTCGAGGATTATAATAAGAATAATACCGTGTATTTTCGAAAAATAAATACTACAATAGTACAATATACTACACCGGCAACGAAAGATAAACTTTAGGATATCCACGGAAGCATTTAAGAAAGCTTGTGAGTAGAATCATTAGGTATCAAAAAAATGTACCTAACAGATCTATGATATAGATATAAATTTGAACTTATTATATTTACTTCAAGTGAATAAAATCAGTTAAAAGCTGTCGATCATTCGCAATTATCCATTGTATTATTTTGTAATTAAATTGTTGTGGGTTTTTTGTCTACATGTTGGTAGCATAGGTTAGCATCATATTTAGTTTATAGGCGGAAAATCAGGGAATGACCGAAGAGTTTTGCCAGGAGTTTCAAAAAACGCCAGTGTTAATAAGAAAAGTAATGTGAGGCTAAGGAGAAATAGTAACATTCTTAAATATTGTCCTCACCTATGACAAAAGATTAATACTGTTGACAATTTTCTCTACTGTTAAATGCCAACTTTCCTACAACAATAAAGCAAGGTCGACCCTACAAGTATCATTTCTGTACAGGGAGCAGCAAATGATCTATTGAACTTAGTATTGATGTGTAAATATCTATTAAAAGATTTCATTAATTGCTCAGATAAATATTACTACTGGTGGACTACGGGTAGTGGTCTGTGGTTCTTACCTATATAATAAAATACCCCATTCCAAATCTGTGTCTGTCACTAATCACAATTTGTTTTCGTGTTCGGAAAGATCCACACCAAAAACTCCCACGATGAAGTAACGCCATTAGAAAGTTTTTGCAAAGAAGTGTGTCGTTTCCGCGTTTTGCACTTTTAAATAACCGCACCGCGTTTAACTCGCGTATTCGCGCGTAGCATGCGAACCGTCACGAATTTTGCCACAACAGGAACAGTATAACCTGCCATTGGCTTTTTCTGTTCAGGTGGGAGGTGCGTTATCGTGTCGATGAAACCCAGGTCGACTTCGGTGGCGAAAGTCGTCAATCCCCTCGGGACTGTGGTGACCGTGCAGTCGGACAGCGACAACGAGGCTATAGTCACGGAGGACGGCGTGATCTACGAGAATTGCGACGAGGCCTTGTTCAGGCCGATGGTGACGCCGCGAACGCTAGCCGTACAAAAGCCCGCCCGGCCTTACAACAGTAACATCATTACGAAAAGTTTAAAGTCGGATACGGAAGTTACGGTTCAGATACTTAATAGGAATAAAACCGAAAAAAAACAGGAGTCGGCGACCGTCTTCGACGTCAAACCTTCTGCGACAGAGGATGCGACATCTGACGGGAAAAGCCTTCCCAAAATTAAACCGCCGAAAACCAAAGAGGACTCGACTAAAAAGTTTGAAAAACTCGAAGTCATATCGTTTTCTGATACGATTAATCTGGACTTTCCGCCTCTGGAAGAGAATTTCTTTTCGTTGGAGACGAAGTGCGACAAGTTCGAGGACGCCGAAGACTGCGGTTTGGAACTTTTGGACCCGGTCGATTCTTTCTGTAAAGAGAATCCGGAAAAACAAGACGACACACTAGCCACGTCTGAAGAAAAGGAAACGGAAAATGGTAAAAAGAAATCGCTTCCGAAGAAGCCTAGAAAACCAAAACACAAACTCGGCGTTAAAATCAACCTGAATAAAGAGAAGGAAAACACCCCTGAACGATACTTGAACGAGGTTAGGGCGGAAATTGTAGTTACTCCACCAAAGCGAACGTGGGCCCGCATAGCTTCCTCGTCCAAAGAAACCGATCAGTCTCTGACGGATACGTGCGATAAGAACGTCGAGGCAAGCTTGGACGAAGTGGTCGAGCATTTTACTATTCAGTTACCCGCAAAGTCCTACGGGAGCGTGACGAATAAACTGATCGATTTGGATACGCCCGTCGAAGACGAAAAAAAGAACATCGTCTCGGAGGAGTTGATAAAAATTGATAAGTCGTCGGACGACGAGAAACCGGAGTCGGGAAGTTCTCCCGTCGACTCCACCGAAAGCGACGATTCGGGTAAAGTTAAGGGGGAAGTGGAAGACGCGGACGTGTCATGCGACGTTAAATTTATCAGCGTGCAAAACGCGCGGGCGGCGAAGAAAAGGGTCAAGAAAAAAAAGAAATAAGAGCATGGCTAATTATTACCCCATTAAAAAATAAATTTGAATTATTTTTACATTATGTTGCGTTCTATAGTCGAGACCAAGTAACTTTTAATCGTCGGCTTAGTTGCATAACGTCATCAAGTACTCGCTTCACTAAACTTGGTACCGTTCTTGCAAAAATATATTTAATAATTAATATTAAAGCCACATCAGGCGACTATGGAATTTTCTTAGAGAAAGGAATGATATTCTATGATAAGGCTAAATTTTACACACAATCTCATATAATTACTACTAGAAGGCTGCTAGAGAAACCGCTCATGAGGAAAGAGAAAGGAGGGAGTTGGGATGTTACACTTCTGCGGGGAACTGTAATAGGTCTCTAATGACATTGTTACGAGGGTGGAGTGAAAAGTCTCCGGCCTGACCAAGAAAAACGATGTTTTAATTTTTTTTTGCTTTATGATCTCCATCAACACACAAATGTGTTCTAATTTGGTTATACCAGTTTTAAACGTAGATTCGAAAATCGGTGAAAACGGCGCAAAGTGCAGGTTAGGGGGTGAAATGTATAGACATGCGAGGAAAAACATTCCCTTCTCTACGAAAATACCAATAGCGCCTGTGGCGCATCGATTTTTACCGACAAGGAAAACGATCTTTTTAAAAAATGTTTTTGGTTTATTTTTCAATATAACTTATACATTTCTCGTAAACGTAGATTGGTCAAGCTCCTCAAAATACTGATTTACAGGTTCGTTAATTTCTTCAAGACATTTTTTGAGGTTAGGAAGCAGGTAAGTCTGGAGAGTAGCGACGTTGCAGCATGAATTCAAACTTCAATTCGTGGATTTCGGACATGGCAACAATCGAAGAATGCTGATGCATTATCGCAAATTTTGTTCTTCTCCAAATGAGGCCGTTTAATTTGCACTGCGTGCTTCAAACATTGCAATAACTCTGCGTAGGATTGCCCAAGGATAGTCTTACCCTTTTCAAGGTAATCAATGTATATAGTTCCTCTTGCATCCGAAAAAAGAATAGCCACAACCTTGTTTGCCGATAAAAAACCCTTCTTTTGAATTGGTTCCCCTTTTGAGTGTATTGATGGGCCCAAGTCATATCAACAGTTATGAATCGACGCAAAAATTTGTTTGGATTGTGCCTATAAAGCGGCAAATTGTCGATAGAAATGTTTTTTGGAATCAGTTTTTGGTCGAGCGTTAGCAACCCTGGCACCCACCTTGGACACAGCTGCAAAATATTTCGCACACGTTCAGCTGACATCCTACAGGTCTCAGCTATCTCATTAACTTTCAGTCTGCGGTATTCCAACAAACATCAATCATTTTTGAAGTTGTGACTTTAACAGGCCGTCCTAAGGGATCAATTTGAAATAGTTGAATATAGAAGTATTCGATGACAGCACGTTTTCCAATTTTTCCATTTTCACGAAAACAATGGAAGCGTCACGCCACCCTTGTATATACTCGCACTGTTGCCAAATAAAGAAAAAATCTTATTTCATTTAAATTTTAAATACATAATTATTTGAGTAATCGTCTAACATCAGAGGTAATATTTTGATGTATTTTCTCCTTATAATGCTAAAATCTTTTTAGTAACTCGATATTGCCGCGCCGTGGTATTTTAGGTTTTTTGCCTTCTATAGATTTACATCCATGGGTTTCCTTAAACATTTCGAAATTTCAGTAATATTTGTGAAAATGTTTCTTATGTCACTATAAACTTGATCCAAAAAATCCTAATATTAATGCACAGGTAAATTTGTTTCATATGTGCAATAATTTCTTAACACATTTCTAACACACGACTGGCCTATATCTCTTTCTTAAGGAATGAATCGGTCTGTATACTCATATACCAGCCTTCTAGGAGTATTAATTTTATGCTGAAATCTGTCGAGTTGAAGAACTTTCAGCGACCAATTTGGTTGTTATACGTGTCTAGGTCTTATTGGTTTGTTTGACACATATAGCTATTAGATGATATAGTGGCATTACTACGGTAAAAATTGATGCGCCTCAGGTGGCAATGATATTTTCGTAGAGACGAGAATGATCTCTCGCGCATGTCTCTAAATTCAAGAGATTTTCAGAACGGCAGAAGAATTAAATTTTTTGTTGATGCAAAGATGAAGCATAAATAGGTTAGGTTTGAAAAGGGGCGGACTCAGGCGACACTCTTCTTCGTAAACCATGATTCATAGACAAATAATAAAAATAATGATTTCTATTTAGTAAATTTTAGTTTGTATTTTAGCTGCAAAAGCTTGTTAAATTTTATTCAAACGTCAACGTCAAAGGTTTAGTTGGTCTGATGTATTGTATTGTAGTATTTTATTACAGCTTTGTCAATATTGTACAGGGTGTTCCCTAAGTTGAGTTTTCTTATTTGATAGTGTATAGAACTATAGAAACATATAACTTTTCAAATAATGCAGATATTGACCTTAAAATTTCTTCCATTTGCTATGTGTGGGCCAGTAACGTCCAACAAAATGAATTTTATTTTTGCGCCAATATGCTTGTGTCGAACTACATTTTTCACAACTTTTTTCCGTTTGTCGCAACCGATATTAACAACATTAAAATATTCGTCACTGGATTCTACGTAAAAAGTAGTAAAAGTTTTATATTCATAGTTATATAGTTAAATAACAGAGTTGTAAGATATAGAAAAACCGGCCAAGTTTTGAGAACTATCCTGTGTCTCTTAATCCAATAATCTAGTTGACGTCTGAATGCGTCAATAAACATAACACTAAGAAATAGAACGGAACTCATATATATTTTTTTTAATTTCTAAATATGATTTTATCCGAACGTTTGAACAGCTAAGGTTATTTACAATTTCTGAAAAATGATTTACCGAGACCTTTGCAAAAAAATAATAGCTCAACTTAAAAACACTCTGTATATATTTTTAAAATTAAAAAAAAATCTAAGTTTTCAGGTCAATTAATCGCTATATTTGGATTCAAACGCAAGAATTGTCTACTCTCATTTCGCTAAACAGCTCTCAGTTGTACTAATAATAATATAGAGCTGTTCGATATTTTGCGCTAGATATTTGAGGTATACCAAAAGCTGTACAGTAATTCTTTTATGATTACAAACACTCGGAGATGCAGGAGGTATTGTGGGGTAGAACCATATAGATATTAGATAATGTAGCAGTCTGACTGTAAAAATTGATATACAAAGATATTTCCCTAGAGATACACTATACTTTGCACCATTTTCTTTCCAAACAACGTTTTCCCACACACTTCACTCGGTTTTCCAACAACAAACGATATTTCAGATGACCGCGCTTGCGGCGTATAGGCTTGCCCTTCTCATTTTTATCGTCGCTGTAGGTCTAGTTGCTATATGGTTGTCCCCAAAATACTTGTCTGTCGTAGAAAATGTTGATAAACTTCTTCAATCCCGAGTTTATTAAGCATTCGCTACGCTCGTGACTAAAATTGTGTTTAACTTATTGCATAAGAGACTAGTTTGATACTTGAGATGTAATGTTTGAAATTTGCAAAGAAATACTGCACGCTAAAACGTGAACAACTTAAAAAAGCTTTGCATAAACCCAGCTCTAGCGGATAAAATGCGAACTCATATACCGAAGTCTCTGACCACATATTTCAATAAAATAGCATGTTAAAACAGCGTTTTACTCTAGTATTAATTAAAGAACTGCTTTAATTGAGAAAATTGAGTAAACTTGATGACTTTTTATTTATTTATGCATAATAATTTTCAGGTGGTTTTTAAGTAGGTACTTAAGTATTTATCTAGTTCTAACATGTATAGAGTAGTTTTATTATTATTAATTTATTTATTAATTTAGCTCGGATTTTTATTCGTTTGTATAATGTATTAATTGCATACATTTTTATTTATTGAAAATTTACCTAAAATGTAAGGTGATCATATCGTAGAACTTGAACGTAAATATCACGCATTTATATTTTTGTGCTATTCTTGGAGCTACATTATTAGCAGTGGTATTTCAATTACGCCACATTGTTACCATGCATTGTTCGTGGTAGTTATGTGCCATTGTTAACAAGTCAGCTAAATTGCCAAGCGTCTGTTTCAGAAGATAAATATTACTAATTATTTTTCTGTTTATTGTATATATATTGTTTGTGCGTGGATAAACTAATAAAAATGTACATAAAGATGTATATGTATTTTAGAACAGTAATAATAAATGTTTATTTAAAATATACATATTATATACTTTTTTTTGTTATTACCTACTAGGCTCATAGCAACTCCAAAAATTAGAAATACGATCATTTTTCATTTGTAATTCTATTTTAATTTCAGGAACCGAACATAACTCATCAACCGAATATATTTATAGAGAAATAGAAGACTTAAGTATTGGTAGTAGTTTCAGTTCCGCCAGTAGAGCCTCGCCGACCCCTTCCTATGGAGAAGGACAACCTTTGCATTTCCCAGGTGACTCTAGCGGCTCTATATAAAGTAACTTTTTTTGAACCACTTTTACATTCACATTATGTATGGCAATAGGCATAGACGTTAGCAAGAAATATATGTCCATATTATTCTGCATATTATGTCGGTCGTGGTATTTACAATAAAACCAAAAAATACATAAAGCCAATCATCACCTTCATCAATCAATAAAAACTATAATTCATTCCTGGCAGTGTTGGAGCTAAAAGCAATTTAAGCAATAATATCCAAAAGTTTTGCCAAATATCTACCGAGTTATATGTTTATTTACTTTCATTTTGTGCTTGGCACATCCTTAATGTTTATATTTTTAATATTCCTATTGTTATGCTAATTGTATTATTGTAAAAATAGTTATGTTGCAGTATCTTGGCGGCTTTTTGCTTTTAACTTCTGAATAGTTCTTTTAGATAAAATTTTGTAAACACCCTGTATGCGATAACTTAAAATTCTCGTGTCAAAATAGTAATATGATGCAGTAGCCTATTGGCAAGCAAGAAAAATTAACAAAATAGTAGATGTTTTATGTCAAGTTTCAATTAAAAAAATTAAAATATCTAATGTTTTAAAAATATACACTATTCTCCATAATATACCAAATTATACCTACATGTCTTGCGATAATAACCTTTATGGTAAACTAATCTTCAATACTACATGTGTAAAATTAATTTGTATGGAAAATCACTTAAAAACATTACAATTAAATATTGTTTAACATTCATCAAACGTTTTTTTTCTTGCAACCGTCTATGTTTCTGTAGGCTTTATGATAATATAAAATAATGTACCAAAAGTGGATATTTTTAATAAAAGCACAAGGCAGATGTTCTTGGAAGAGGCTACCAATTATATGCACTAGTAATATAACTTAGTAGTTCCAAAGCAAGATCCCCACCTATTTATCAATAAAATTGATCCATCCACTGTAGTGCTCATATATCAGGTAATTCAGAATGCGACTAGAACAGTTTTGGGACTATTGAACTTTTCCAAATTATTGCTGTTCATTGTTTTATTTTAAAGCTTATAAACAAAAGGCAATTATCAACTAGCATAGATAAGAACTTCTTTTGCTTAACACTCTGCTGTTTCCGCAGTTTTGCTGTAAATTTAATGTAAACAAATGGGGTATCAATTGACAAAATATTAATTTAATATCAAGTTCAAAAATTTATTAGAAAACTGTCCTCAACAATGAAAAAATTTACTTTTTATGAAACTGCTGGATTCCTCCTGCGTCGGTTTTTGTTGAGTCGAACTAGTTAAACTAAAACCGACTCAGGAGGAATCCAGAAGTTTTATAAAAAGTATTACAGTATGCTGTGGAAGTTTCTTTGAAAAATTAATGATAAAATTTGTTAGTTGATAGTTGTTATTTGTAAGTTTAGTTAAATTCAGAGACAATATAGAAAACTAAAACGAAATAAATTTGATCTCCATGTAATTAAGTAGGTAGGATTAGTCACAAGGCATATTATTATAGTTTGAATATCTGTAATATTATACCTTTCGTACGAATTATGCCAAAAACGTTGTCATATTTCTTTTTTTATTCCATATATCTTGAGTTTATTTACTATTAACTAGAATAGCCGGCTTGCATCGCAAATTAAATATTACACTTGCAGGAAGGTTTATGGCGAGTTATCGTCTACATTCTGAACATAATCTCGTTATAAGCAAGTAAGCAATTGTTTCAGGCGTTTTTTGTCGAGATCAAAATGAAAATGTGATAATCTGAGGAAATAGTGTGATTAAGAAAATTATATTTTCTCAAAAAAAATTGGAGTGATAACTAGGTTTAGTAACATTTGTATTTTGATTTAGATTTTTGTTAAATATGTGCTGATTATTGTGTTTTTCAATATAATCATTGTGTGATGTAGTTTAATAAGACAATTGAGTTTCTTCTTCGAACTTAATACATTACACAGTCCATGTTACAACAATCAATAAAGTAGAAACAAAAGAAAAACCCATATGCTGTAAGCTGTTATATGAAAACATTTTGTTATTTTGTACTAGGACATTTTATACCGAAATAAAATAAATCATAATATTTAATTAATGTTAGTATTTTCATTTATAATTTGCTCGTAACAAAAAGTAAAACTCACCAAATTTTTGTACTTTCCGCTCCAATGAAAACACAACCTGGCTATTTCTTATGATTTCCAAAATAATTGAAATTTTGATTTATAATATGCCCCAACTAAAACTAACGAAGTTTTTGTACAGTCCCTACTTCTAAGAAAATGAAACCTAGTATGTCAAATATTAACTCAGCTAATTTTCTAAAGAAACTTTCACTTTTTATAAAACTTCTGGATTCCTCCTGCGTCGGTTTTTGTTCAGTCAAACTAGCTAACGTTTCGACAATCGTCCTGATGGCTTCTTCAGAGCTTGACTGACAGGTTCAACTCAAGCTCTGAAGAAGCCAACAGGATGATTGGCGAAACGTTAGCTAGCTAGTTCAACTCAACAAAACCTATGCAGGAGGAATCCAGAAGTTTTATAAAAAATATTAACTCAGCTGTTTATAAGTTGACAATAAAAAATTCAGATTAGTAAAAAACTGGATTTATTACTGTTCTTTAAGAGAATATTACAAATATCACGCAACACATTTGATACATATACTACAAAATTTTGAAAAAATAGTACATATAGATTCTCTTTCACAATAAAGATTGCCAAACAGCTATAAATTTTTTCGAATAGGAGAAGTAAGCAAATATACAAGGTGAAAAGAAGTTGATAACTAAACAATTGAATAAGAAAGTATGGTTTGATAATATTGCACAATGTACATTCAGAATCAACAATTTGCATTAAATAGTTAATGTATAAATTAAAAATAATAACACCTTGTAGAAGAATAAATGTTCGGTTTTATAACTTGGACCTCCTTGTATTATTTACAATTTTAAGTACTGATAATATCTACACTCAATAAACACAATCACTGGTGCCTCCCAAAGACACTAAAAAAACTTTTTAAATATCAATCCTCGGCCTATACTGCAAGGTTAAGGGTGGATTCTGAAATCTCCACCGTGTAACATAAACAAATTTTAAAGTATGATCTTTGCCCAGCAATTCATCATTGCACAAAATATCAATGTCCCTATATTTCTCCATCCCATTTAAAACTTTCATGGCAATAAATTTCTTAAAATGTAAAATAGTAGCCTGAGCAGAACATCTTATGAACCTCCTTTTCAAAGTTTTTAAACTGGAACTTATGCATTCCAAACAAACATTTACTTGTTCATCCTGCCTATGGTAATCCGATTCTGCATGAGGGTCCGCTTCATGGTCACCATTGATATCTGTATTTGGAAGAGGTATGTCTTTAGGATTAGGTAACCCTCTCACATTATAAAACTCCCTCTCCCTATTAATTTCATTCTTCTGCAAGTCTGGAACTAGTTTATAGACAATATCTTGCATAGTCCGATCGAAACTAATATACTGCAAGGGATGTGATTGGTGTATAACAATGTTGCATGTTGGACATGTATTATTTTCTTCTAAATGCTTCACAAGACAGCTCTTGCAGAATGTATGCAAACATTCTGTTACAGTAGTGGCATCAATCAGATATCCCCTGCAGATTTTGCATGTTATATGGCTGTTTAAGGATCTGAGTTTTATTTTTCTTTCCATTGTCATAATTTTACAAGTGAAAATACAACCACCAAAAACAGTAGCAATCTTTCCATCATTCCCAGAAAAATAGTTCAGCAATTCTCAAACTTTTCCTTGGCGTGTGCTTCATTAATGCAGTGTAGCTTCATACATTCTTTCATTTTTGATGACTGTTGCTAAAAAATAAAAAATAAAATAAAACCGGGAAAGCTGCACATTTAGATGGAGGATAGATGTATATTGGTATCGCTATATAAATACGTAGTTAAATAAATACTTACCATTCAATTATCTTAAAAACGCAGAGATATTATAAACATAAATGAAACATATCACCTCAACAATTACCAATTTTTCACAGAATATGAGTGCAAGGTTTCTGTGAAGAAAATTACCACAGAAATGTTACTGTTACAGTGCAAAGGAAAGAATAATCACGGATGACAAACAAGAATGGTAAAGTCCAAGGACGGAAGTCAACAGCTTTTTATTTTGGCGGACTTGGCGTGAGCTGTGAAATGTGACAAATATTTATGCACCATTTCTATAGAAACTAGGAACAATGGATTTCGTTTGAAGCATAATTTTTACCATTACAGACCATTGTAAAAAATACTGGATAATATTTGAAAAACGGAACATAGTATATCACACATTTCTTTCTGTTCACCAGTTTCAGTCGAGCGCACTGCTTTCAGACAGTAACCATCTTTCTTTGATCTTGGTTAATTTTTTTTGGTTTGCCCATAGATAAATCTGCCATCACTGAGATAAAATTATAACCTGTTTGGTATATGAATTCTATTTTTGGAAATGGAAGAAGTGGATAAAATAATTATAGATTCTTTAAAGAAATTCCATTGGTAAAGTTTTTTCCAAAATATTTGTGGTATTTTCAAATTTTTTGTAATTTTTTAGTGGAGTAGATGAAGTTACAAGTTTAAAACAATTTGACGCAGACTTGGCTGCGACGGCAATTTCAACATGTTTAGAATATATAAACTCGCAATCAAAATTACCAAAAAAATTACCACCATCGCTAAGTGCTAGAATAAAAGCTTGTTCCAATTTAGCTCTTCAAATAAGAGATATGGGCTTCAACAGTGAAGTTGGTTATCAAACTATACTCTATTGTAATGAAGTTGAAATTCGCAGAGTGTTGATGTTCCTTATTGAAAGACTGCCCAAAGAATCAACCCAAGTTACACAGATTGAGCCCACTGGGTATGTCCCAAAAACCATCAAACAAATAGAAGCAAGTTTAAGAGAATCGCTCATAAAGCATTGGTTGCCTACAGAAGCAATAAATTTAGGTATTCGCCCTTGTGTTAATGGATATGTTGTGAGCAGTTTTGGACACAGCTGTCCATTAAAAGCGGTTGATATAAATATTCCCAACACAGTAAGAGATAGAGAAGGTAAATTTACAACATTTCTGCATAATGTAATTGAAAGTGTTAATGAAGGTGATTTGTGATTATTTTTTTGTTTGGCAGTACCTATAAAAAAATTTACGTATAAAATATTTTTCAAATTCTTCATAAAATATTTACATGCAATCTACATTTGATATTATATGTAGTTTTAGAACAGTATAGTAGATACATTGGAAATGTTACCCAGCAATGTAAAGATAGGGAATTCGTACAATCTATTTTATTTATGGAAGAAGAGTTTCAATATACAGTAAAGCAACATTTATCGCAAATACAACCAAGAGATTTTAAAGAAGTGTCTAAAGTAGGAGAAGATTTAATTCTTCCTGACATAGTGCCACCAATATCGAATAGTATCCAGGACAATTTTGAGAAATATAATGAAAGTCCTGATAGCAATAATAAAGAATTTCCTAATCAAATAAAACAAGAACAAGAACTCTATGTTGTTTTACAAAAATCAGTCAAAGACTGTGAGAAATCTTTAAGAAAGGTATTGGATATGCATTAGTGGTATTTATAGGGTATACATACCTGATTTTCAGATTAAAGAAAGCAAAATAGAAGAAGAGAATTCTTTTAAAAATTCCACCAACAAAATGAAATTGAAGAGAAAAACCAACGCGGTATTGAGCAATAATGACAGTATTTCCAAGCTTGAGAAGCTGATAGAAAATTCACAAGAGCATTTTGCAAAGTTATCCAACCAGTGGGAACAAATTAAGTTGCCATTAATTGAGGAACATAGAGCACTTACTGATTCTGTTGGCTCTAAAACTTTAAGGAGTCAAAATGATCAAATTAAACTACAGAATTGTAGAAAAAAATATTCAGAAATTATGATGGAATTTAAGGAAAAAGCGATATTAGAGAAAAGCCTTGTGGAAAAATATAAAAGCTTGGATACAAAAAATAACAGGTATTTTAATTAATTGATTAAACAATTTTTAGTTTTTTTTGTGTTATGTTCACTGTTGAGTCATTTTTGGCCCCTTACTGATTTCTAATAATAATGATAATTTCTTTATTGCATTATTATATTTGCACTTATTTGTATTGGATATTGTATAAAATTGTAAACAGATAAATACCTGTCATACTGCTGACATATATTATAAAAATAAAGAATAAAATTTAATTATACTAGTGGGCAAGCATTTAATGAAATGGTGAAAACTGAATAGATTCTGGAGAAGTCTAAAAAAGCGACAAGCAACAAGACTTAATCTCAGAAAAACATTTAACATTTTATTTACTACAATAAATGTTGCATGTACCACTTTAGTAGTAATTTCTTCTAAAAAAGTGCATTTTTGTAAGGACCATAGTAATTAGGCTCCCATGAGGGAGAGAAATAAATTAGCAAATATAATTTTTTTAATAGAATTTTTTCTGATATTATTGTCGAAGCTTATGTGTGTGATGTTTTCATTAATTTAATTAATGATATCTACCAAAAATACGCCTTACACACTTTTAATTAATTATTTAGCTATTTTAGCTAAGTTGAGATCCTATCTAGTGCTACTTATGTAGTTTCAAATTAAAAAAAGCTGCTTTTTAATATTTTTTAAATTAATTTAGGGCAGCTTATACAAGAAGAATATTGGAAATTGTAGGAAATATAAAAAAACAAAATGACGAAATTCAGAGAGTACTTAAAGATACTCGCCAAATCCAGAAACAAATTAATAATTTATCTGGGCAAATTGATAGATCCTTTACTTTGGCGGATGAACTGATTTACCAGGTGAATATTAAAGGCAATAAGTTAAATTATTTTTCCTCAATATATAAAATTTTAGGACGCCAAACAAGGGGAGGTTGCAAAGACAGCATACAAACTATTGGTATCGCTAAGAAATGAATTTTTATCAATTTTAACCGCAGTGTCTGACCTTGGCCAAGCAGAGAGAGAGTTAAGAAATTTGGAAGAACAAGTTGAATTAGAAAAAAGCAAGGAAGTAAAGTTCAAGCTTGAAAAAGTGAATCATGATTTGTTAGAAATAAAAAAAGATATTAATTTACTGTTATAAATATGATTAATGAGTAATTTGTTACATAACCCGTTTTTCATTTTCTCTATGAACTTTATAAAGGATAATAAATAACCAACTCTCGAGAACATTTTAATATATTTAATTAAAACTAACTTAACTTTGACTTATCAAGCCTCTTGGCTTGCACTTCTGGCGGCACATAATCTTCATCTGCTGTAACTGTGATAGATTTTTTCTCTTCTTGTGTGTCTGTTGGCATATCAATCATATTGCTTTGAATTTTAAAATCAATTTTTTCTTCATTCTCAAAGAACCAAAGTTTCTCTTCCTTTTTCTTTAATTGTATCTGCAACTCTTCAATTTCAGCCAATCTCTTAGCCCTGAGTAGTTGTTCATTTTCTAATTGAAAGGCTCTGATTCTTTCTTGTTCCCACTTATCAAATATTAAACACTGATCACTGATATCCTTTTCTGAAGTTTCCTGATATGCCTTTTTAGTAAGATTATTTAACAACTGGTTCACATCTTCTGAATGTGTTTTTAAAGATGCCACCACATTGTTTGATGAATTGTCTTTTGGAATTAAGTCAATTACTTCTTTTATCAAACTTGATTGCACTTTTTTGCAATATTCAGTTACTTTATCTGGTTTATCATACAACGCCAAACCAAGAATATGAAATGATTGATGCAAAATATCATGTTTGGATTTACTAATCATTGCCAATGTTTTGCCCATAATTTTGTCTGGATTTGTCAAATCAAAATGATCATCATCAAAGGGATTTCTTATATATTTAACTCTTACCTTGATTTCTTCTTCAGGTTCTTCCGGCTGCTTTCTTTCGAGCCAATGCTTAGGATTTAATAAATACTTATAGCAGTGCAATAATGAGAGACCACAAGTTAAAGGATGATCTAATTCTTCTTGAAGCATAAGGAAGCTAGATACTAAAGCTCCATTGGCATATTGTTCATTTTTCCAAAATGTATCAAGAAGCAAATTTGCTGTATAATAATCTAGGAACAAACCATAATTTAATCGATCATCTAATGCTGATAAGAGATCTTCTACTTTATTCCATTTCAGCAGTATTCTCATAACTGCATGTGTAGTTGATTCTAATGTATTACCCGTATTTGCAGTTAACCTTAGCTTATGTACTAAATCTAAAAGTTCATCGGCAAAAGAGTCATCTTTTACTACATTTGCAAATATATCCACACGAACTGGACTAATAGAACGGGATTTTTGAAAACTCTGATCAAGTTCTAAGTACAGTTCCTCCGGTCTTACATTTTGTAATATAGGATGCCTCAGCCTTTGATCCCATACTTCATTGCAATAATAGGCTTGGGATAAGAATGTTCTGAAATTATTATAATTGCTTATATCCAGTCTACGTACAAAACGCTGTTTTGAGAAAATTTTAAAAACTGTCAACATTTTAACGAAATCTTAAAAATAAATTTCTCGACGAAAAAGTTTTTTGAATATGCAATTAAATTAAGTATATTTGTGTTGTAATAATGGGCTCCTATACTAGGATCAGTCGCCCATCGTCTGAGATCATCCAAACAATTTGGTAATTCCCATTTCGCCATTCCTATCAACCTGCCTCTAAATTTTTATGTATGGGTTTGTAGCATCTTCTATATTTCATAAACTATGTGTGTGGATATTGCTGTTAGAAAAAGTAGATTTGTCCTGTTCACCTCTACGAAAATATCATAGCCATCTGAGACAAATCAATTTTTACGGTAGCAGGGCCATTATATTATCTAATAGCTAAATGGTTCTTCCATTACTACATTTTAGTCTACCGTTTGTTCGAGATTGACGGCACTAAGGAAGCGTGAATTAAAAAATATAAACAGAACATATTATTTTAGACGCATTGCATTTTGATTATGAGAACGGCCGATCCCTGTCCTGCAGTTTATTATTCTGTGACGAATCGGATGGTGTGCGTAGCTTTGAACATGTAATGGCGAATCTCAGCTACTTCTAACAGAATCCGCTATTTTCGGGAACATTTTCAGTCAAAATGTTGTGCCAGGTAATAGCGCCGAGGTAATATCTTTGGATAGTATAAGTATGCCGGGGTTTTGTCGTTTACTCCAGTCCGCAATGGACTATAGAGTCTGTAGTAAAGTTGACCAACATTACCTAAAATTTAAAGACGAGGACTATTCTCTGACAAGAACAGAGGTTAGGGAAGTATTTTGTACATGTGGACGAAGCATGGCGACTGCAATTAAGTAAGTAAATTTTTCTCCCATATATTTTGTTAAGTTTGGGGTTCCAAAAAATCTGATAATACACGAAAAATTATGTGAATGTATTTTTTTTTTCTGCTCACTCTGGGGTCAGCAGGAATTACCTAAAAAGGTGGGTCGAATTTGCTTGGGAACATTTTGGCGCAATTGGTGACACTGTTTTTAAAGGTGATATTTAAAACAAGGATTCGGCAAAAAGTTACTTGATATTCTAGTAGCAGTGACGTTTTCGCCAGCATCACAACGACCATGCTCGTTACCAAATAAATTTTTGTGCCACAGACGCTATAAGTGCAACTTAGTTCTTTAATTGATCCTATATATGATTCTATACACATAGTACAAAATCGTAACAACATTTATTTTGCAATTATTATAAGCTCTGATAGTAGTAGAACACATAAAATGGTGAGTATTTTCAAAATAACAGCATTAAATTTACAAAAGTATATTCTTGTGATGAATTAAAAATAATTCTTTGTGGTTTCTGCCATAATTTCAAATGAATGGACCATTTAATTCATTACTTCTAGGCAGAGAACATATGTTATGGTGGCCATTTTCAAAATAACTGTATTAAATTTATAAAAGCGAGTTCGTGTGATGAATTAAAAATAATTCTTTTGCGGTTTCCAACAGAGACTTAGTTCTATGAAGGTTTCGAATTTCTGAAGTTATTAATTGTACTATATCTCTGCAAAGCATTGCTCATCAGTCAGCTAATGATTGCTTAATTTCAGATCAATGGTCCAGACTTTCTTTGTTACTGGTAGGTGAAGGAGACATGTAATGGTGAGTATTTTTAAAATAACATCATTCAATTTACAAATATATGTTCTTGTGATGATTTAAATATAATTCTTTTGCGGTTTCCAACGGAGACTTGGTTCTATGAAGGTTTGAGATTTCTGAATTTATTAATTGCACCATTTGTTTCTGTAAGGCATTGCTCAGCAGTCAACTAATGATTGCTTAATTTCAGATTGATCCTCCACACTTTCTTTGTTACTGCTAGGTGAAGGACACTTCAATGGTGAGTATTTTTAAAATAACAGCATTAAATTTACAAAAGTATGTTCTTGTGATGAATTAAAAATCATTCTTTTGCGTTTTCCAACGGAGACTTGGTTCTATGAAGGTTTGGAATTTTTGAATTTATTAATTGCATCATATGTCTCTGTAGGACATTGTTCAGCAGTTGGCTAATGATTGCCTAATTTCAGATTGATCGTCCACACTTTCTTTGTTACTGATAGGTGAAGGAGACTTGCAATGGTGAGTATTTTTAAAATAACAGTATTAAATTTACAAAAGAATGTTCTTGTGATGAATTAAAAATAATTCTTTTGCGGTTTCCAACGGAGACTGGGTTCTATGAAGGTTTGGGATTTCTGAATTTGTTAATTGCACCATTTGTTTCTGTAAGGCATTGCTCAGCAGTCGGCTAATGATTGCCTAATTTCAGATCGATCGTCCACACTTTCTCTGCTATTGCTAGGTGAAGAAGACATGCAATGGTGAGTATTTCTAAAATAACAGTATTAAATTTACAAAAGAATGTTCTTGTAATGAATTAAAAATAATTCTTCTGCGGTTTCCAACGGAGACTTGGTTCTATGAAGGTTTGGAATTTCTGAATTTATTAATTGCACCATTTGTTTCTGTAAGGCATTGGTCAGCAGTCAACTGCTTAATTTCAGATTGATCCTCCACACTTTCTTTGTTACTGCTAGGTGAAGGAGACATGCAATGGTGAGTATTTTTAAAATAACAGTATTAAATTTACAAAAGTATGTTCTTGTGATGAATTAACAATAATTCTTTTGCGGTTTCCAACGGAGACTTGGTTCTATGAAGGTGTGGAATTTCTGAATTTATTCATTGCACCTTATGTCTCTGTAAGGCATTGCTCAGCAGTCAGCTAATGATTGCTTAGTTTCAGATCGATGGTCCACACTTTCTTTGTTACTGCTAGGAACAGATGTAATGGTGAGAATTTTTAAAATAACAGTATTAAATTTACAAAAGTATGTTCTTGTGATGAATTAAAAATAATTCTTTTGCGGTTTCCAACAGAGACTTGGTTCTATGAAGGTTTGGAATTTCTGAATTTATTAATTGCATCATATGTCTCTGTAGGACATTGTTCAGCAGTCAGCTAATGATTGCCTAATTTCAGATTGATCGTTCACACTTTCTTTGTTACTGGTAGGTGAAGGAGACTTGCAATGGTGAGTATTTTTAAAATAACAGTATTAAATTTACAAAAGAATGTTCTTGTGATGAATTAAAAATAATTCTTTTGCGGTTTCCAACGGAGACTGGGTTCTATGAAGGTTTGGAATTTCTGAATTTGTTAATTGCACCATTTGTTTCTGTAAGGCATTGCTCAGCAGTCGGCTAATGATTGCCTAATTTCAGATCGATCGTCCACACTTTCTCTGCTATTGCTAGGTGAAGAAGACATGCAATGGTGAGTATTTCTAAAATAACAGTATTAAATTTACAAAAGAATGTTCTTGTAATGAATTAAAAATAATTCTTTTGCGGTTTCCAACGGAGACTTGGTTCTATGAAGGTTTGGAATTTCTGAATTTATTAATTGCACCATTTGTTTCTGTAAGGCATTGGTCAGCAGTCAACTGCTTAATTTCAGATTGATCCTCCACACTTTCTTTGTTACTGCTAGGTGAAGGAGACATGCAATGGTGAGTATTTTTAAAATAACAGTATTAAATTTACAAAAGTATGTTCTTGTGATGAATTAACAATAATTCTTTTGCGGTTTCCAACGGAGACTTGGTTCTATGAAGGTTTGGAATTTCTGAATTTATTCATTGCACCTTATGTCTCTGTAAGGCATTGCTCAGCAGTCAGCTAATGATTGCTTAGTTTCAGATCGATGGTCCACACTTTCTTTGTTACTGCTAGGAACAGATGTAATGGTGAGTATTTTTAAAATAACAGTATTAAATTTACAAAAGTATGTTCTTGTGATGAATTAAAAATAATTAATTCTTTTGCGGTTTCCAACAGAGACTTGGTTCTATGAAGGTTTGGAATTTCTGAATTTATTAATTGCATCATATGTCTCTGTAGGACATTGTTCAGCAGTCGGCTAATGATTGCCTAATTTCAGATTGATCGTTCACACTTTCTTTGTTACTGGTAGGTGAAGGAGACTTGCAATGGTGAGTATTTTTAAAATAACAGTATTAAATTTACAAAAGAATGTTCTTGTGATGAATTAAAAATAATTCCTTTGCGGTTTCCAACGGAGACTGGGTTCTATGAAGGTTTGGAATTTCTGAATTTATTAATTGCACCATTTGTTTCTGTAAGGCATTGCTCAGCAGTCAACTAATGATTGCTTAATTTCAGATTGATCCTCCACACTTTCTTTGTTACTGCTAGGTGAAGGACACATGCAATGGTGATTTTTTAAAAAATAACAGTATTAAATTTACAAAAGAATGTTCTTGTGATGAATTAAAAATAATTCTTTTGCGGTTTCCAATGGAGACTTGGTTCTATGAAGGTTTGGAATTTCTGAATTTATTCATTGCACCATATGTCTCTGTAAGGCATTGCTCAGCAGTCGGCTAATAATTGCCTAATTTCAGATCGATCGTCCACACTTTCTCTGCTATTGCTAGGTGAAGAAGACATGCAATGGTGAGTATTTCTAAAATAACAGTATTAAATTTACAAAAGAATGTTCTTGTGATGAATTAAAAATAATTCTTTTGCGGTTTCCAACGGAGACTTGGTTCTATGAAGGTTTGGAATTTCTGAATTTATTGATTGCACCATATGTCTCTGTAAGGCATTGCTCAGCAGTCAGCTCATGATTGCTTAGTTTCAGATCAATGGTCCACACTTTCTGTGTTACTGCTAGGAACAGACGTAATGGTGAGTATTTTTAAAATAACAGTATTAAATTTACAAAAGTATGTTCTTGTGATGAATTAAAAATAATTCTTTTGCAGTTTCCAACGGATATTTAGTTCTGTGGAAGTTGCTAAGCAAGCTAAGGCGTTGGCTAAGCAACTATATAATGACGAATAATTGAACCACATTTTGTTGCTGCTAAGCGAAAATACATGTAATGAGTATTTTCAAAATAACTGTAACCTTATAACCAAATAAATGTTTGTCAATGTTATTATTTTGTACCATGTTAGACTTTGTTCCATAAAATATTTTATGATTAGCTACTACTTCTTTGACCCCTCTTCTGATTATAAGAATAGGATGTGTTTATGACGACGCAACAATTTTTCTGAGCGGCAACTGCCCTTAAATTATGACTATTTGCTTTTCCTGCACAGAACTGGTAAATACTTTTTTTAACGCTCTTCTAAAACTCAAGTAGTGAAATATCAAAAAACTAACCTGCGCTTTAGCACATTTTCTTTTCAAACAGTGATATTGACACTTAACACACACTTAAGTCCTTTTTGTTTGAAAAAAATGGTATCTGAACATATTTGGAGAAAATACTGCCGTAAAAATGTTTTCAGTATATTATGCAACAGGTTTGTTAAGTCTGCATTTTCGGCATAGGCAGCTACTAGCTATATAGGTAAATGTCATTTGAGTCACGAGCGAAGCGCAGCTGAGCGAATGCTTAATAAAGGAATGAGGTTCGCAGTCTTAGGTAACGAAACTGATCTGTGTATAATTGGGTAATTTAGAGAAGAAAACAAATAAAAACTTTGGTTTACATGATACAATACAGCTTTATATAGAAAATTAATTACTGAACAAATTGAACTCATTTTAAATATGCTGTTTTTTAGTAACATAGTAGGATCTACATCTGAAAACAGATCAAAGATTTAAATTAGATTCGCGAGGGAACCATTGGCAGACGTTCCTGCCCGGTTCCATAAAATGTAGAAATCGGTTGAAATTAGTGTCGTTTGATTTAAAATAGTGTTTTGTATATTTGTTATCTGAAGTGATAGAGGTGCAGTGCTTTTAATTTTGGGAAATATTGTTTGTTTCAAGCGGATGTATATGGATTTGTGATATGTTATTCTATTATATATTTGTTAATGCGGTTTCCGTATAAATTTATATCCGTTCTGCTTGGAGGGTGACGGATTCGTCCAGTCCCTTTTAATTAAGGGACCCTTCCAAGTTTCAAGAAAAGTTGCAGTATTTGAAGTAAAAGAAGAAGACTTAAATTATTTAAATGCAAAGGACAATTCGATTCTTTATGTTGCCCATATCTAATCTAGCAAGGATAACAAGGAGACCATAAAAACGGACGTTGCAGTAAATTGAAAAATTGCAATATTGAAGTAATAAGCATATATGCTTTGATTTTTTATAAACCCACCTAACGTATTTTCTATGATCATTTGCATGTTATTTTTTAGTCTGTGACTAATTGTCAAGTTGTCTTGGGTTTGTGTCAAAAGTTTAAATACTAAAATGGCGTGAAAAGTTATTTAAAATTAAATAAATGGGGTGTGGCTATCTATAGCTGATTAAAAAATCTTGGTAAAAAGTTAATTTGAACTTTAGTCCGTCTTGCTGTGCAGTTAGGATATACATGCACTGCTAAGAATTACATTCACAATTTTTTAAAAATGATTCTCCAAATATTTATGCAAGATAGGCGGTTTATTTGAAAATGTCTCGATTAGCAGACTATTTTGTTGTTGTTGGATATGATCATAAAAAAGAAAGTAAGCAGATATAGGTGCATTTCTTATTCTCTTATGTATGGTACAATATTTCTGTTTCAGGAAATGGCATAATACTTCAAAGATTTCCAGATAAAGATTGGCCTGATACACCTTTCATAGAAGGAATAGAATGGGTGAGATCATAACAAGTTTTCAACATGTCACAATAAACATCTTGTGTGTTTGTAGTTTTGTCAGCCTCAGGGATGGACCCTTTCTACAGAAAGACAAGAGCCAAGATTTTTTGTATCCGTACTTACCGATATAGACGCAAATCGACATTATTGTGCATGTTTGTGTTTTAATGAGACTGTTTCTATTACTCCTAGCAAACCTGTAGATGAGGTATGTGCTAAAAAATGTAATTTTACTTATATTTTTATATACTTACAGCATTTAATGTCCAATATTTATGTTTGACTTAAGGATTTTTGACTTTTACTGTTTTTTCCTTTAAGGAAGAGGATACCATCGAAGGAGACACATCTCTTAGACCTATCATACCCTCTGTATCACTTCACAGCATTATGTATGCACCAAAGTGTCTAGTGCTGGTTTCAAGACTTGACTATATAGAAACATTCAGGGTAAGGTTATGTTATTATTTTTACATAATTTTATTATATCAATTTTTCAATAGAAATTTTAAATTTGAGGGTAAAGTAGGTTTAGTTCTTTTCGCCATAGCTATGCGGCATAAATTCATAACGCTAAGATTGCCATATTCTGAAATATCAGACTGTTTTGTAACATTATTTATTCTAAATCTGACAATAATGATATCCGAATCAATTGTTTACTAAACCTTTAAAGTGAAAGTAACTGAACTGAATTTCAATGAAAATTCTTATTTTCCTTAATGCAATTTTTCCATTAGGAACCTAAAGAAAAATAAATGAGAAAACTGTCTTCAGATCTAGATAAGTATCTGTGGAAAAATGTCAACTACAAAGAATTAAAAATAAGTTGAAAGTCACTTGCTCCCATCATGTGGCACCACATTCTTAGTTTTTGTCAATACTTCTTTTATTCTGTGGCTAATTGTTGAAATTTTGAAATTTGGATTCCTTGTGATTTTGTATCTCTACTGCCTACTATATCAAACACCACATTCCAAGTTAGTGTGTTACGTTGTAACCATTTTTAGAATTGCTTGGGTATAATATACTGCGTCTACGTCGAAAATATGCCAATACCACTAGAAACTTTGGTTGGAAACATATTAGGTTGTATTCAAGTGCCTCCACCTGGTGGTCCTCAAGTTCGGTTCAGTATTGGGGCTGGAGACAGGCAAGCGTTGCAGCCCCCTCTGTCTCCATCATTGCCCGTTACTCACACGTCTGTAAATTTGCTCTTCCAGCAACTTGGAATAAAAAACGTCCTAGTGTTATTTTGTGCCATAATGACTGAACATAAAATTTTGTTCCATTCGAAAGGCTATAACAGGTAATTTATTTTAAGGATCCCATTGTAATGAAGAATGCTATTATGGAGCACATGCCAAATATTCACTAAACTGGTAATTTCATGTTCAATTTAAAATGATTAAACTTAAAAAAAAAAGGAAAAATTTTAGCAAGAGTTTGATTTTAAAATTGGTGTGTGTTTTAAAAATGGTTTAGTTTAGTTAATTTAGGAGTTAGTGTTTGACTTGCTAAATACATAATTTACTTGGCTAGATTAACCGAAGCTTGTAGAGCTTTGACAGCGCTGATGTACCCGTTTCGATACACTCATGTCTACATACCTCTGCTGCCCGCTCCTTTGGTTGAAGTTCTTTCCACTCCCACTCCATTTATTATGGGTGTCCATTCGTCTCTAAAGGCGGAAGTAACGGAATTGGTGAGTAATATTGGTGAATGTAATAATCAAGAGGTAAACTGTTGATTTCCTAATCCAAACTCACCAGATCTACAATTACCACCATTACAGTTTGTCATAATTTGTTAATTGATTAAACATTATATTGGTTAGTAAAATTATCATGATCATTATATTGTCATTATCGACTATTGATATTTGTATAAGCAATTATATGCTTATTCCCCCATATACAGGGTACCTCTGTAAGGGCAACGAGGGATGATATTAGCTGACTGCACCATTTTAAAAACGTGTTTTCCTGAGATTTAAATAGTGCTATAAGTGACATGATTGTGATTGCGTACTTGCCACTTTGCCACCAGGTGGACTGACAATCGCAAAAATTAAAAAAAAAGAATGAATGCAAGGATGGTGGCTTTTCAAATGAAATAAAGGCCTCACAACCCAGTGAAAACCGCATCCCAATATGGTTATCCTAACATAAAATATGAATAAAAGAACTTAATCCTCAAATAAAAAGTATTTTGAAAAATTGTTTCACTTTACGGGTTGTTACTAATGTCTAATTATCCCGAATAATACCAAATAAAATGCTAATTTATTATTTATATTTTATATTTATTATTTATATTATTATATAACTTTTTTGAAATATAGTCGAAGGGCACCAAATTACATCATAGCTGTCATTTCTACATTTTGACTTGCTTGGCAATTTTCAAATATTAAGTATAATCACTTGTTTTTCCATTAATAAGGTTTAGTCAACTAATTTAAAATTTTAATAAATATTTAACAAATTTAAACTAATTAAAACGGTAATCAAGACACTTTGACAAGCATCAAATAACGACATGAAAGATGCCAGCGTTTGATCAGATAAAAAAAAAATTGTTTTCAATGCAATCTTGCTAATAGTAAATGGATTGTTTCTGTCAAACAAGATGTTTTGTTCACTTTTTAAATGGTTCACCACATTTTACTCCCTAAATACGTCAATACTTAATAAAAATAAAATTAGTCTCCAACAATGGATTAGTGTCCCAGATCGTTTTCGGTGTTAGTTTTCCCAAAATTCATCATTTTTTTAACGTTAAATTCTTTTGTTCATATTTTAGATTAGGATAAAGATATTGAGATGCTGCTTTCACGGGATTGTTGGGTCCTTATTTGGCTAAGTGAAATGAAACTCACATCGTTGCATTCAACAATGGATTAGTGTCCCAGATCGTTTTCGGTGTTAGTTTTCCCAAAATTCATCATTTTTTTAACGTTAAATTGTTTTGTTCATATTTTAGATTAGGATAAAGATATTGAGATGCTGCTTTCACGGGATTGTTGGGTCCTTATTTGGCTAAGTGAAATGACACTCACATCGTTGCATTCTATCTTTTTTCCGAAAATTTTTATTTCTTGCGATTATGTCAGAAAAATCCACCTGGTGGCAAAGTAAGCGACCACAATGGCTTCTCTCATGGCACTATTGTTAGCCTAGGAACAGCTCCGTTTAACGACTCCAAGTTTAATAAAATGTTTTAATGCTTTTGGGAGCAAACTTACTAGGATACCCGGTATATTTATGGGGCTAATTACTCGAAAAACCCATTTTAGAGTGTATTTTTAAAGTTTTGCAATTTTATTAAACTTTATTGTTTCCAAAATAGACATAACTAAATTACTAACAAAAATCTCTTTTTAAGGTTTATAATATTTCGATCATTTTTACAACTTTAGTTTAGGCCTCCCATAAATGAAACAATGAAATAAACAATTTGTTATTGAATTATTCCTATTTAAGTTAAGTTCTTCTGAAACACCATATTTAAGACAGGGAATTAAATTATGAGACTACAGCCTCAAAGGACTAAAGGAACTAGACACATGGTACTTACATTAAGATAATATAACAATGTGGCCACGTCAAGCCAAATTGTCATCCTGATATCCATGATTGATTGTGTTTAAGTGAACCAGTATAGGTTTGAAGAATGGAATATCTAGCTATAGCAATAGTACTGAAGGTGATACGGATGATGTGGGAGTGAACTGTCAAGGAAGGGAAAACGGAGAGTGAGAAACAAACATTTATATAAACATGAGGTTGGGAAAACCCCGCTTACGTGTGAAGCTTTTTCAAGTACGACAACGGGACATATTGTGTCGGGCAAAACAAATACCGAGGATGACCAGCCAAACTAAGTGCACCCAAAGCATTAGCATTAGTGGAGGAAATGGAAGGAGCTCTACGAAGTTTAGACAGTGGACGGGCGAAAAACGAACAAGATACTTTCCTCATGGGTCTTATCAAGACAATCGTCTGTTCGAAGATATTCGAAAAATGAGAATCCTAAAAAACGGGACACAGACCTATTATTTCCTGAATAATAATTCTCAAAGAATTGCAGTATGTAGACAGACGTTTTCCATTTTGTGTGCTGTGAAAAATAAAGCTATTTTTCGGCTTATGTCTCTCATTGCTCAAGGAAAACCACCGATCTATTGCTGTGCTCTGCATTCAAATCTTATATCTAATGAAGCTATTCTTGCACTTGAAGAGTATATTGGACCAGTCCGATTAAAACCGGCGTACTACAGCAGCAAACATTTAAATTCCGATCTTAAAGTGAAAATAATACACGAACTCTCCCAAAAAATAGCCCGACCAAGCCGACTACATCAAATATGATTTTTATAGGAAATGTGTCAATGACTACCAGGGGTATAGATTTGGAAGACTACAAGTCGACATTTGTTAACTGGTGAAGAACCTGAAGCTAAAATAAAGAGTACAACACTGAATGTCAATGCGAAACGTGTGGCAGTGGAAAAAATCGTGCATTTGGGAAGAGCTAATATATTTTACCAGAAACAAAAGGATGTTAGCACTATTCAAAGACAGAGATGATGTCGGAGCTATTACGTTCGATTACATGCAAAACCTTCCACTCCCGAAACTACCAGTACAAGAAATGTTTTATCTAAGAATACTACGGCTGTCATTTTTTCCTGCATGATTTAAAAACAAATTCTGCGGACTTCTACACATATCATGAAGGAGAAGCTAAGCGTGGGACCGACGAGCAGTTTACTGTGGAAGACCATCCAAAGGATGGATCCCGCTATAAAGGAGCTCCCTGTTTTTAGTGACGCTTGCGCTGGCCAGTATAGGAACAATACTAAGTACTTTCCTGTGTGTGGACATTCGTTCTCCAATGCTAAAAAAAGGGAATTTTCAGTAACAAACATCACATCAGCCGACATTCTCGACTTTAAGAGTATTTGGCCACTCTATTGCAAGAAAGCTTGTAAATCAGTAATTACAATAATAAAAAATAAATCACAAAAAGATGGAAGACATCCGGGAAATAATTCAGTATATACCAGACGATAAAAAATATTTCTATGAGAGTAGACTGACATGGCCGACTACTTCATCTGAAATACCTGCAGACGAAGAAAATTGGAAATTATAATTAACCCTTATTGTTTTTTCAAGTGTTAAGAGAATAATTTTAGTCTAACCTACTGCCTATTTTTGTGCCTTCTGCAAATAACATGTTCAATAAATGACTAGTTTCCACAACCAAACTGGTAACTTTAAAGAATGAAATAAATCAAACCTCTTGTTTTTAGGAGTTCTAACTATAAAAAAACACTGAAGTGTATCTAATTATCCTAGAAGACTCATAACATTGTATTTTGTCACATCCAAGTTAAGTACAAAAAAAATGAATAAAAAAGTTAGACAGCTTTTTTCGCTAAAGTTAACTTTCAGGATTCATTTCCTTCTAACTGGTGGCTCATATAAACTAATTAGTGAATCTGGCCCCACCCTAATGCCCTATCGATATTTTGTTCGTTTCAAATTGGATAAAACAAAAGCTATTTTCTCGTTACGTGGTCTGGTTCATTAAGACGACTATGACCGCAACCCGGCATCTGACAATTTCAGACTGACATTCGGCACGGCTATCAAATAATCCCACAACGCGAAATGCGCTGCAAAACCCATTTAAGCTTTTAAGCTTGTTGTTTATGTTCTTGTGACTCGGGTTAGGTTTTTTGTTGCACCGCTAAATTAATTTTTAACAAATTTCCAAAGTAATCTTTATATATCGCTTAAACACGTTGGTGGTTGCTCACTCTACACTTATTACACATTACACTACGACAATGTAACAACAATGTAACAAGACTACCATAGAAGAATATTGGCCACACAGAATTAGCAGAATAAAAGATAGTAAACAAATAGAAGCCTGTTTGTGGACCTTGACCCACCGCACTTGAACTCATTACATAGCCCTAAGAACAGATAGTTTCGCTTACTTTAAATTTTAGCTTATTTATAAAAACACTGTACTTATATTTTGATCGAAAATTAATATAATAAAATGTGATTAATGTAGTCCAATCTAGAATGAATCGGAAATTTTCCTTGCTTGTGTTAAACTGGAGATGACTTATCGAATAATGTTTGTAGACCTTTCTCATGTATCATTTTTTGAAAATATAAAATTCTCTCTGAATTCTCAAAGCAAGAACATTTGCGGTGCTGAAAGAAAAAGTAGTTGTTCGGGTGAGTCTCTTTGATTTAACTATTGGTAAACTAATGATGTTTAAATTTGCACCTTAAGAGTGGATTAGACGATTTTTTGCCGTTTGAATTTATAATGATATATTTATAAAATTCTTTCAATTTATTTTATTAAATTTTATATGTAGAATTGCTTTACAGAAAAACTGTTACACATTACTATTGCATTATTGGAAGGGCCGCGGGTTATATAGTGTTTATTTTCAACAGCTAAGAGCAATACAAAATCCTATAGTTAAAATTATGTTTAAAAGACCGAAATTTTACTCTATTGTTGTATTTGCAGTGATAGTTCATTATTTTTCTTAGCTAGAACTAATATTTACAGAAATCGAGCTATTAATCAACAGAACATAATTTATTTAAAATCAAAATTAATCTGCTTCCCATGTATAAAAGGAAAAATAAAATAATTAAGATGTTAGTATTTACACATCTTCTGGATTGAAGAAACCAAAAGGATCATTGGCGAAACGTCAGCAAATTTGATTATCACGAACCGACGCAGGAGGAATACAGAAAGTTTGTAAATAGTATTAGAGTAGCTTGTGGAAATTTCTTCGAATAATTAAGATATGCTCCAGAGAAGCCAAAATAATTATTTTTGATTGGTTAGCTTTTTTTTTTTTAATTTTAATTAATATTAAATTGTTAAAAATTGTTAATTTAATTAAATTTTGGGTTTGTCATATTCAGGGTGTTTAAACCAAAGTCAAGTAGGTATGATACTGTAACCTATGCTTATACTTTGAAATATCATAGCATTGTTTGAATTTATGAGATTAGTAGTGTTAGTTTACAATATCATATGTGCGCAGAAACAGTGCTCTTCATATTTGAGCTTATTAGGCGCAGGATGCAAATTATCCCGCCGAAAGAGCATTTTTGATCATTAGATTTATTCATTTCAATAACACCAAGTATGTTCTTAACCCATGTTTTCTTTGTTACAAACGCACCAAGAATAAGAATCGAATCCTATGCTATGCGTTAGTTCGGATTAGAAAGTTGATATAAATTGAAACTTGTATTTCAGCTAGACGTTATTGTAGCCGACTTGGACGGCGGTTCGATAAGCATACCCAGTGGTGTAACGGTACCTCTGCTCTCTGATCCATTACTGAGTAACACACAAGAAGCTCTCAGTTTAATTTTGCAACCGGAACTGTGTTTCGCCGATCATGCGTTCCCGCCTTTAGCAATAAGGGCGCCGCAACCGCTGATGTTAGACAAGGAAATAAGAGCCGTGTTCATGCGAATGTTCGCTCAATTGTTGCAGGGCTATCGAAGCTGTTTAACGCTCATTAGGATACACCCGAAGCCCGTAATTACTTTTCATAAAGCTTCGTTTTTAGGTGCGTTTTTTTTTAAATCGTTTTCACTTGCAAATTGTGAAAGTTATTTTTAGGAGAGAAAAATTTGAAAGATTGCGATTTTACGACGCGGGTACTAGATTGTATGTTTTTCACCAGTTTTATATCGGAAAGGGGGCCCCCGTGGCGTCCGTGCGACGTATGGGACGAGTTGTACAATAATCTGCACGACATGTTAAAAAAAGAGCAGCAAGACTCGCGTTTCGTGCTCGCGCACATTCAAGAACTTGCGACTCAGTTGTACACGAATGAGATACCGAATCCCCAGTCGTACGCTCAGAAAATTCCGATACCGCCCGAGGGAGCATTCGCTCGCATACACCAACCCGTGTTACCCACCATAAATGGCGATCTGGTTGAGGCGATTATTAACGAAGGAATGACCAAAAACGATTTGAAGTCCAGGTAAGATTTTCCGCGGAGTTAATGTTGTCAACGTTGATACACTTCAATTTCTTAGGCATGAAAATTACGCAGGTGTTAATCATTCCTTAGAATATAACGTAAATGAATTTATTAATTAACCATAGAGAAACCTGATAAAAACAGAGTTGTAGATTTTCTAGTAAGTATATAAGTGTTCACCATCGTCACCGAACTAATTTTCCCGCGTTAGGGGCGGGAACTTTGAATTGAAATGAAATAATGTCAGAGAAAAGTAATAAAACAGCAAAGTTTCCTAATTAAGGTCGGTTTATTAAAAGAATAACAAATTTAAATAGTACAACATGCAAAATAAAAAGTTCTTTGGAGTTCTTGGAGATTTGTTCGCTTTGATCGTTTATAAGCAATCATAGGACAGAACCGTACCATAACTGTTAAATTGAACTATAACAATAAAGTTTTCCGTCTTTTGTTTTCCTATGTAAATTGTATTGTAATATAGTACTATGGGATGATACCTTTTCTCAGAATTTGCAAAAAAATATCAAATATTCTAAACACAAGTTGTTTGAATGCACTTTTACTTTTAAAATATTATATTGCAATACATATTGTATTTTATTAGACAAGTAACAACTTTCTTAAATGGAACACCCTGTATATGAATACACTTTTGCATTGCTCTGAACTTTCTAGATATATTTGATAAGCTTGCCTTTCTGTTTCTGACATATTTTGTATTATATTCTAAGAGTGACCTTTGTGGATTTAAATGTATCCATCGATTTCTCCAAGTGAAGACCTTTCTTGTCTATATGGGCTTGATTTTCTTATAGAAAGAGATCTACTTTTCTTTAGAACCTGGTATCGTCCCATAATGCACAGGCCTCCCCTGGTATTTGAACTATTGGAAACGAAATACTTATTACAGAAAAAGGAAAAAAACCTTTGGGCATTTTGTTCAACTACAAAATTTTTGTTTTGGAGTTATGGTTTATTTTGCCCAATATGACACAAACTAAACTAAACTAACTAAATTTGATTTTTGCGCTATAGGCACAATGTAACCCGACTGTTCTCATTTAATTTGTCACTCTCTTTTTAGTAGTTTTCTCTATGCAGGGTTGTAATTGTGCTATGGCGTTTTGATTTAATAGGTTATGTATTTAGAAGCAAAAATATATCACCATTTTAACGAAATTAGAAAGCGAATTAAAATAAAAATGTATATAGGATGTCCTACAATTAAAATAAGGTAGTACATATAAATGATGTTTCTTTAATTTAATTGGAGTTTTTATTAATATTACCAAAACAATCAATAAGGTAATATTATTTCGTGACAACTGGAAAGTGTTATCCAGCGAGAGCAAAGGTCAGTGACACAAAAAACAAGGTATTTGATTCTTAAAATTAAATAATAAACAATGATATATAAGTACATTACCAAGACCAAGACCCAGACAGCAGTCTATAATTAGATCTCATATAAAACTGATTGGACCATACAATATTTCTTAGCATATTTTGCATCTTCTAAAAAACCAATTCCAAATTTTCACACCTTCTGACAGACACTATGGTCATTTCCATGACTACATTCCTCTTATAAAGTAATCAAAACGTACTTTTGTCAGCCGTACTATTTGCTATTAAATTTGTAGGTCTTAGTGGTAATTTTTGTTGTCACTTAATTTTTCTTTATTGTTAATATTGTTAAAACTTTTTTTGTTGTTGCATAGTGATGATCTAATTTGGTAAGTTTTGTGTTTATCTGTGGCTAATAATGTTTCATATTCATGGTTCACTTCGAATTTTTTGAATTTGGTTAGTTAGGTGAATAAAAATGAATTAAACGAAATTATAGGCGTGTTGAATTAGAACTTGAAGAACTTGAACATATGTAATAAATGTTTTCGCGCTTCTGTATCACAAATATTCATACCAAAAACAAAAACTTCACAATTTATTTTTCAACTTCACAATTGAATCGGTACATGCAGAAAGAGGACACATATAAAAAAAACTCATTTTTGGTAAATCGATAAATACTGCGGCACCTCACTGATGTATGTGTGTGCCCTGTAGGCTTAATCCGATGCCTCTAAAATACGAAAACAAATTTTGGGACAAACATTAATTTCTGAAAATACTGACATGCGTCCTTTCTGCGTCCTTCTTTAGGTAAACATATTGCCGTTTAACGAAACACCTTAGTCCAAAAGTTGCTATTAAGCGAGATACAGAGTGTCAAAGTTGCAATTGCATTTTTTTTATAAATCCTGAAATAATCTAGCTTTTTGTGCAAAATTTGGCAAATCACGATTTTTGGACATGAGAAATCCATTTTCGGGAATAATGTTTTTTAAATAAAATAATGTTTACAGGTGAAGCAACATTCACATAAGTATGCAAACATAAGTATGTGTTTGATCTAAAAAATCCCTATTTGACAATTGAACGGCATTTGTAACAGGCATTTAAAATAAACGTTTGCTGAAAAATTATTGATACATTACATATTAGGACCCACCTAACTGCCACCAAATTTAAACGCGAGCTGTACCTCAATTTTTTGCAAACTCGATTCGCCGATTGTCTGGGTGAGTTCGAGTTAGTAGAGAATAATGATTTTCACGTAAGATAGCGCACTCTTCGAGACATATTAGAGATTGGCTAAACAATCAATTTCTTTATCGTTGCTCGTAAGAGTCAAACACGTCTAGGAGTCTGAAGTCTAGGAATCTAGATCTCAATCTTGATTTTTGTGTTTGTGGAAATATCAAGCCGCTAGTGTATGAAGAAGTAGTCGATATTTGTGATGAATTATGGTACATAATTGAAACTGCCGCTCAATGGAAATCATTTTGAACATTTATTGCCGAAGAGAATTCTTTTTTTTTATGTAATTCGTTTTAAATTTGTATTTCCATAAAATTGTTTTTAATAATAATAGCACTTTAGCACTTTATTTCCAACAGGTAACATGACCCAATTACAGGAAATACTAAATATAAGTCATCCAATATATATAACAGGGGCCGTAGAAACTAATCTTAAATCTACTAATCTTATAACTAAAAAAAAAGAAAGGAAGAATGATAAAGAAAAGGGTAAGACTTATCGGTACGGATAACCCGACGCCAATCAAAGTTCATCACAATATAAATCGCAGTACAATGATAGTTTGTTGAAGGTAGCACACATTTTGTAAATATGGTTTTGAAAATGGATATTGGATCTGAGTAACTGCGGTAAGAAAGTTGATTGATATCTTCCTTCCAGCGGCGGCACATGAAAGCGTAATTGTTCCAGAAGAAACAGACAATCGACTCTGTAATGAACTAACTTATAGAGAAATGAAACAGATTGCAAGTCTCTGCGCAAGCTCAGAGGCAGTATAGCGAACCTTCTTAGCAGAAGATTGTGATTAACTCCCCCCTCAGGATAGGAACCGTCCTTCCTGAACAGTAGATACTTTAGTAACCTTCTCTGCACACTCTTAATGAACTGAGTGTGGCAGTTATAAATTGGTGACCATATCAGCGAGCCATAGTCAAGCTTGGACCTAACGTAACAGTTAAATGACAATTTAATAGTAGCTGAGCTACAAAAATGCCTGCAATTTCTTATTACAAATTCTAAAATTAGCATTTTAGTTTTCATTGATGTTGAAGTTTTTTTGAGTTTCTCGTAAAAATCTCAAAGTACATAATATTAAAAACGCTGTTAAGTTCTGGACTACTAAATTAGCTCCGTTGTATGAATAATCTAGGTTATTTTGAAATTGATGATATAAAAAATGAAATTTTAAATATTAGGTACTTAAAATTTCAAACCCAAATTTCTCGAAAATGGTGACTCAGGCCGAAATTTAAAAGGTAGAACTCTTTTTTGAAAAAAAGGTGTAAGCAGTGATATATTTGTTAAAAATATGCATACACTAAGGTGCAAAAAAGTTAGAAACTATCAAATGCACGAAAACTACCATACGTAGCGCTCTCTACAATTTACAAAAATCAAAAATGAAATTGCAACTTTGACACCCTCTAAATCGGTTAGTATCAACAAGGTAAGTTTCGTTAAATCCTAATATAAGTAAATTAAATCCTAATATGTTACACCTTCAATTGGACGAGATTCCATTTGGTTTTTCAACGTCCCTTGTCAGATTTTTATAAAATATTAACTGATCCTGTATACCTGTCAGTTGTAACAGAAGATTATGTTGAAGCCTAGTATTCTAAAAAAATAGCTCCAAAGATTTGGACTGGACATGTCGACTCCAGTTTCATTTTTCGCAATTCACCAATGCCATATTTTTAACCGTTATAAAGTTGGTTGCATGCATATTATCCAACATGTCCTCCAAATCGCGCTATACATGTAAAAGATCAATATAGAAGCTCGGCTCAACGTTTCCCACCCGCACCTGCATTTTCTAAAAATATTGTATGCTCATATAATTTTGTGCAACTTTACGAATATTTGACTGGTGAACTACAATAAGAAAATCTATAAGAAATGTTCAAAATGAAGCTTAGTTTTGGTTAGTTGGTTAGAATAGTTTTTTTTTCAAATTTCTTCAAATTCCTAAGCAACCTAGTCTTTGCATGATCAATTGAATCGCACTCGTTTGTTGTAGCTTTCGTGCTCTGTTGCTCTTCCAATGCCAATGAAAGTACAAACTGGCAGCCATGTATTTATTTGCTCAATTTTCAGTTCTTGAATATTGCACATGATGTTTTGTTTTCTTCTCATCTGGCACAATTACGTAATATTTCAGGCTATCTTCGTTAAGGCCTATTCAACCGAGAATAGTTCCTATCGGACCACACATATCGAATTTGCGGGACAACAAACACATGGTCAGCAATTCGGCTAGGCGGTTGGAGGTGATTTGTCTAGGGTTTTTCCACTTTCTCATACCTATTGAAAATCTTTACTGCAGGTTTTGAGGAATTGCGTAAATTGCATCTTCGAAAATAAAATTTCCGACGCCAGGAAAACGTTTCCGGCCGTGTTGCGGGCGCTGCAATCGAAACAAGCCAGATTAGCCTTGTGCAACGAGTTGTCCCAACAAGTCAGTGGCACGAAAGCCATGCTAGAAGATCAGCAATTCGATTTGGTCGTGCGTTTGATGAATTGTGCTTTGCAAGATGATAGTTCGATGGACGAATACGGGGTCGCCGCCGCGTTGTTGCCTTTGGCCACCATATTCTGTAGAAAACTTTGCACCGGAATAATCCAGTTTGCTTACACTTGTATACAGGAACACGCGGTTTGGCATAATCAACAGTTTTGGGAAGCGGCCTTCTATCAGGACGTTCAGAAAGAATTAAAGGCTCTCTACACGTCGAGGGTGGAAAACATCGGTGCGAAATATTCAAGCGAACTGTTGAGTCCTACGTCTTCTCGTGATAAAGACTACATGTGGCATCGGAGGTCCGTGTTGGCTCGCATGCACGAGACTTCGGCACTCGAGATTGCCGCAGAACAAATGAGGTTATGGCACAGTATCGACCCGGAAAAGCAAAAGGAGCTGGTAACCTGCGAGGAGAACACCATGTACAGTCAGGCCATACATTACGCCAATAGAATGGTTTATTTGCTCATACCGTTAGACGTGGGAAACAAGGCTAGTAAACAGGAAATTTTCGATGACGAACGAGCCAGCAACAGTATAGCGAACAGGTAAGAAAATTGAAGGCTATGTGATGTTTGTGGCAAGCAGAATCGAAGATCTCATTGTCCGAAAGTGGCCAATAGTATGGCGATGCCACTTTATCTTTTTTTTTTAAGTTTATTATTTCTGTTTTCTTTCTTTGTGGCATTTAACAATGTTGAAAAAGTTGTCTATATACGAGGGTCACTTGAGAAGTCTCCGACTCAGAAATAATAATATTAATAATAATATATTTACCAAATAAACACATAATAATCTACAGTTATACTACTTTTTTATAATACTGCAAATATAAAACAAAAAAACCCACTAAAGAAATCTCTTGAGCGTGGGCAGCGTTAATTAATACATTATATTTTTAACGAACTTTTAATATAGTTAATTGAGTACCATCAATGATCAATGATAGGATTAACTAACAAAGTTTGGCTTAAGTTCCAATAGAGATAAGCAGTATAATAAAGTCATGAGTTAAATGAATTATTTAAACAATAAATTAATTGCAGTGGCAGCGGCTGCCGTGCATGTTGCTTTGTTTAAATATGTTCCGATTCCGATTAATTATTTATTGTTAATTAAGTATTGCGATTTAAGAGTTCATATTTGGTATAATATGTTTTCATATATAAACACACATTTTAGCAAAATAAAAAAATGGGCAAATTCTCTATTCGTGTGGATGTAAAATGGTTGGCTAGTTCATTTAGTTAGCTAGTAACTTTTTTTTGAAACTGCATACAAAAATATTTTAATTTTAATTAACCTCAATCCTCAATTAAAATTAAATCAGTTTTCCTTTTATGCGTCTGTTTTACTTTAGGACTAAGCGTTACGGTTACATGTGCGACTGAAGCGCCGCCTTCTAATTATCCGTGAAAGTATGTGTTATTTAATTTATTTTGTAGTGTTGCTGAAAGTGATAGTGTAGATGCAGAATCTGGTTTTGAGGATCAAGATCCAAGCGAAACTGGCAGCACCGTCATTCGTATAGTATCCCGATTCATAGATCGCGTTTGTAATGAGGGTGGTGTGACGAGAGAGCACATCCGTAATCTGCACCAAATGATCCCCGGAGTAGTGCACATGCACATAGAAACACTCGAAGGTGTTTATAGGGAGTCAAAGAGGAGACCACCAATTCAGAAGCCCAAGATTTTGACCCCAAACGTGTTAATAGGGGAGGAATTGATAATGGACGGTCTGAGGGTGTATTTGTTACCTGATGGTAGAGAAGAAACGATAACAGGGTTATTGGGAGGTCCGCCATTGCTACCTGCAGAAGGAGCAATATTCCTTACCAATTATAGGATTATTTTTAAAGGAATGCCGTGTGATTCGTTTGGTAAGTGTGATTTAGTGACACTGCAAATAAATGTAAATGAAATAAATTGTAGATCTGTAAGTATGAGGTTTTTTAGATAATATAAAACACACTTGATATACTTACATTATTGAAAATATTTTTTGATATACTCTTGTTCTGTAGATCGCAAACTGTAAATAATCACCTCTTGTTGTGTAGTACACCGTTCTCTAAAGTCGTTGACGTGTTAGAAGTATATGGAGAATGGAAAAAGATAGGCATTCAAGAATCAGATTGCAGCCATTGGATCTATATTTTGGTACCATGGCAACATTGGCTCATCTATTTGAACCATACATCAACTTTATTTATTTAAATGGAATGCCCTATTTATTATTACATTTTTAGATTTTATGAAAAATTCTTTCTATGTAACACAACGTTGTAGCTCTCTCGAGGTGTTATGTTTAAAAAAAATATTATTTATTATTTTGTTATTTATTATTACATTATTGCGAGAGATAGAATTACAAGCTTACAAAATATAAAATTTTAAAAGCTAAGAATAATATAGAGAGGCCAGACCTTACCTTAAGTTAATATAATAATATGTCAGTAACAGTCATGAAAAAAAATTTAAGTCGGTTAATTTGTTGTATAATCGGAGGGTACGAGAGATGAATGAGCGATAAGCATATTTAATTCTATGGAACTTCTGGTGAAATGTTTGTGTAGCACGAGTGGAGTTTGGATGGAACATGTAGACCAATCCTCGTTAACGAAGGGCAGTCGATTGTAGAGTGCATCAGTGTCTGAATTAATTTTAAGTCCCTCTGTTTCCTTTGACAGGCAGACAAGGCAAATGTTATCGATGTAGACTGAAAAATTTTAGTTGGAATTTAACAGCACACCCAAATCCCTGATCTGATCAACGGAACCCAATGCGCTACTATTAATGCAATGCACGAAATCTCTAGCCTTACAGAATCTTATAACCATATACTGAAGTACATTAAGTTCCATCTATCCAGGCCTTCTTGGAGTGCTAAATAGTAATTTTGAGTGGTTGACTATGCTTAAACTATGGTGAAGATATTGAATAGTAGGGGGCCCCTGGGGGACGCCTGATGAGACTAAGATTTAGGAAGATGAAATGTTCATCGTCTGCAGCGCAATAAAGTACCGGACACACCCAAGAACTCGAGTTTCTTAATCAACAACTCATGGTGTGCTCTGTCAAACGCCTTGGAGATGTCGGTATATATTACTGTTATATTATATCTAAAAATATAATAATGTATACTAGGCTATTCCATTTTAAAAAAGGAAATGCTGCAACGATTCAATTAAAAAAAAAAAATTGAAAGACTCCGTTAATTAAGAAAGTATATAAAAATATAATATTTGCTGCATCGCTGGAATTATAGATACATTGGTGAATAGTTAATTCCTATTGCTTCATAGTACTAAGAATGCGCCCTCATTTTAACGTTGGGGAAATTAATTATGTTGAGCACTCTTTGCCATAAAAGTTCTTAAAAACGTCAAATACTAATGACATTAATTATATGTGTTATTTTTGGTTAGCTTGTGAACAAGTAGTGGTCAGATCCTTTCCGGTCACATCTTTAACAAAAGAAAAGAAAGTAACGGTTCAGTATTTAGCGCATTTGGATCAGTGGCTGCAGGAAGGACTGCAGCTTCGCTCCTGCACGTTTCAATTAATGAAACTGGCTTTCGACGAGGAAGTAACCGCGGAAAATATCGATAACTTAAGGAAACTTATCCACAAAGTGCGCCATCCGCCCAACTTCTGGCATTATTTCGCCTTCGCCGGACAAGTCGTGGTAAATGAAACGCCGCTGCACAAGAGCAAGGAGAAGAACGCCACCTTGAGGGGCTTCGCCAAGAAGACTCTACTAAAGACCGCGAGAAAGGTTGGAGTCAAGCAAAAATCTTCGTCCAAGAGACAGAAATATGTGCTTCCAAATATGAGTATTAACAGCAGCAACAAGTATATGACATCGCCGGGTAGGATGGGTCTACCTGTTAACGACTACGGTAACGACGACGACATGTCGGTCGACGACTTTGAGCCTAGCGCGTTGCCCGCCACACCCACTCAAACCGACGCGAAAACTTTGGAACGGATGGTGGAAAGGAGCTACGTGAAGGATTGGCAGAGGCTAGGGATTTGCTCTCCTATTAACAATAAAGCCGGCCAGGATCAGTTTCGATTAACTTCGATCAATTCTATTTACACAGTGTGCAGAAGGTGATTATTGCTTACGTCTAACGCACGCGCGTTGCTACAACAGTTTATTTTGTAGTTATCCGGCTTTGTTGGTAGTTCCCGTTTCCGTTAACGACGATAGTATAAGAAGATTCTGCCGGTGTTACCGGCAAAGTCGAATACCCTGCATAACCTGGAGACACGGTCGTAGCAAGGCTTTGCTTCTGCGCGGTGCCGGTCATCACGGCAAAAGTGTGATGGGAATGTTGAAAAGTCACCCGGCTCCGAACACGTCCACGGAAATGACCTCCTCTTCCGAACAGGAAAAGTATTTGTCGGCTTTGGTCGCGGCCACGCCCATTTTTTCGCAGAGGCCCGGATGGGATATGTCCGATAGTTGCTTGAGCATCGATTCTTTGCTGTTAGCTACCGAGGATCCCCTGGCGTGTGCTACCCTCACACCCGAAGTAGCGCGAAAATCGAATCCTTTTAATAAAGCGATCGGTACTTTGGGGTAAGCAAACTTTTATTAACGAGACCTTTATTACTTTTGTCACAAAATGTTTTGGTTAGTTTTAATGAACATTTTAAAAGATTCCTAATTATTTAATTTTGATATTGTTATGAAGGTGTTAGTAGAAAATATATTGTTTTTAATGTAGCATCCTACTAATCAACAAGGTTTGAAATAAATCTTGATGAGTAGTATGGATTCATCAACACATGAGACGGGCTTATGAAAAAATTAATCAAGCAAAAACTTTAAATGATACGATATTCCTACTTGCAAAGGTAGTAAATTTCTCTCAAGTAGTAATCACTGTTAGGAGATTATTGTCTTTTTCTTATTCAAGACGAAATTAATTATTTGAATCCGATGTATGGAGGCCAAGGAATATCACTTCATTTTTTAGAAGTATTTTCTCCCTATTCGTCTTTTAAATCTTTCTAGATGTAAAATAAAAGTTTCCTTGAATTCTTTATAATAAAAGTACTTAAATTTATGATATTGTTATATTTTTGTCTTAGATCAACATTTTTAATTTAGTTTTTCTCGGGTTTTATTGGCATTGCGCTAAAGTGTAATATACTAGGGTGTGTAATAAAAAACAGATTTAGGTACTCACCCGGACACCCGGTATTAATCTTTACTCCGTTCAGAATAATCCTCCAGCACTGACCAGATGTAACGCTAGACCAACTTAAAAAAACAACACACAAATTCAAACCACATGGTACCACATCCATGATGATACTGGTAAAATGTAACAAATCCGGATTTTTCTATTGATAACTATTAAACAATTAAGTTTACATTTAAAGTATTAAATATTTTGTAAAAAGGTAATTTTGAAATGTTTTTATTGAAACACAAAATTTTTCGCTGGATTTTCCAAAATAACTGGATAACTCTATAATGGTATCCATGTGTCGTTATTCATGTTTAGTTTAAAATTTACAAATACATGTAGATATTTTTGGTAATGTAATGCTAATTTAAATTAAAAATTGAAAAACTTACTGCTTTGTCTGTCGGGAACGGATAAAAATGTTTAAATACTAAATTAAAATTATTTATTCTAGTGTCTTTCCGAGACACTCCGGTGGCAAGGGTCCAAAAAATTTCGGTAGATGGGGTTCATTGAAAGACAGGAGGCAATCATCTCAAGCCTCTTTGGCGGCACAACAAAATCGTACTACGATGAGGCATTCGACCGATATGGACAGTGCAGCCGACGGAGTCCATACCTTGCAACGAGCGGCATTGTATATTCTGGGTGAAAAGGCTCATATGAAGGGCATAAAAATCGAATCTGCGCCAAAGGCGGAATTTATTCCAGTCGAATATTATGATGTCAGACATACGAAGGCAGCATTTAAAAAGCTTATGAGGGCGTGCATTCCAAGTTCTCAGAATGTCGAACCAGAGCATAGTTTTCATAAGTATGTGCATCTTTTTTTATATTTTCGGGAATCAAATATAAAAAATGTTTCTAAAGATTGATGTTAAGTCAAAAACATTAATATTCATTAGAATGCAAAATTGTATTGTATTACTCTAGTAAGAAAATATTGTATTGTATCTTTTGATTGAGATGATTAAAGAAATAGACTGTTTTAGGGTCGGTAGATCAAATATTTTTTATCTGCATATGTAAAGGATATTTATCAGATAATTTGATCCTTCCTCATAAAATATGAGGTGCATATTATTATATTGTTATCTGCTGAAACTTGGGCGTTGTTAATGGTTGGCACTATTTTTTTTTTGAAGCTAAGTAGGTCCTAAAGCTGCTTGAACAAGTTTTATAAGCTAGCAAGCTGATTTTTTTAAGCAATTTTAAAAAATCTAGAGGGAATTCCGTTCATCGATACTTTATTTATATAGTCGAATCATACTTAACAGTTCACCGTAATTGTTAAATGTTATTATTTTTTATTATTTCGTATCATAAACATCTTCCATTAAATTTTTCCAATAAGAGATAGTGGTATCTCTACAAACCTGATTTATCCTAAATTGTTACATCAGCTATCTTTTAGTTTTTTTTTTTCATACTTCATTGTAAAAATCACACTTTGCCAAGTGAAATTTAAATAGTGCGATGCTTGCGTAAATTGAAGATAGGAAGATATCAAAGCTAAACAGCAACGAATTGGTGTTCCGGTTTGTTCTAATATTTTTTGCTTCGAATATCTTTGCAGATTGATTGAAAATTCGGAATGGCTTCAGCAAATTCAAAACATAATGCAACTGTCTGGCGCCGTGGTCGATCTTTTGGATCTTCAAGGTTCCTCGGTAGCAATATGCCTCGAGGACGGCTGGGATATAACCGCGCAAGTGTCCTCTATCGCGCAACTTTGTTTGGATCCCCACTACCGAACCATAGAAGGTTTTCGGGTACTCGTGGAGAAAGAATGGATCGGATTTGGTCATCGATTCAGTCACCGAAGCAATCTCAGTGCAAATTCTCAGGCAAGCGGTTTCGCACCAACATTCCAGCAGTTTTTAGACGTCGTTCATCAAATTCAAAAACAATACCCTATGGCGTTCGAATTCAATGATTACTATTTGAGATTTCTGGCGTACCATTCGGTTTCATGCAGATTTAGAACGTTTTTGTTTGATTGCGAGTTTGAGCGGGTTGAAAGCGGAGTGGCGGCTGTCGAAGACAAAAGAGGCTCGCTGACGTCACACCATAAAAGCGTCGATACGACCTCGGACGACGAAAACATCTATCCTGGAGGACGACTGTGCGGAACGACGTCCGGAACCAATCTGGGACAAAGCGTGTTCGATTACATTGAAAAGCAACATGCTAGGAATCCCCTCTTCTTCAATTTTATGTACACGCCCGACATTGAACATCCTGTTTTGAGACCTCAGAGCCATCTTCCGTGTCTGGAAATTTGGAATTACTATTTAGATGAAGATTTACATCATGGGCCGAGCTACGACTTAGAAATTATCCAGATGGATATGCAACAGGAGGAGGAAGCGGAAGCCGCTGATGGTATATCTACTAAATCAATGAGGAAGATTGTTACTTTGGGGTAAGTGTTTTAAATATTGTGTTTATATTTTAGTTTTCACAGATTTCTTTTTTGTTGGAAAAGAGTAATTGGGGTTGGTCATGTGGTTTGGTTGGTTAGGAAAATCGAAAAGTAACTTGTCATTGGAAAACATTTGTGAATACTATAAAATTTCTCTAAATTCTTGGGGTATCTTTTGGTTTGTTTCCATATTAGAAACTTGTTTGGGATATTCTGTGAGTTCAACATTTCCTAACAGTTTGGCAACTGTCAGGGCAGTTTGAGGTTAATCCTCCAGCAAATTGTTATACTCAAGCGCGATACAACCTTTATATATGATTATAAATATTTTCTTTGTAAAAGTAAGAAAATAAAGCACGGTTTTCCAGAATATGAATTCCACATGTGGAATTTTTTTTACAAGAAAGAAGAAGGCCTAAGAACCAGGGTCTTTTGAAGGACATTGTGTCTCAGTTTAATGCAAATGAATATATGCAAGAAGAACTAATCAAAAACTAACCGATTTGATGGATTTTGTAAAAAACATTATCTTACTCATGATGTAGCTTATTCTTACTGATGGTAGTATCATACCCTGACGGATCAGCAATGTATTATGAAACACCCTGTATATGTAAGGCGATTGATGTGTGATATTGCGACACAGAATATCTGTGATATTTTGACAGAACATCAAAGCAAGGTAATAAAGTACAACATTTCTCTTTGATGCGCCGCGGAGATGATAATGATTGTTACGATGTAGACTGTATTTTTGATTGGTCAGTCTCAAAACGACTAAGAGAAAGTTGAAAAAAATGATTGTCAATCAAATTACACAATAATCGGGTGGCTGTAATCGACTTACCCAGGGTTTTCTTCATCTTCCCTGGTGTTGCAAAACTCCTAAACTCCTTATGTGTAGTGGTGGCGAATTCATCCATAAATTTGGCGATGTTGCGATGTGAGTTTATGAAAATAACTCAGTATCAAAAATAAAACAAATATGCGAACGACTAGCGGCTTCGTTGAGATACAGAAGCCAACTGCAGACAACTTGTTGAACTCCGACTGGAATCCTACACGCTTGTTGAACTCCGACTGAAATCCTGCATCCGACTGGAATCCTGCAGACGTTTCGCCAAAATCTCACTTGGCATCTTCAATGCTCGCGCTCCGAAAACACTTCGAACACTGGGAGGTTATCGGCGGTGCGTGCGGTATTTATACCCTGCGCCGGAGATGATAATGGTGCTGCTTGTGCGGGAGGGGAGGTGGCTCCGCCCCCCGAATTGTCGCGTAGTTAATTTCACCCGATCGTAGTTGCGATGTCCCCGTTGGCTGCTGCGTATCGCTCTGCTGTTTGATTATCGTTCTCCACGTATTGGATAAATGCAGAACGTCGTCTCTCGTATTCAGGTGTCCGGACTTTTCTATCTCGATATATATATATATATATATATATATATATATATATATATATATATATATATGTATATATATATATATATATATATATATATATATATATATATATATATATATATATATATATATATATATATATATATATATATATATATATATATATATATATATATATATATATATATATATATATATATATATATATATATATATATATATATATATATATATATATATATATATATATATATATATATATATATATATATATATATATATATATATATATATATATATATATATATATATATATACAAGGCTGCCCAAGATTGAACAATGATACTTACACAGCATTAAACATGCAGGAAATTCAAAAATATATGATGATCTACCAATAAACAGAAACGAATTTCTATTATGTTTTTGTCTTCAGACGTATGTCACTGTTATTTATTTATTTAATAACAATATTATAGGTACAACTGTGTCGACAAAGCAGTGCCGGACGCCTTTAGCCATTTGCTTGAGGAAATTCATAAACTGGAAAGCGAATTGGGACACCTGCCGCAAAAGTGGAAAGTCCTTTGGGATAAATTGGATATTCCGGTTACCGATTCTTTAACGGTAATTATGCGGGCTCGATTTTAGTTGAATCTTATTAACTCAATAAAAATTTTAGCGTCATTCTTCCTTCAATACCGCACTTGTTCGATCGCATGGTCGGCTGGTGCACAAACGTTCAACTCTGGAAATACTAATGAGAGGTAAAATGGTGGGAGCCGCGGAATCGTCATTGGTCTACTCTCATCCGCATAGGTTCGAGAAGTATAATTATTCGACCCCATCTCATTGCGATCTGTGTTCGAGTGTACTTTGGGGGCCTGTTAAGGTAATTGCAACTCACACCTCCAGCAGTTAGTAGTTTCTGAAAATTTCACAAAAATTAACAGTTTTTGTTCTGTATAAATTAAAATAAGTTTATCTATCAAATCTTGCTGAAAAAATAGTTCTTAAATATTTCTCAACCCTATAATATAAAGCTCCACATGACATCGCAATTCAGGCGAGTTCTTCTGTTTCTATTTTTGATAATAATGTTCTATTTAAAAGTCATTCGTCTATTATTTTAAGTTGCGCAATCTTCTCTCATTGTAAACCAATAAAACACAAACAAGAACGGTCCAGACCATTAGTTGCTAATTTGGTAAAACAACCACAATCTTAATTCATATATATGTCAGTGTTGGTATAGATCTACAATATAACAAAAAGATGTTTTTCTCTCCTTAAATGGCTTTAAAAAATTTCAAATGTACCGAAATTTCAATTATTTCAAGCACCACTATGTCCTAACCATAACGTCAAGAAGTATGTATATAAACAATTTATGTATGTTCTACAGAGAGGATTTTTATTTTAATTTATTCACCAACGGTATAACCATACAGGGTTATTGGCACTATAGGTAACAAAATATTGCTTGTCCCAGAAGTGCTAAATGTATCAAAGTTACATTTTTTAATTTTTATTTTCTTAACTTAGATTTTGTCAAAATTTTAACTTGTCAAATATTTATACATTACAGCTTCAATTAGGTTTATGATACCTAAATCTAAAGGTTAAAGAGCAGTGGCGACAGTGCATCTCCCTGTTCGAACCCACTGTTAACTGCAAAGAAGACTGAAGAAAGGAAACAAAAGCATAATGCGAACAGCCATTGCAGAGGCAATACTATTTAAAATCCAGGTAGCTTGAAATTTCTGCTAAACAGGTCGGTTTAAGGAAGACCAAACAAAATACATGATAACAGCAAAGGCAGAGCAAAGAGACAGAATAGGCCAAAATGTTACAATGGACCAATATAATATTGAAGGGGTTCAGGAATTTAAATATCTTGGTGTCAATGCCAGCCACAGCTGTTTTGCTCTTCAAAGTTCAATGAAACACGAACACGAACCTTCGACCAATTATGACATATGCATGTGAGACATGGACGCTGATAAAACACAATACGTCTAATAAAAAATACACAACAGTACCGAACGAACAAGGAATGGGAAGAACTAGATAATCACCCAGACGGCGTCAGAATAATAAAATTATAAAGATTCAGATGGGCTGGCCATCGTAAAAGACAAGAAAATCAACGTCTAATTAGATTAGTGTCGGATGGGAAAAGACCGCTGGGAAGGTCGAGATTGCATTGGAGAGAAAACTGAACCACGAGACAAAGCAAGAAAATCTTAAGATTTGTAAAATAATTTAAATTTTGTCGAAAGTAAAGTAATAGCGAACCGCGTTTTTCCAGAACATGCGAAATTATTATTTTTGACCTTATTGAAACGTTTGCGTTGTAGAACGAAAAAATCCTATAATATATGGCCTGTTCTGATTAAAATATAAAACTTTGCCATTTTTAGCACTTTCAGGACGACTTGCCTAACATGAAAGTAATTTTAAAAAATCAGCATTATAATAGACCCCCATACATTTGTTTGTATTTTGGTTACAATATCTTGTGTGGTACAGTGTGAGTAATCATGGAGAAAACATTCTCTAGAATTTACTAAAGCGTAATTGAAACAAAAATCTCTTAATAGTTTGTGAGTTACAATGCTCTCGGTAAATTGAGACCATATGTAAAATGATTATGTATATTTATTTAATCGTATCCAACAAATCTATGCTTGCAAATGTTATACAAGACAATGAAATCAGCATATCCTCTTCCCTATTAGTGTTTATGTAAAAAGAAGATTTAGAAGAACTGAATATCAATGGCAGTCTTTATACTTAAAATTTAATTAATATTAAAATTTGATTATGCGCAGCTTAGATCCTACTACTATGTACAAAATAGAAAATATTTTGGGTCATTAATTTAGTCGCGATGAAAACAAATGGAAGACATCTTAGGCAGCAGTACAGTGCATTGGTTTTAGATTTAGTAAAGTTTATATACATATATATACAGAGAAACACGATATTGATGATTCTAACGCTCTAATTTTAATAAATTTTTTTTCGATTGGTTTTTTCAGACGGGCATGCGATGTATGGATTGCGGCTATAGTTGTCACGAAAAGTGTGCCGAGAGTGTCCCAAACAATTGCACGAAATATAAAACTATTTCTGACACGAGTACTTCACAGACAATGCAGATTAACACCGGAGATAACGGATCCGTTAGTTCTGGTGGGTTATTTTACGTTCTCGAACGTCGATGACGGAGTTCTTTTAACCGCAGGTAGCGCACGACAAACGTCTAGTCAACAATACTACGAGCAATTCTCTTCCAACGTAGCAGAAAACAGGACTCACGAGGGATATTTGTACAAAAGGGGCGCGTTGTTGAAAGGATGGAAGCAGCGCTGGTTTGTGTTGGACTCGATTAAGCACCAGCTTAGGTATTATGATGCCATGGAAGATTCGCATTGCAAAGGATACGTCGGTATAAGAAAATAATGGGCATAGGTTAGAAGTTTTTGTGTAACGTTGTCAATTTTAGATTTAGCAGAAGTGGTATCGGTGAATGCGGCGCCACCAGCACCAGGTCCTCCTAAGAAAACGGATGATAAAGCGTTCTTTGATGTAAGTATAAATTTCTACTACTGATTTTATTCATTCACTGACTACTTTTATCTAAGATGGTTAAAGTGTGATCTGAAGAATCCGCCTTCTTTTGTTTTGCCTCGTTTTTAATCGATTTTTTTTTATCAAAGGAGTAATTTCATTGAAAACAGCTATTATTTGACGTCATTTTCTGTACATAGTTGTTTTTCAAAACATAAACAGCAATAATTTGATTTTGTAATGTCGGAATTTGTGCTGAATAAAGTATTTTTGTTTTTAAAATGGGTAGAAGTGCTGCAGAAAATCATCATATTCTTGTAGATGTTTATGACGAGACTAGCTGAGCAAAATTATTTGCACGTTTTAAAAGTGCCGATTTTAATTTTGAAGACAGAGAACGACCTGGACAGCTGAAAGAAATTGGAAGAATTAGAAAAGTTGCTTAATGAAGATTGACGTGAGACTTCAAGAATTGGTTACTTCACTTGGAGTTAGGAATTAGAAATGATTTGCAAGGAGGGACGTTGGGTCCCATATGAATTAAAGACAAGACTTATTGAAAAAGGAATTTTTGATTTGTGATTTACTGCTCCAATGCGAGAAAAGAAACGGATTTTTGCATCGGATCGTCACAGAAGACAAAAATTGATTTATTACGAAGAAAATCTGAGGTAAAGCCTGGTGAACGATCAACAATAGTGGCAAAAAAATATCCAGGGATCTAAGATTCATTTGGCGGGATCAGCTGGGTGTGGTTTATTATGAGCTGTTAAAACGAAATCAAACGATTGCAGGAGCACATTATCGACTACAATTGAATTAAAAAAAAAATGGCTTAAATATGACAAACTGAAATGGAACGTCCTACTCCACCAGCCGTACTCTGCATCGAGTGATTACCATTTATTCAGAAAATGGGCTGCTTCGTGGATCGCATCTAAAGACTAGCAGTTTTTCCGACGTGGGATCCGTCTTTTGCCGAAAAAGTTGTAGACAATATTTCAGTCCATGTTTTGATATTCATTTATGATAAATATTTTTCCCATTAAAAAAAAACCCTACAAATTAATTCCAAGGATTAATAGTTAATTTAATGTAATACATGATTTATTCCATAACATTAACAACAAATTTAACGCCATTTTGACGGGAAACGTAAACTTCTAGTTGGGGTCGCGAGACCAAAACAATTTTTTCTAAACTAATGATGATGTCACCTTAAGTTTTGTTAACATCGTTTATTTGGTCTTGTTGCTCCCAGATGCATACTTTTATAATTATGCTAAACGGATAATTAAAAATGGTCTAAAATTATGCTAAACGGATAATTAAAAATAGTCTATATAATATGTTGGCCTATTAGAAGTATACAGAGAATAGAAATCAATAGGCTTTTCAAAATAGACACCCACTTCATTTTTTTAACGCCCTGTATTTTTAAAATTTTGAAACTGCGTTAACGTTAGTCTTGATCTTTTTTTGGAAATAAAAATTATTTTTTACAAAATTTGGCAGAAATAATAAGGAAAATAATTGCATTATTGATCTACAAGTATTATAACATCCCGACCTAGACTAAAATAATACAACTAAAAAATATATGACCGTTAGTACAAACCATTAGTATAGACCATTAGACCATTAGTATTAAATTAAAAAACTTGTGGACTTGAACTACTTTAGCTATGGTATGTTAGAGTACTTTTAGGTCAAGAATGAATCGCTCTTTTTCTTGATAAGCTAAAATACAAGCGGTTTCATTTAAAATTAATTTCGTATTTTATAAAATGTGCATAATTTTGTATACACCCTATACGCAATATCTTATGCGAGACAGTAGCCTATTGGCAAGCTGTAACCAAAATTTCTGATTTCTAGGTAAAACTATTGATAGATAGGTAGATAATTAATTATTTTAGTGATATATGCTTTATACCAAGAGAGCGGTTACATAGAAAGTGTTTGGTTAGTGACCATTGTTTTCCATTTTCCATAATAATTCCAACAGGCCTGAAAATGGACATCAACTTCAAGGAGCCCTGTATAATAATAGAATTAAACTGAAACCAATTAATTTCTACCAACAAACAGCACTCATTAACCTCAGATGATTTCCAGATGTTATACGCCATCCCGATGTTTCCCAACGTGGGGCCCCCGCCCACAAGGGGGCAATTTGATAATAAAGGTCAATTTCAGAATACACTCTATACGACTTTATCGGTGACATCGGTGACAACAAAACAAGCAAAATCATAAAAAATCGCCGTAAATAATTATTAGGTATAATTTCGTTTGACTTTACTAACACATCAACTGGGTGATTAGAATCGTCAAGTAAACTTCCTCGGGGATTCACCGCAGGGTGTGTCGCTTGCCATGGGGAACCGAATGTTTAAAAACTCGCTAAACAACGCTGTTGTCCGCACCTAATCTGCCCAACTCAACTTCTGTAGTGCTTTGCACATCTTTCAGTTGGTGTTGATTTGAATGAGTGCCCATCAGTTAATCGTTAACGATTGATGAAGCATTTAAATTTCCAGAAAATTATATCAAGTGGAAAAAATATTGCTAATGTTTTATATACATTTAAATAAATATGTTTTTTTTAGTATACCTGTACTCTGTCATGTTGAATTCAGTATGACACATATTTTGTCGTTAGTTTTTAATTGAACTTTTTTTTAGACCATAGTAAAATGAGTGATACAAGCAAAAAAAAAGATCGTCAATATTCCGAGGAATATTTAGAATTTGGTTTCATACCTGCTGCTTACGAATCAATGAAAGGAGCTCGTTTTGAGGCGCATTTGAAAGCTAAACATAGTGCTCATATTAATTCAGATATGAGTTACTTTAAAACTTTAAAGAATTTTTTTGAAAAAATAACAAAATTAACGTCACTATTTACTGCTCGTACTTCAATTAATAATCATCTTACCGAAGCTAGTTATCAAATTTCTTTATTAATTGCTAAAACTAGAAAAAATCACATTATAGGAGAGAATTTGATAAAACCGTCAATATCAGCATTTCTTAAAACGGTTCTGGAAGAAGATGACAAAGATGTAAAACCTATGCCGCTCAGTAACAATATTGTTAGCAGAAGAATAGACGAAATGATCGAAGATGTTGACATACAACTTGTTGAAAAGCTGAAAACAAGAAAGTTCTCAGTGCAAATGGATGAATCAACTTCGATAGACAGTAAGGCAGTATTAATAACTTATGTAAGATATATTGATGAAAGACATTTTGCTGAAGAAATGTTGTCCTGTAAAAGATTAGAAAGCACCACTACCTCGAAATATATAAATATAATAAATATAGAATAAGTTAAAAAGCTACTTAGATGATATACCAATGAAAAATACATCTTGTGCGGCATATGGCGGCTCCTAATATGATGGGCAAGAAAAATGGCTACTTAAAATTGATGAAAGGTGCGAATCCAGAAATGATTCTTGTACATTGTGTCATTCAAGAAGAACTCGCAGAACTGCAAAATGATGAGTGAGTAAAAATTTTATTTAATGTAAAAGGAGCGATGGCATGGCTTTGTGAAGAAATTATAACTAAATATCCAAATGCAACCAAACATGCAAGACAACTTTTACTACCGTTTTCATCTTCATATTTAGCGGAGTGTGGATTTAGTGGTGTAAATGATTTACTGATAAAAAAAGAAATCGATTGGATATAACATAACGTGGAGACATCAGATTAAAGCAAACTAAATTGGGACCTAATATAAAATATATGTGCAGCAAGCATCGAGCGCAAGGATCGCACTAAATTAATATAGAAAACCTGTCTTAAAATTATGTTGAATTAGAATGTTCACTTTTTCATTATATGTTTTGAAATATTATTTACTGTTTTTTGATAGGTATTTCATAGTGATATCTTCCTTAAACCTATCATTTATGTTTCTTAAGTGAACAGATCGATTTTTTAATGTTAAGTTAGAAATGTTACTGTGAGGCATGGCACAAAAAAGGTTGGGAAATACTGCTCTAACCAGTTATTTGTCATCAACTTAAATTAGTCTAAAAACGATTTTTTTTTCAGTTACGTACTAGTCGTCGAACCTATAATTTTTGCGCGACAGATTCTGCCTCCGCTCAAGAGTGGATCGAGAAACTTCAGGCGTGTCTGCAATAAACAAAATACTCTTAATCCAAAGTTAGGTAATCAGTGTTGTCTTAAAATCTTATTGTAACAGTTAGCCAATGATAATATTTTATAATTATTTATGTATTTTTTACACAAGGCGAATGCACAAATATGTTAGTTTACGTTTTACGTTTTTGTAATATAGTGGAATTTTATATTTTTTTATATTAGTTGTACAGCAAAGCTCAAATATATAGAATAAATTGTTACTTTCATTGAACTTTCCGAGTTTATGTCAGTTTTTTTTATTGTTCCATTGACATTGTTTTAGAATTGCTTTCACCTAAAAGTTGATGTTGGTTCATGGTGTAATTTGCTGTCTATCATTCAAAAAGTGACCCATCACGAACAAGAATATCTAGTTCAGTTAAGTTAAGGAGAATTGTTACATGAAAAGGGCAATTCTACTATACAAATAGTTTATAGTTATGAAAGCAAAGCGTGAGCAATCCTCGTGAGATGTGGGTCTTATCAAACGGTAGAATTTGATTTTTTTGTTATGTCATTTTCAATATATAAGGAGCACCATTGAATTTCTTGAACCAAACCTAAATTAATTATTTTTTTTTAAATTCTATCGTTTTATAAAGGCATGAACGCTTTACAATAAAAGCTCTAGTTTGTAGTGGTGGTTTTAAGCATTGTTGGTGGTTAATTCTGATCATTTGTAAAGTGCATGTCATTTCACAATACAAACAAATAAAACTTGTCAGACACAAAACTGGAAATAAATGTGCTTCTTAGAAAATTAAAAACTTATTTTTAATACTTGAATATCAATTTCATTATAAATTGCACTTTGCCCACCACCAACGAATTTTTGTTTAACGTGATTAACTGAGATTAGCTAATTATGAAGATACATCAAATTTTGGTCTAAATTCTTTAAAATATAAGCAAAATAACAGCATTAAAAGGCTAAACTGTAATAGGGATCGTTCTATATGATAATATATGAAATTTCATACTAGTGGATTAGGTGACGTCATTCCTGCAACTGAAATAAATGATAGAAGTAACTAACCTAAGCACATCCAAAACTGAATGAAGCAATATGTATAATATATAATATGTAGAAACTATTTTTAACCCACCGTGCGTTAAAGATATATTATAAATTAATCGTTCCTCACTCTATGAAGGTTGCATAACTGCATTAAAGCTTAAATTTGCAATGAAACATTCTTTCTAGATAAGCATCTATGGCACTTGATGTCGTTACAGTATAATTCAAATTGAACTCAGTTGTTTTTTGTTTTCTTCATTATCAATATATAATGATAATTTATAATTCATAAAGATTGGCCCTTTGGCTTACGATTAATTGCCCAGCTTTCCTTAGAAAGAAGCATTAGTTTAAGTCGCATGCGCCATTCTTCCCCCTCTCTGGTTATTAACAGCGAGGCAAGGAACGATGGCAACGAATTCAGTTTGAGGAAGACGTTTGGGCAGTGAGGGTGTTGTTAATCATGCAAGGAAATTTTAAAGTTGGAGATTTGGTTTGGTAATTTTTTTATATTTGGCTTTTATAATTAACAAAAGGAAAATATTTTTTCTTTTTTTAGGGCAAAAATGAAAGGTTCCCCACCATGGCCTGCACGGGTAAGTATGCCGCCACTCGGAGCTGTTAAAATGCGCGCGCATTAAATTCAAACCGTGTGTTAACCTACAAGTTTGTTTTGATTTGTTAAATTTAAAAACACTTTTGTTGGTACAGGTTGAGAAAGCGACGACGCCGAGAAAAGGCCAAGTGCACGTTTATTATTTCGGTAGCAAACCCAGTCAGTAAGTTTCCTTTTATTTTGGTTTGGGTGTGTTACTTTGTTTGTTGGCATTTTAGTGGTTGGGTTCAAGAAAATTGTGTTAATCCTTTTGACGAATACAAAGACCAACTCAAAAATGTTTCCAATAGATCGGATTTCAAAGTCGCTCTTCAACAGATTGAAGAGTACAAATTGGTAAGCAATATCTTATAGAGGGTAAACTTATTTGTGTTAACAAGTTACTGTCATTAAATTGAGTATTGCTCTTAAATGGGGATAGGTATATTAAGAAACAATGTGGGTAACAGTTTTGTTTATATCTTTTTAGCAAATGGCTCCAGAGTCAAATGAAAATGAAGGGGATGAGGAAGATATCACCTCTAAGAAGGGAAAAAGGGTATGTGTAAAGATTTTTAATGATCCTTGGTTGGTTTTTAACTATTTTTATAGTAATCTATTGAATGTTTCATTGTTCTGATTACCATTTGTTGGTTGTGAACTTTTATTTCAATTGTTAAACTGATTGAAAAGTACCAATTGGTTAGTAATATTGTGTACAGGATAAACTAGATGTTTTGTAATGGTATATGTGTACCAAGTAGCCTCGCTATCACATTTATCTAATATAACTCTTTGTTCTAAAGCCAATCACTAATGAGTCAAATGAAAAAGAAGACGAGGAGGAAGATGTCAGTCCCAAAAGAGGAAAAAGGGTATGTGCCCCAACATTTTTAACAAATTTTGTTTGTTCTTTTTATTTTAGTACCCAAAGTAAATTGCCTGCTTTACTGTTTGTTGAATCTGAACTTTTGTTGTAATTTAAGTCACAAGGCATGGCATTTAATTTTCGATACACATTTTAAATTGAAAAGGTGTATAGTTTTGTTGGAGTGTTTTACAAATAATTCTATAATTCATAAACTAAAAGAAATTTGGCAACACTGTGAACAAAAAGGCAGCTTTAAATTATAGCTGTTATTTCGGAAATAGCAATAGAGATATCACTTAATATGGACGCCATCTGTATGTTGAAAATTGTATATTATTAAAATTTAAAAACTTCTTGGTATATTTTTAATATAATGATATAATTTTGCGAAATTTATCAAAAGACAAAAACTGTGATGAGGTATAACTTAGGTTGGTGGATTTTTATGTCTTTGGTTATTCTTATATTTTCTTCCTTAGACAAAACGGAAGGCGAGCAGCAGTGAAAGTGAAGGAGGCTCCATCTCAAAAAGACCACTCAAAGGGAAATCTTCCAGAAAGTCAGAATTTCTCTCTTCTCTCAGATCAGAGGAGAATGGAGTGAACAGTGGAAGTTTGGGAACAGAACTGCTTAATATGCCGTCTGTTCTTGAAAGGCCGGTAAGTATGCATTTTTTATTTTTTTTTTAAATTAAAAATTATTGTTCATTTAATATTATGGGGTTAAAACAAATTACAAATGTCCTAACCGATGCACACAACACTTGACTTTAGTAATTATAGATAACTAAAATTATTGAAAAATTGCACGTTTCAACTCTTGTTCAATTAATTTCATGTAGAGTTCTCACAGTGATTAGTGTTAAATATTTTGATGTATAAATGTTGATGCTTCCTAGTATATAGATTTGTATGTAAATATCCATAGTCAGGTCTAATTGTCTATAAATTTAATTCAACTAAACTAAACAAAATTGTGTCTTGCCAGTTTCTCTATAATGGGTGTTGTGATTTGGATATTTTTTGAAAGAATTTTTAACTTTTTAACGTGAGTGTGATAAATTCTACTTATCAAGAAATATTTTAAAAATAAGAAGGGTGGTAAAGTGGTTATTATTTATCTCTGTTGTGAAAAAATCTCTTTGCAGATATTGCCTAAAATCAAAAGGTAAACATTTAAAAAATATTTTCAACTATACATGGTCTTCCATAAAAGCCTGTTTTTAAAAGTGGAACATCAGATATATTTTTGCGATCTAAATGTACCATTTCAATTGAACTTGAATTGATATGTATGAGGAACAGTTACAAAAGTGGTACATGATAAAACATCAGAAAAAATGGTTTAGAATTTGGCAATTTGGCTACAAACATTCTACTAAACTCTTAGTTATGCGATTGATTGAATTACGATATATATTGTATAATAATATATTAGTAATATTATATTAAGGCAGATTGACAGAAATGTTTTTGGCAAACAAATTCGATAATTTAAAAAAAATCGCGGTTTAATATAAACATAATTGCATAAATGGAATGTTTTGAAAATTTGTCTTTTTTATGAAAACATCTTGTAAATTGTGGTAAACATGCACACTATTGCGCCTGTTTCGAAATTAATATACACAAATTTTATGGTTTCTTTCCCCAGCTACAGTGGTTAAATTCAAGCAGCAAAATACATTTTTTGATGTGAAATATAAAAAAAACCTGTGACGTCTGTGCCAGATTTATTTGGATTTTTTTAAGAAAACAAGGTGAGCCAGTCGTTTTTGCTTGAAGGCGGTCGACAAAATATCAATGAAATATCTAAAATCGTTTGAACATTATGAAAATAGTTTTTTTTTTCTCAACAGCCTGTAATATGAATTGCAAACCTTTCCGGACATGCGTCTATATAGTATACTAGGGCTTATTGTAGAATAGGTCATAAAAAGAAAATATAAGAATAGAATAAAAGAAATATATTGTATATTTTTGTTTAAATTTCTCCAAACTGAAAAAAAAGGATTAAAAAATTCTGTTATATATAAGAAATATACAAAATCTACTAATAGCATCTGCATCTTCAGATAAGGCATAGATTGATAGCGCTTTCCTACATAGTAGTTATCCTTAAGATGGAGGAAGGATTCATTTTATAAGAAATAGTAAATTTTTATGCAGTTTGTATAAAAGTCCAGTTTTGCATTATAGTAGTATACATATATTTCAATAGGATTCTCCGGTTGTCGATCTGAATACATGCTCGGAGTTGCTGAAAACCAAAGATATATCTGCTTCAACTCTGACATTTGGATTTTTGGGACTCGGAATAATGGGGTCGGGAATCGTCAAAAACTTGGTCGCTTCAGGGCACACCGTCAATTTATGGAGCAGGAATCCAGAAAAGGTAAGTCTTGTAGAGGCTGGGGATTGTATCTATAACGCCATACATGGTCGCTCTTAGTTATTTGCTTTCTAGACGGTTTATCTAGATATGTCTTTATTATTTTCAATTTGCGTCCGTTGGAAATATTTTTAGGTGGAAACCACATGCAAAACCAAAATTCAATTTTAATCGATGTGGCGCTTGACGAATATGACAGCGTATCATTTTGATTGCATTTATGTTAGTTAGCTATATCTTACCGTTATCGAAAAAAAAGAGTTCTAGATTTTAGGATTTTAATAGTTGCGTGCTTTAATTAAACAGAAGGTCAAACTTAGATAGTTCCCTGAAAGCGTACAGGCGCTCTTTCCTGGCTTTTTAGATGGAACATACAGGGTGTTTAAAAATAATAAGTTTTATACAATTTTTAAAACAGTTTATTGAGTATATTAAATAGCACACTTTGTATATTGTTCCATTTTCAAATTCCAGGAAAGTAACTAACCCAATTTTGGTCAAATTTCTCTATACTTAACTCTTGTAATTTCCATAATCAACATTGAACATAGTCATTTTGAAGAAAGTTTCGCACATAGAATGAAATTTGTAAAATCTCATTTTCATTTTATTTTAGTTATCTTGCCCTTTATTGACAGGCAATAATCAATCAATCAAGACAAAAGATTCCTTCCTGTCAAGCTCCAAAGTCTTCTGGAAACTGGAAATATTTTCTTTGCGTGTGAAATTTTCATGGAAATTACTATGTTCGATGTTGATAATATGTAATAATTATTAAAATTACAAGAGATTAGTATAGGGAAATTTGAACAAAATTGGTTTAGTTCCTTTCCTAGAATTTGAAAAAATATATTGGGTGTGCTATTTTAAGAAACTCAATAAATCTTGTGTCTAGAATTCCAGTACAAGATCTTATTTTTGAGACGCACTATATATTAATAAATTAAAGCACTGACCATTAAGATTTTTTCAAGGTTCTTAAAAATCTAGTAAATTAATTTAACGGTAAGATATAGGTATATGGAAACGTGAACAAAATGTACTTTGTTTGTTGAGTAGAATCTAAATATGAAATAATATACAGGGGGTGCCATTTAAACTAAGCAAGATGTTGCAACGTTTATAAATAGGCGACAACACTAAATATTTAAAAATATTTTTGAGCACCTCCTTTCACATTACCATGTATAATTTAAAGTAAATCCACTGATCTGTTCGCCAGACAATTCTAATATCCACAAATCCACTGTGCGCCACCCCATATGTTGGCTGAAGGCTTGACGTATTTTATGCATATGCAATAATATGCTAATAAAAAAAGGAAACATGAAGACAAGGAAATATGTTTTTAAAGAAAGCGACAAAAATTGCATCTGAAGCAAGCTGTAATATGATGGTGCAAAGTTCAGATCACAGGGATGTATTTAAATTATAAATCCCATGATTTACTTAGATATTGAGAAGGCGTTAAATGTTTGATAAGGTATAGTTTCTGTTATTCTGCTGAGTTAATACAGAACAGAGGAGAGAGAGAGCACAACTTGGCAACAATGAACGGCAGTCGAACATAGGTATGGCTTTATTTATTTCAACTAAATATATGGTGCTTATACTATGGTATGGCACTATAAAAACCCAAATCGTCAAATCGCTGTGCTTACGGAATAACCTTACGTGCTGCCTAGACAAGCCGTGCCAATTAGCGTAGAGAATAACGTATAATCAATACGTCCATGATGCTAGAACTTTAACAACGTCAAAACGGTTAAAGCTACAAGCCTCAAATGTTCATAGTAAGTTGTAATGGTAAAAAAAAATGTTGTAAAAGCGACATTACACAATCGTTGGGAAGTGTGTAAACTAAGATAGCTAAGGGTCTTTAATTTACCGTTTTTAGACTTGTCAAATGATTTGTTTATGAAGAGTACAATGGTTTTGTTGTGTTAGTAGAGCAAGTAACTACAAAATAAGGAAGGAGAGGGAACTTTTGACAGAATTAGTTTTTTGGTTGGAATTGACTTTTCGCTAGTAACAAAGGATTTTTGGCAACGGGTTTGGAACTAAACAAAAACATTCTCTAAAAGTTCACGGAGTTGGTTGCAAAACCCTGTCCATTCCGAAATGACTCAGACCGTTTTTTCGTGACGATAATTTGATTGCATTATAATATTTGGCTATACCATTATTTCTAACCAAGAGCAATCAAATACACAAAGTCTATTGCAAAAGCTCACCTTTTAGTTTTGGTTAGGTACCAAGTGGCTGAACACGCTTGGACGTTTTGGAACTATATAGCGACAACCTACCTTTATATCAATCCCCAATTATTATGATGTGATCTATAGAAAAAAAAAAGATTAAACGTGCGTTTTAAGGTTCTGAACACAACCGATGGTCGGCTACCGAAGACAGAATGATTAATGCGCAGATGCATTACTTTTTTTTCGTATTGGTCAATGAAACATACGTTACAAAACATAACCCCAAGTGAATTTGTTTTTGCATTTGTGTAAGTACACAGAACAAACTTGGTTCTGATTGCTTCTTAGTAGCGCTCTCCCTCGAGAGCTGTGTTGAGACGTGCAACGGTACAAATTAGGGTGAACGGAGGGTCATCAATTACCGTATCTTGTTACTTTCAAAAATAGATTAAATCGAATTTTTCTGATGTATGAAGTATATGAAGTATGAAATCTGTAGGACGTTCTCCGTTCTCGACTTTTGGTTTTTCTGGAACAACTTTGTAACCGTTTGGGCTACGAATTTGAGATTTACCTCATTTTTAACCCTCCACGAGATCTATAAGCCTATAAAATGGCCTCGATCTGACGCCGACATAATCTTTTTTCGCGATTTTCGACTGTTTTTTGGACATTGCTATGAAACACGATAAGTGTCCGAAATTTGAAGCAATCGACATCATATTTGGCACATATATGCAGTTGTTTTCTTTTTTTTGCGCGAGATATTTGAAAAAATATCTTTGGAAATCGCTATTATTTGCACAAATTTTTGGTATTTACCAAAGTGTGTCGTAACTTTAAAGTTCGACGAGATGTGAAAAACACTTTATACAGGGTGAATGCACAATTAAGTTACATCGATTTTGCGAAAGTTTCATAGTGGTCCGCAGGAGCATGATAGAAAAACAATCCGTCCCTCTAGGACAAGAAACCGCGAAGCGCATTCTTTTTAAAATTAAAAGCTGCTTCGCGCTACGCGTTGCGAATTTGGCCCGCCCACCGATGATTTTTCGAAAGCAATCTTGTTTAGTAAATACAGCGGTTTGTTGTATCCAAACTATAAAAATGACTGTCGTTCAACCTCTGTTTTAAGAGCTACAATAATAATTATAAAAAATAATTAACGTTCCAATTTGGTAAATAACAAGTTCTACGACGTCGTCTGTGACGTCATATTTTCAACCGGAAGTAACTCTGACGAGAGGAGTTTTCTTCATTATCTCCACTTACGAAGAGTTTGAGGTTATGTCGAACATCTGATAAAGGATAGATCTGTGCCTCCAAATCCCGGCTGTCATCATTATTCTTGGTTGGTTTTAACTCGAAAGACACATTATTAGGCGATAAAGTTAAATCGAAATTTGAATCTAGTAATTCCCCAACAGTAATGTTAAAAAGTTGATGAAATAAGTCTGCATCTGGAACTGTCGTGGAACTGATTTATATAAAAGTTCAAAGTCAGGAAGTTGATATTTCCTAGAAATTTCATAATTAAACAGCGTCACTAAAAAATAATTACAACAAAAAAATCTTCTCCATGTCCATAAAACGCCAACAATAAACAACCATGGTAGGGTTAGAATTTCAACCAGGTCTATGGGAAGGAAAGCCGATTAGCGGTTGCTTCGTGACATCTGACCTCAAAAGGTCAACCACCTAAAAACCAAAGTTGAAGCAGCGCCATTTTTTACCAGTTGATCTTGTTAGAAAGTCGTCGAAAAAAAAGTACCTACCCTTATCAAATGCACTATATGCAATTATACCAATTTATAATGACGTCATGCTGGTTAATAATGTTCGTTGATTAGAACAAATTACAGGTTGCTAATTGAAAGTGACATTTTCATTATACAAAAATATTATGTTACCTTGAGAATGTTAGAACAATTTATTTGTTGTTTGTTTTCTTTTTCTCAACATAACTTCCGGCTATTTGACCAACCAATATTTTTGACTTACAGTGATGGATATTTTACATAACCTTAAATAAAGATATATAAAAAATGGCTAACCATTGGACATCCATTTTTTTCAAAACTTTGTTGTCACCGCTGCGTGCATTAAACAAACATGACGCCATTGCAAATGGGTATCATTCCCGACTGTAGCGGTTATGCTTTAAAATTTTTTAAATCCAAATTAGATAATATTTTATTTCTTCATGAAGCTGTATTAATAAATTAATAAAATTACTATCTAAATTTAATTAATTTAATTTACTCGTTTGAATTGAGTTAAAGGTTTCCTATAAGAACGATGCGCGAATATTCAGTTTGCAATCGTCATTTTTGAAAAAAATCAATATTTCAAGAAAGGTGAACGTTGGCGACTTTATGGGACTATCCATTCAAATATCCCTAAAATTTTCCTAGTAATTAAAATATGGAATCGTATTTAGAATGTTCCATTAACCCATATTACACCAAACATAAAAAAAATAAAAAAACACTTTTTTGCTCTGAAATTATTTATTTTGTTGTTAAGAATACATTACATGTGTTAAAAAAAATAAAAACTCGAAATTTACAAAAAAATACTGGCACGTAAACGAACCATTGGGAAAAAACATTAAATAATGTTTTCGGGCACATAAAATGTAACATATAATTTATATATAAATATAAAAAAGAAAGTTCAAATTCGACAGGAAACAACTAAAAGTAGATAGAACCTCATTTGATACAAAAAAACGCGTAATATTTTATGGTGCGTGAGCGCACCACTGGTAACACCCGGTTTCATTTTTGGTAATATTTTACA